ATGAGCCAGTTGTAAGGCATGCCTATAGAATAAGTGTAATGGGAGAAAGACCAGTCACTGATATCAAATATCTTAATGACGAAAATTATTTACAAGAAGAGTATCAATCTTTAGGTTTATAATGTTTTTTATTCTAGTTATATAAATTATGAAATGTTTTGATTGAAACTTGCTCTGGAAATAACCTTTATACCCTAAAACAAACAATGGACGTGAATATGATCTGAGATACTTCGAGGAAGAAGGGCGGACGGAAGGAAGGAAGGAAGGAAGGAAGCTCTTGCCTCTTAGCTCGCTAGTATTTACTCCGTTCAGATAGGCTAGCACATTTTTGAGCACTAGTGTACATTTTGGAATAGATAGAACCCTCTCTACAACCCGGGTACATTTTCAATCGTGTTTAAAGTTTATTTCGGCCTATTTAGCCAACCACATTTATGGCAGAGTTGAATAGTGGCCAGGAGCTGTGAGTCTGAAAGACATCTTCAAAGTGATCTTCTGATTACAACCCGGCGAGAAAATGATTATTGGGTTTAGACGTAAATTATACTGCAATTAGAAACCGAAAGAACAACTCCGATTTCCCTGCTTATGCTCACATAGAAGCAGATCAAAGTAAACAATCCTTAGCATTCTGGGGCGACTTTACGTTACCACGCAGAGCTGTATCCACGGAATTAATTCAGGATCGAGCTGCTTCAAAGAGAAAAAAATAGGAGACCCGAATTTAACAGTCAGTGAACGACTAGGACTCGTACAAGGTGTAGAACTAAACTATGAAAATCACTGAGCTTTCTTACAATGCTTACATTTTCATCTCCGGGGGATTTTCCTGAAATCCACAATTATAGCAAATGATAGATTATGTAATGCAACGTTCTTTCCGCTGCTACAACACCTCTATATGTGAGTTCAAGCATTCTTTGACAGTTTTGTTCAATTTCCAAAAAAAGAGGAACTTCTATAGCGCAAATAAGTCGTTCTTTATGACTGTGATTTTGATGAGGAATAACTGGCCCTTAACTTCCCCTCTCTTTCGTTTAAGGACGCGGAGACTGGGATCCGCTTATCGACATAAAAGAAGCAAATTATGTTAAAAATTGACATATACATTGACAGAGAGGTTTGGTTTGAAGCCGATGGCTGGCCCAGGCAAAATCTTAAATCCCCTATTTTTATTACACAACTCAATCGGAAATGGCTGGGGTTACAGTCAAATAATAACACTCTATACAGTCTATCTATCGTAATCATAATATCCTAAAAATACACATTAGTACCCCATGTTTTCTACACTTATTGCAAGGTATTGCAGTGTAGTGCAAAGGGTCCGGTTGTTATAAATTTGAATGTCAATATGGAAAGGGCAAACCAGTAGTGTATGAATACGTGAGGCTATGTACACCTTTCCACTTTCCTTATCTCGTAGTTCCATCAAAATTAGATTGAAATTTCATTAACTATTTGATTGAACAATTCAATAACAATTTCATTATTAAGGTACCCATTTATGTTTAAATAAGTTGGCTTATTAAATTTCTTATTTAATAAATTATTTAATAATTCAATTGAATCATCTTGTTGTACTTTATTTAGATAAATTGTTAATGATTTTATAGTATAAATATAATTATTCATTGTAATATTGTTTATCTCATTTATAAATATTGAAATTGGAGTTTTAGGATCATTATTATGAGTAATGATTAAAGTATAATCATTTGAATTGATTGCAACCTGTTTAACAATATGATTCATGTGAAGTTTTTTTGTTTATTATTGTTTTGCGATTCTAGAATCTGCTTTTCTTAACTAAAAAAAAAATGAAATGTTAAAGTTTCTTCCTTCAATAAAATCTTTCTCTCTATCTATAAATCTCTCCTTTCTCGTTTTAAAGAAGGAGTAAGTCAATAGTAACAAAGAGCTGAAAAAGGTTAAAATTTTAAATTAATTGGGGGAGCAAAAAAAAATTCACTCTCCGTTCATTTTTATCCGTTTGTATGCAGGACCAAACATAGTTATAAACTCAAAAATTCTAATTATTAAAAATAATTTTACATTAACTTACTTTATAACTTTAATATATGATAATTTTAAGTTCAAATGCTATAAATAGTATTGTAAATTCATTAAAGCTGGAAAAGAAAATGAGAAAGACTGAAAATTCATAGTAAATTTGAAAATACTACCACCAATCAAATAACAATTTTTCATTATCAAAAAAAACCTTATTAAAGACAGACACCTAATTTATACACTGAAGTTTAAAGTTTTACCACGCTTAACATTTAGCTTACCCCTTAATAGTACCTTTTTCTATTTAAATAAGAATAAGAAATCTACGAATATAGTTACCACTGAGGCGAAGACCAAAATATTAGTATACACACACTAACTGACACACCCAACTGTAATTGACGTTTGATAATTTGTTCCATATTTACAAATTCAAATTCCGAAAAGAATCATTCTAAAAAATAATCTTATTGTTATATAAAGAAGCGGAATCTTAACCGGGAAACACAAAAAGCAAGAATCGACCCATTTTTTTTTTTTGGTTTGCATTCCGTTGTATTTTTCAGAATAATTAAATCCGATTTACCCAGTGCATTCAATTTGGTTACAAAACCCGGGAAGGTTACTTTATATTAATTACAATTATAACCATCCATAATAGGCTCACAAGATATAAAACAAAGAAAAGTATTTCAATTTTTTTGATTTTGGCACTTTTCTTCTTTTGAGTTCCTCATCGTTTATTTTCATTTGCTAAAATAAAACTTGTCCAATTCTTGGTTACACATCAACCAGGGGAAGATTTATTACAGATTACGCCTCGGTTTATTCCAACTGCTGTCTAAATTTAGAGAGAGAGTGAGAGTCAGATTATTATTAATTAATTATTTTTTTCCAATCAAGAAAAAAGCCTCGAAAAAAAAACACGTTAAAAGTTTTTTCTTTCCATTGTGTCTAAAATTTTTTAGCTTTTTTTTTATTCGATTTCGCTTAAAAATAGTTACGCAAAAGAATTTCCACCCCAAACTATTATTATATTTACGACTACTAGTTTTTCCTAAGTTCATTTTTCATTTACCGTTTCAACACAAAGAGGGCAAGGATGACGACAATCAACGATTCACCACCAGGTTCTCCCAATTTACTCACTACTGATAGTTCAAGCAGTAGTAGTTTACAATTGCATTCATTATCATTAGTTTCTAGTCAATCTTCAAATGATCACTCCCGCGCAGAAGACATAAATGAAAAGCTGAAGCAAAATCAAGAGAAGCAACACCGTATCAATTCAGCATTACTCGACACACTTAATAATTGCATACTTAATGAAGCATCCTCGAATTTGACTTATTGTAATTTCCCAGTTATTTTAAAGGTTCCAATTATTGAGAGTAGGAAATCGGAATTTGAAGCCATCTTTGCAGGTTACAAAGATTTGACTATTGATAGGGAGGAACAAGAATATGTAATTGGTTTTATTCAATCTAGAATTGAGTTTGACGAGTTGATTTATAAGTTGCATGATTTGGAAATCAACTATGAATTGGATTATAGTAAGTTTATTTCACACCCAGGAATATTATTCATTAAGAATTTGTCTAGTAATTTGATGTTTGAAGATGATCAAATAGATTCAATCACAATAACTAAAGAAAATGGCAATTATAAACTCTTCAAGTTTTTGATGGATAATTGTTATTTTAAATCATTGAATGAAGTGAAATTATTCAATCAAGATAATGGAATCAATTCTGCATTTGCAATTGTTAAATTTTCAAATTATTTAGATGTTGATTTATTGATTGAAAAATTTAATAAAATGGTACCCAATATCTTTAATAATAATGAAACAATTCCGTTGTTTTTAAATAGATATCTTAATCGAAAAGAACGAATAAATCCAAAGGTACCTGTCGCTAGTCCCATTAATTCCTTGAATCAAGATAACTTCAATTTAATAATTGTGGAGAATTTATTAAATTTCATTCCTGAAACATTTACAATTTTCGAATTTTATAAATTGATTGAAAAAATTGGTGGATTTGGAAATATGATTGAATCTGTTTATTTCCCAATTATGGATTATTTTTCCAAGGGAAAAGAATCTACTAAGCTCAAGTGTTTTGATTATGGATATATCAAGTTCAAATCAAATGCAAACTTGATGGAAAATACATTGAAGATTCTATATTATTTGAATGAGTTGTCCTGGGAAGAATTTATCAATTTCGACACTCAGAATTTACCACATTTAACTGATCCAGTTGAACCAATTAAGACTAGAAATAATAAGATTCAAATTACAATTGCTCAACATAAACATAATCATTATTTATATGCTAATGCTCAAAACTTTTATCTTTCATTGGGTCATAAACATCAATTATCCATCAATTTCCCCAATCCCATATATGCAATCAACCTGTATTGTCGTAGTTTGAATTATCAAGAAACTAATATATATGTCAACAATTTATCTGTTTTGTTTAATAATGATGATTCTACCTGGGAAGAGTTCTGGAAACAATTTGGTAAAATCAAATCAGCTAAGATTATAAAGCCACAATTTTACGAATTTTCATCAATTTCATCATCGTCATCATCATCATCATCTAATGAAGAGTTTGATGGAGACAACCACATTAAAGATCATAAAGCGGGTAAAATTGGTTTTATTTTCTATGAATCATTTAAAATGGCCATTAGGGCAATTTTAATGACTAATAATAAAGTTGTTAATTTAGATAAATTCAATCCAATTTTAATTCAATCTTCATTTGCAATTCAAAAGAGTAAACTTGGTCCCAAGAATGAAAATATCACTCTGTCATTACCATTACCCAACAATGTTACAAATCATAATAATTTCAACAATAATTCAAGTATAGGAAATAATAAACAACAACCTTTTCAACTGAAGCAAAAACAATTTTATGCAACAGCTGCTGCAAATATAATTGGAGGAGGAAATGGGGGTGGTGGCACAGGGGCTACCAATGGTAATATAAATGGAAACTATGGAGGATATTCACAACATGCACATCCTTATCATCATCACCAACCTATGATGCCAGCCTATCCTTACTACGGTTATCCTAATCCATATATTATCTGCCCTCCTTATTAGTTGGAAATGATGAGTTTTATTTTTAGTTATTGATTGTTCTGTTTAAAATTATTTATTCTTCATAAAAAAATATAAAGACTTTTCTTTTTACAATAATGTAACATTAACTGATAAATACTTGCAAAATTTTATTAACGCGTCATTGATCAAAAAGATAATGCAACATCTTACTGTACAGTATTTCTTGGCAATTGTTTTGTACAATTTACGAGTAATTGTTCATCAGGTTAGGTTCTATATACAATACTTAAATATCATAAACTACTACACACGGTAGAAAAATTGTCTTAACTTTTATTACAACGCAGGAGGAGCAACACCTGCATCTGCGTCTTCATGTCTGCTATTAGGTACAAGTTTTGCTGCATGTACAATGTCATCTACATTCTCTTCCTCAGCAACGTCATCAAACGATTCCACATTTTGAACTTCTTCAATATAATACTTTAACATGCTCTCAATTCCATTCTTCAATGTCACAGAACTTGAATCACATGACCTACATGCCCCCTTCAATCTCAAAAATACAGTTCCCTTATCTTCATCAAACTTGACGAACTCAATATCCCCTCCATCATCCTGAATAGCAGGTTTGATTCTTGTAAAGATTAATTCTTTGATCATCGACACCACTTCATCGTCATCTTCATTTATATCCACATCATTGGAAATATTTCCTTCATCAACAAGTATAGGCGACCCATTATTCAAAAATTCAGTCAATATTGAGAATATTTCCGGTTTAAGTAATGACCAATCAATTTCTGGCGTTTTTTCAATAGTTATAAAATTCGAACCATACATAATAGCCTTCACCCCATCAATCGAAAATAATTTCACTGCAAGTGGGGAATTTGCCGCTTGTCGACCATTCAAGAATTCCCGGGTTTCATTTTCAGGTAGGATATTGATCAGAGGAAGGAATTTAAGTGCTTGCTCATTAGGTGTTTCCATGGTTTGGATAAATAAGGATCGAATAGCTCCAGAGAAGAGGAATGGCCCACCCCTGGCTGTGGTTGGCATAGCTGTTGGGATGGAGATTCTGGTGGATCTTAATAGCGTCCCTGTTATGTTTTTCCTTAATGCGAACATCTTAAATATGTGGTTGGGATATGGATAATATGAAAACTAGCGGTTTCTAAAAAGATGACAAATACAAATGTCTAATTGAATTGTAATTGAAAAAAAAGAAAGCAGCAAAAATTGATGTGCCAAAAAAGAAAAAAAAATCGGGCATTTCCGGGGACCGGAATTACGAGGGTTTACACAATGACAATTCAGGGATTGTGAGTTTACCTGTATGTATGAGTGTTTTGAAGACAGAGATGCAACATGAACTATCCTTGTAGCGGCGATTGTAAACATTCTGAAAGAGGAATCTAAAACAAAATACCAGTTCCAAAACAACCATGTTCAATTTGTGTCAAAAAGGAAATTAACTAGAATATTCTTCTTGATACCAGAGGCTTGCAGTCCTAGCTTGAACGTTACTATATATAGCACTGTATATCACAGTACTTCAAGGTCTCATCAACAAATTGAGACGATCGATGTTATCGAGTTCACATTTTAAGTTGAGTATGTGCTATTTCCATGTGACCGCTTTCTGGTCGTGCAATTTTTTCAAAACAATTGCAAAATTTGTTGCAATTTGACCACAACCAAAAAATCCTATAAATTCCCACTGAAAACAAAAAACTATTTGTGTTTTCTTCTTTTTCTTTTTCTTCTTCTTCTTCTCTCTTTAATTATTACAATCATTCAAATATCAATCAACTACAAGACAATAGTATGTATATTTACCTTCAATCAAACTCACCAGCCTGAAGCTGGGAAGGGGGCCACTTTCGAAGCCAAATCCCTTCAGATGGGTATCAGTTGTTGATGCCCGTCTAAGTGTTGGTAATACCTGGTCAATATCATTGCAAATACCGATGTCTGTCTTGATGACACGTGATATTTCCTTGAATTGGCTGGGGGGTTAAGGAAGTGTCATAGGTGCAAGGTGGCTGACTACCATCATACCATGTACATGTCTTCATCTTGTGGAAAGAGGGGTCTAACAAGACTCAGTTATCCTTTTCGGCAAGATAGCATGTTGAGATGTTTTCAATGATGATTTTAACTTTCGGTTATTGAAACTCTCCACTCCACCCGTCACAATCTGCCGATCCTGCATATAAGTCTTTTGCTGTTTAACACCCAATGGATAGTCTTCAACAGCTCAGTCCAGCATTAGATTATAGCTAATGAATGCAGCAATGTGTTCATGTAATTAGATAGGTGATATGATTAAAATTGGTGGAGTAATAAAGAAAATCTTAAGTGGTCGAAATTGAGGTATTTGTGGACAAAATGGAAGGTCGAATAGGTAAGAAGAATGACGATTAACGACGTTGAAGGATTCTATTCAGCTAACCAACGCCCCTGGAAGTTTTCGTCGTGGTTTTGACATATGTATCCTTATAAAGACCAACATGCAAATGGCACATTAGACATCAACTTTTGGTGTCGCTGATTAAATCTGGTAACTATTAAAAGGTATCTTACACAAGAAGACTTCATTTTATTCAATTGCTTCCACAAAGTACAAATCCAATATCATTTTTAAGGCCACCTTGCGTGTTCGGTTCATATATGTCGTAGACCTACCTTCTCCCAAACACAGGGCCACCACCATTGATCCCCCAGTCCATCGAGACCAGGAGATTTGAATTTCATTATTCGAATCACGTCCGTTTCCATCACTAATTCTTTTTGTTGTCAAATAACGAAAACTCTCATATTCAATCCCAATTTACTCCAAAATATATTCCCTCTGATTAAAATCAACATAATAGAAATCTTAATTCCCTTAAACTCTCCAGCTTGAGCCAATACTTGTGGAATTTCAATTGTTTCTCCGTTTATTCTTCTTGAGGGTCTACTGACAGTTCATTAATGAGCAAGCCTTAATTTTTCAAAGAAATCACATAAGTTTTCCAATTTGGTAACACAATAATTACATCATGGACAACAAAGCAATCAAATCCTCATTATTAGGAGATTCATATAATTTCATACAATATGATGGACAATGTTCCAAACTATAAATCTGGTATTCTCCACAAAATGCACATGGAACTTTGATTGCGACTGGCGTTGAATTAGAATGAATCCAATTTGGATATGCCTTTATAAAACTCTCATTTATTCCTTTAACTTGCTCGATTGAAACACGAATGAACGCCAAAAAGTAAATCAATTACTACCGAAAAGGCCCTCCCATTTTGCTAACTGTTTAATAACGTGGATGTAGAAGGTATGGCAGGGATTATGATTCAACCGTTCTCAGAGTCATCATACCAAATCCTCTTAACGGATGGCAATGGGTTTAAATGAATTAAATCAAATTGGGAATTCGGATTGATTATAGTATAAAGGAATTGTTTGAAATCTTGATTATAATTATCTTAATCGAATCGTATACCCTTATGAACATATATTTGCTTTTGAATTGTTGCCATCGATACAAACTGTCACCAATAGTAGTATTATTCTCATTGATAATGGTCGCGTTGTTGTTAGCGGTGGCATTGGAAATTGTCATTAGTTATTAGGGTAGTAGTTGTAGTTGATATTTGATCAAAACCATCCAGACTCTGTTCAATCTTCGGTGTATTACATTACCCATTGCCTTGCTAGATATTAAGCAGTGATTGCAAAGAAAAGAAGAATCAAGGTGAAACTTTCAAAATCCATTTCTGAATTCTTTTTATTTTCTTCCATGACTGTTAGTTCTATCTCGAGATTGATTACTTCATTAAACTCCTCTGGTCAGATTGATTGTTATGTTCCCTATTCATTAAGTCTTAAATCTATTAAAATAATTTGGCATTTAATTTTCTTAAAATTTGCAACAGAAAAATGAAATCTATAAAAAAGGGGGCTAAAAACTTTGAATGATATTTTCTAAACTTCATTTTAATTTATTCATTTCCTTTTATTCCTTTAATCAATTAATTTATATTATCCAATTGATCATCAACTAATCAATCAACTAATCAATCAATCAATCAATCAATCGATTCATCCATTCTTCTAATTTCTCACATTTCTGTATATGAATGAAGGATGAGATAAAAGTACGGATCACCATTCTCTATGTTCCATGAAAAGGTTAAAACCCAGACAAGCTTCAGAGGGTTATTTTCAATTAATGACTCTCAAGTCACTTCCATTTAAAAACTAACTGTACCCAATGTCTAAATATATTCCCAAGTTTAATATTGATAGATTCTCAATATACTCCTGTTTCCACGACTCAAATTCAAAAGTTGTGAACCACGCCAACAATTGCCAATCCATTAGAGATAATAAGATAGAGACGGATTCCCTTATTCCATGTAAAACTCCCAACATTCTGCAACCACCCACTACCATGTCCAATCACCATTGGTTTCATAGGGAAAGTCCGTCAATGGCAAACATGTCCCAATTTTACCGAGAATCACGTGATCTTCACACGTGACGTCAAGTCACATGCATTTTCAACGAAAAGCCTGGTTAGCTCAATCGGTAGAGCGTTTGACTCTTAAGTTAGACATCAAAAGGTTGCGGGTTCGACCCCCGCATCGGGCTTATTTTTTGCAATCAACGTCATTTGATTTATTTTATTGGTGTTGGAGATGTCAGAAAGATCACGGGAATGGTGAAGGTGGGGGTTGATTTCCTTATATTGGCTGATTTTTTTTGTATTAAATAAAGATTCTCAAGGAGATGGTTTGGGGTAGTACATATCCGGATTTGAAAAATTTGTCAAGCAAAGTACCCATTAAAACTCTCTATGACCACAGAAAGATGGGCTCTTCACATCGACCTAAGAGGATATACAGCCGGCTATGCACCTATTAATTTGTAGAATTTGGAAGACTGGTAAACTAGAATTGCTGATGAAATTTCAAAGCTGCGTAATAAGTGCATAGTTGCTGTGGATTCACTTTGATCAGTGCGTCGAAATATACCCATCTGTGGCTTTAATCGATGGTTTTTCTATACCCTTATTAATTTTCTTTATATATAGGATATTTAAATTTAAATGAAAAGAAAAGTAGATCCCAGAAATTCAAGGTTGCTTACTACCTTTTGGAAAATGATATAATTACTTAAAGAATTGTCTATTAAATCATAATCTATTTATAAATACAAACTTATTTAGGTCCATTAATATTTATTCATTCAATATCTTTTCAAATAATGTTACAGTTGCTTTTTCTTCAAATTGAGAATTATCTTCACCACTCATACTATAATCCAATTGTAATTTATTTTCCGCAATTGCCAACATTCCTTCTTCAATTGTTTTCCTGACGATTAATTTATATACGGTAACTTCTTTAATTTGTCCCACTCTATGTACTCTATCTTCTGCTTGTTTATCATCATGAGGATTGAATGATTGATCATAGATGATGACATTATTGGCTGCCACGAGATTAATCCCAAACCCACCGGCTTTTGTTGATAATAAAAAGATTGGAATTGTGGAATCTTGATAAAACACATCAATTATATCTTGTCTGGTATCAACGGAAGTTGATCCATCTAATCGTAAGAATTTATAATTGAATAAACTTAATACTCGTTCAAGTATATCTAAAACTTGTGTAAATAAGGAAAATATCAATACTTTTTCATTTCTTTTATTGATTATTACATCGAGAATTTCTTGTAATTGATTGACTTTACCTGAATCTAAATAAGTTGATTCTGATAATTTATAAGAATTTAAAGTCTTGGGGAATTTTTCACATAATCTATTCAATTCAAAATCAGTCATTACTTGCATATCTTCAAATATATATTGCTGATTAGCTTCAACATATTCCGGTTCATTCATGATGGCTTTTGCCATTTTTGATAATGTTTCATCAGGATAATGGACTCGAAATAATAATGTATGTAATGAAGCTTTACGTAATTGCATAAGAACATTACTAGCGGTATTCTTACCCGTTGTTGTTTCTCCCAATTCTCTTGCTTCTTGTCTTTCCTTGGCTTGTTTGATATAATCTTGATAGATCTTGGATTGACTTTCGGTTAAATCACAATAAACAACTTCATGACATTTTGCCGGTAAATGTTGTAAAACTTGATCTTTACGACGTCTTAATACAAATGGAGTCATCATGGTTTTGGCTCGTTTGATGGCTTGTTGAGATAATAATGGATTATAGTCAGTACCCAGAGGGGTAGCCGACCGGGAGTTTGAATTGGTACCACCACCATTACTTGAAATTGAACCGGTTTTTTGATTAAATAATCCAATTAAATCATCTTTATTATCACTAAATAATTTAGGTAACATGAATGCTAATAAAGATACTAATTCTTTTAAATTATTTTGTAATGGAGTACCAGTTAATAATAATCTAAATTTTGCTCGTAATCTCATTAATCTAGTATATCTTTCTGAAGTTGAATTTTTTAATAAATGACCTTCATCATATACCACAACATTAAAATTTTGAGATTTTAAAAATTTAAAATCCAGTGATGATCCACAAGCTAAATTATATGTTGTAATTAAAACATCATAATCATTATTATCTTGACTTAAATAATATCTTAATTCTTCACGATCTTTCATACTTCCATGATATGCTTGAACTTTTAAACTTGGACAAAATTTATTGAATTCTCTTAACCAATTTTCAATAGTTGATGCCGGGACCACGACTAAATGAGGGACTTGTTCTTCAATTGATTTTAAATGGGCCATGAAAGCAATGACTTGACATGTTTTACCTAATCCCATTTCATCAGCTAATATACATGATAATTTATTGTGATATAATAAATTCAACCAGTTTATACCAACCTGTTGATAATTATTAAGTGTTATATCATCAGATAATAGACTTGGTTTATGTTTGATATATCTTAATCCCTTCCTCTTATGGGCAGTGACAAGGATATCATCATCATCTTCATCTTCGTCATTATTTTCCACTTGAGGAGTGGTTTCATTTTCCAGTTTTTCTTCAACTTCAACTTCTCCATCATCCATTGGATCAAGTTCAATCATATTCAATTCTCCTTCTTGTTCATTTCCAGTACTGGAAACACCCCAAGATTTCATTTGTTCCGATATGGAATTCCCATAATCGGAACATTTCTTAATTAAAGAATCAACTGCTCTATACCCCTTTAATCTAGCTTCGGTATTTTCAACAATTTTCAAACCCAATTTCTTCTTTTTCCTTTTGTTGACTGTTTCATTGGGTAATAAGAAATCTGATTCCGCAATATCGAAAATCGTGGAAAATGGTCTTTGTCCAATCACGACATCCGCAACAGCTGGTTCAATCATGGCAATATCGGCAATATCTTGTTGTGATGCGTTATTTATAAATTCTAAAATCTGGTTATCAATTGTAGTTATACCTTGAGCCACATATTCATCTTCCTCTTCTGACATTGAATCGGATACATCATCATCCTCTAGTATTTCTTCTTCATCACTTAGGTTATACACTTGTTTAGATGTTGGAATTTGGGCTGGTAAGGATTGTCTTTGTAGTTTTGCCAATTTTTTATTTTGTTTGATTTTTTCTTCTAATCTTTCTAAATCATCATCATCCACAATCATGGCGTTATCATCTTCGATTAATTGTTCTTCATCAGAGGGTGATATTATATGTTTTTTCAATTTTGGAATATGTTGGTCATTATATCCAAATTTTGCACTTAAGAATGAAGGAGCTGGAATTGGTGAATCTTCTTGAGATGGAGTTTCCAAAGATGATGCTTTGACCAATTTTCTTCTTTTGGGAGCCAAGCTATCCAAACGACCAAATCTGTCTAATGTTGATTGTTGAACTTTGGCTTTGGCTTTATATTTATCTAAAATGGATTGTTTTGGTTTCGATACTTCAACTTTTGTAGATGTATGTAAATTAGGTTTAGTAGGGGACATATCTGGAATATTCTTAACTCTAGCCCTTCCTTTAATTTTTATAGGAGACTCATCTTCGTCATCATATTCAGGACGTTTATCGTGTTTATCGTCATCTTCGTCATGATCGTCATCATTACCTTCTTGTTGTTGTTGTCTAATTTTCTCTTGTCTTGCTTCATATTCTCTTTTCATTCTATCTTCCAAATTCTTCTGTCTTATCTTTTCTTGTTCTTGAATTCTCTTTTGTTTTTCTTCTTCTTCCTTACGTAAATAAGCAGATCTATCAAAATTAGATTCTAACCATTGAGTAATTAATCGAAGATTTCCTTTACCTTTAACAAACCCTTTAAAAATATCACTTTCATTAAGATAATAAAACTTTTTAGAAATCAAGGGGAAATCTTTATGATGTCTAATTTTCTGTCTTTTAGCTTCTAATTCTCTTTCTTTAGAATCTTGTAACTTTTGATTAATTGAAGGGATAGCTGGTTGTTGTTCAGAAGTATTAGTTGTTGTTGTTGTTGATGATGATTTAGTAGTGGGAGATGATTTGATATGGATTGGTGATGAATCTGGTACTTGAACATAGTTCTTATTAGGAGTACTTGGTTTCTTTACTAGATTAGGATTATCTCTTTGATACCAACTCATTTTAAAAAACTAGTATATATATAGGTGTTGTTATATACTAACTGTGTTCTAGAAATGTCTAATATGAATGTGTTGCAAATAAAAAGAAAATCATAGAAAATTGATGATGATGATTTAATTTAATTAAGCAGAGGAAAAAAAAAAGATTTATATTGTTCCAGTTTACTTACTAGAGAAAAAGAAGAAGAGATCAAAAGAGTACAAGACGCGTAATTAAAGATATTACATATAGAGAGAGTTTACGATCGAGACTTAATAGAGACCATGTAATATTAACAATATGCGTGACGTTATATCAAATGCTCCAAATAGAGAATATTGAATAGTTAATTAAATTAAATTAATAGAGCAAATTGCTATGGTCTTTAATAGTCTTGTACTGTATGAAGGAAAGAATTCGCGTCTCTTACATGTTTAAGTACCAAAATGACGGAACGCTACCAAAGGCAAATCTTTTGTCACTTTTTACGACTCTTTCAATTGCTTTTTCACTTTATCAGAAGATATACCTATGGTCCATTATTAATCGATAAGAAGATCAACACATTTAAATAATAGAAATACAATAGAAGAATAGAAATAATGTCATCTGCAGGAGGAAAAGGTCTTGTTTTATTATTTGTAGGAGCAGTTAGTTTTTATACTGGAACTAAGTTTTGGAAACCACTTATTATGTATGTATAAAGAATCACTCAATCAAAAATCTATCCAATACTAACCATTTCTATTAAATAAGTGATACATTAGAGAAACAAGGTACATTAAGAGAAGATGTTGATATAGGATATGTGGATAGAGAACAACCACAAAGTTGGAAAGATTTAGCTACTAGAGTTAAACAAACTTTGTCACTGGATGATCCTTCTTCAACAATAGCTAATAGTAATAATACTAATAATATATCACAAGATTCAGTACAACAACAAATACAAACACCCAAAAAAGAAGACTAGAATACTTCTTAGCTAATACTTGTATATATATAGATAACTATTACTTATTATTACTTTTAATAGAAACTTTTGAAGTGATTATTCTATAACTAAAACGTAGTCCCCGGTAAAGCGAAAATTGATATTTTTTTTCCCCCTTAGTAAATCTCTTTAGTATGTAAATCTCTTTAGTATGTAAATTTCTTAAGTATGCGATTTGAGATGAGGTTTATAAAAATTTGAAAAATTAATTTTTCATATACCTTTTCTCATTACCATCAACCAATTCTAATATCAATATGGGTAAACTTAGAAAAAGTAAGAAGAATCAAAAAGCAAGATTGAATCCAATAGGATCATCCAAAAAGAATAATACAGACACAAGCAAAAGAGATGAAAATACTATTCAATCTAAAATAGTTCCATTAATTAATAAATTAAAATCAACAATTCCTAATGAAAAGTCAATGGCTATTGGTGCTATAACTGTATTAGCTGAAGATGAACGAATGAGAAAATTATTATTAAAAGAAAAATTAATCACTATTGTAATGGAACAATGTTTAAATGATTCAAATGATGAAATTGTAGTTGAATCATTTGGGTTATTAAGAAATTTAGGAATTGAAGAAGGTTATGATGTTTTAAAATATTTATGGAGATCAAATATTTGGATTACAATTGAAAATGGATTAAATAAAGTTGATACTTCTTTTAAATATTTACAAGAACATCCTGATAAACAAGATAAATCAAAGGTGCAATTATTATATGATTTTACGGAAAATCTTTTATCATTAATTATTGTTTTGGCAAGTGGTTCACAAGATATTTATGAAAGTATATTTAATAAAATTGATCCAATTATTGGATTTGTCGTTAATTTAATTAATTTACAAATCTCCAATGAATCTAAATTCAAAATATCAACTAAATTATTTAATTCATTATTAGAATTCATTTATGAATTTTCAACTGAATCAATTGATTTTATAAAGAAATTAAATGAAAATTCCAATTTAGATTTTGTTAAATTAATTGAATATGTTGAAAGTAATCAATCAAATAAATTAGCCAATATTTATATTGAAGGTATTAAATTTAATAATTATGAAATCTTAGAAACAAATCATCAAGATAAAGATCAAATTGCTCAATCTATCTTTATAAGATTATATAATCTTATTATAGATATTGATTTGAATGAATTAAAACAAAAAATCAATTCCATTAGTAATCCAGACAATTCCAATAAACCAATTCAAAAAGACGCAAATACTTTGGAAAAAGACTTATCATCATCATCTATAGAAACCAAATCACAAACTAAAGCTGAATTATATTCACTTGAAATTTCATTAGATATAATTACATCAATTTTAGAATATTTATCTATAAATGAAGAATCTCCACAAGATCCAATTGAATTATCACCAGAATTACAAACAATTTTATTAGATAAAACTTTCATGGCCTTAATTGAATTACTTAAATTTGAAATTAATGAAAATATATTACAATTAATTGAAAAGATTTTGAGTGCTTTAAATAATTTAACTTGGTTAATGTTAAGTAATGAAACATTACCAGTTGAATGGTATACTAAATCCCTCTCATTATGGGATATTATTCTTACATTATCTTCCAAACAAGATCAATCTCCAGTGGTGCAAAATTCTTGTTTGAATATCTTATGGGGGGTTGTGAAATCGCTTGGACCAGAAATCGTATCTGAGATCCAACCAGAGATGATCGGGGGTTTGATAACAAAGGCAAAGAATATCCTTGGAGAGACTGAAAGTAATACTACAGATGATGACAGTTTAAATATGTATTTATCAATTGTTGGGTTTTTAGGTACATTAGCCCCAATAGTGGGTAATAATGACATTACAAATGAAATTTCCCAATTCTTATTACAATCATGTCAAGAATGTATAAATAAATCGGAACAAAATCCAATCATTATAGAAATTATAATTGAATCATTAAATTTAATTTATGAAATCTTTAGTGATAAAGATTTCTCATATGATTATGAAATTTTTGTTAAACAAAATTATTTAAGTAATTTGAAAAATTTACAACCTAATGTTAAACAAGTTTATAAAAAAATTGATAAACATAAACAACCTCAATTGAAATTGAAAATGGAAGAAACTTGGATTAATCTTGGAAGATTTATTCAATACAAGGAAACAGAACGTATTTAGGAAATCTCTGTGTGTACTGTTTTTGGTCATATTATTAATAGAAGATAATGTATATTAGTTATGAAGTTTTTGTAAACGTGGTTGCGGTTCTGCAAGTGTGGTTGATTTGTATATTTGGAATGGATAATGAGGCCATTCCCGCCTTGGTCTTGTAATTTACCTTTGGTGTTTCTTTACTTGTTCCTCTACCTCTTCCTATTGACCATTAAACCGCCATAAGTGTAAACGTATGTACAATTATGCAACACACTTTTTCAAAAAAATGAAAGTGAGCAGTATAGTGAAAGATCCTAGATTGCCTTTAGCTAATTTATCAAGTTTCTTTCCCCAAAATGTGGTCAATTACTCATGTTTAAGTATCATCAAGTACGTCGCTTCTCGTATCCTTACTAATTAATAATTGCAAAAGTTTTTTAGGAAACTATCAATAAACAGGCGATCGAATTTTTTGCAACTTCTTCAAAACCAAAAAAATAAATATTCTGTTTCTCTTCTTTCTTTCTTTCTTTCTTTCTTTCTTTCTTCTAATAGGGAATACCCACGAGTTTAAATTCATTAATCTCTTTCCGGAAATTGGCGAAAGACTTGACTTTCCTTCTTACAAATCCTTTTAAAAAGTGCAACTACAAGAATTTTATCGAATTTGGTTAAAACTTCCACACACCACTACTAGCCCAACACTATATCCTGAACAAAATTTCAAACTTATAAATACAATTGGGTTGTAGAGATTATTTATTTTCCGTTTATTCTTCTACTTTTCCTTTCTTCTTCTTCTTCTTCTACTCTAAGTTCAGACCACAATCAACAACAAGACAAACAATGAAGTTTTCAAACATCTTTACCACGTTCGCTTTAGTTTCAACTTTAACCGATCTTACTATCGCCGGTACGATCAAAACCACCGCTCTTGCCAAGAGTAAAGCCACTGCTCCCACCAACAATAATGTCGGTAAGGGGAAATTTGAACCTACCAATGCCAGGAAGTTTACTGCCGCTGGGGGAATGATGGGTGGTAAACAAAAGACTACTTCTTCCAAGAAGGCTGCTAAGGCTACTTCTACCAAGAAGGCTACTAAGGCTACTTCTACCAAGAATGCTGCTAAAGCTAAGACTACCAAGAATGCTGCTGCTAAGACTACCAAGAATGTTAAGTATACTAAGTTGGGTGTTGTTACTTCTACCAAGTGGTCTGGTGCTGAACCTACCAAGAAGGTTGACGGGAAGAACGGTTGGGATGGAAAGGACAACCGTGACGGGAAGAATGGATGGAATGGAAAGGACAATCTTGATGGAAAGAACGGATGGGATGACAAGGGTAAATTAGACCGTGATGGTAAGAACAAATGGAATGATAAGAGAGACAACCTTGATGATAAGAAGGATCACCACCGTGATGGGAAGTTTGATGACAAGAAGGATCACCACCGTGATGGTAAGTTAGATGACAAGAACGATCACCACCGTGACAGAAATGATGGCAAAAACGATCACCACCGTGACAGAAATGATGACAAGAACCACCACCGTGATGGAAAATTTGATGACAAGAACAACCACCGTGATGGAAAATTTGATGACAAGAACAACCACCGTGATGGAAAATTTGATGACAAGAACAACCACCGTGATGGAAAATTTGATGACAAGAAGGATCACCACCGTGATGGAAAATTTGATGACAAGAACGATCACCACCGTGATGGAAAATTAGATGATAAGAAGGATCACCACCATGATGGTAAGGACAGACATGATGACAGAAACAAGTCTGGCAAGGATCACAATGACGGTAAGAACAGATCTGGCAACAAGAATGACCCACCCCAAGACCCTCCCCAAAATGGTAGAAACAGATGGGATGACCACCATGACGGTAGAAACAATGGCCACCATGACGGAAGAAACGATGGCCACCATGACGGTAGACACAAACGTGACGACAAGAACAGATTCGATGACAAGAACAGATTAGACCGTGATGATAAGAACAGATGGGATGACCGCCATGAAGGTAAGAACAAATTTGATGACAAGAAGGACCATCTTGACGGTAAGAACAGATGGGATAACAACCGTGACGGGAAGAACAAATGGGATGACAAGAACGGATGGGATGACAAGAACAGATTTGATGACAAGAACAAGCTTGATGGTAAGAACAGATGGGATGACAGCAACAAATTTGATGACAAGAACAAGCTTGACGGTAAGAACAGATGGGATGACAATAACAGATGGGATGGCAACGACAAATTTGATGACAAGAACAAGTTTTCCAAGTTAGGTGGAGGTAAGAACAAGGCTACCACTACTAAGAAGGCTGTTGCTAAGACTACTAAGAAGGCTGCTGCTAAGACTACCAAGAAGGCTGCTGCTAAGACTACCAAGAAGGCTGCTGCTGCTAAGACTACCAAGAAGGGTTCTTTCACCAAGTTAGGTACTGTGACTGAAACAACTGTCCAGAAGACTGTTGTTCCTACTTGGACTAAAAAACTTGTTACTTCTACTAAAGGAAAGCAGTTGGCCAAGAGAGGAAACCATGAAACTCCAGAAGAAAAGCCTGTGAAGTCTACTGAAGCTCCACCACCACCTTCAGAATCCACTGAAGCTCCACCTCCTCCACCTGAAACTACTGAAGCTCCACCTCCTCCACCTGAAACTGAAGCTCCTGCACCACCACCACCTGAAACTGAAACCCTCCCACTTCCTCCACCACCTCCACCTTTGACTGTCACAAATAAGGAAAAGGTTACTGTTACTGACTTTACTACTATCTGTGCATCTGAAACTATTGTTACTGTAACTACATGTGAATCTCAAGTTTGTGAACCAGTTACTATTCCAATTACTGAAGAGACTACTATTATTGTTCCTGGTGAAGTTATTTTTGAAACTACTATTGTCACTGCTCCAGCACCAGAAGTTGTTCCAACTGAAGCTCCTCCAGCTCCAGCACCTGCTCCAGAAGTTCCAGCTCCAGCTCCAGCACCGGCACCTGAAGTACCAGCACCAGCACCTGAAGTTCCTGCTCCAGAAGTACCAGCTCCAGCACCAGCACCTGAAGTTCCAGCCCCTGCTCCAGCACCTGAAGTTCCAGCTCCAGCACCAGCACCAGAAGTTCCGGCTCCAGCACCAGAAGCTCCTCCTGCTCCAGCACCAGAAGCTCCTCCAGCACCAGCTCCAGAAGCCCCACCAGCAGCTGCTCCAGAAGCCCCAGAAACTCCAGAAATCCCAGTTGAAGCTGGTGCATCTTCTCTTGGTTTAAGTTCATTGTTGTTGGGTGTTGTTGGTTTTGGATTGATTTTATAATCTGGTAATTCTTGATTTATGAATTGTTTTTTTCGGTTTGTCAGTTTGACATGTTTTTTTTGTTGCTTATTTTGTTGTTGATTTTTGAATTTTTTTGCAGCCATTTTATTTTTTATTTTCGGTTAAATTATTATCCATTAATTATATGAGTCCAGTGTTTTTGATTGTCCTAATTTTGATTTTAATGCTTCTATTATTGTTATAAAACTATATAAATACATACATACATTTTATTAATATATATGCCCCCTATTATTTTAATCAGTCCAAGCTGTAGAGATTTCTGGCCAAACTCTCTTGTATAAACTCATTGCAACCACATCTTGAGATGTTAATTTACCATCAAAAGTAGCTTTGAAATAACCATGAGTACCCAAACTTTCTTTAATAAACCCAGTTCTTCCAGATTTAGTAAATAATGAAATTGCCTTGAAGAAATTGATGTCTTCTGGATTGAAGAACATATAACGGACAGTAACCACTTTCTTGTGGATCTTGACTGGGTGACCAGTTAAGACTGCACGTTGGGCAACAATTCTGGTGTGATCACAGTTTAAGAATGTACCTTGCCCTACAAATTCCAATGATCCCTCAACTTGGCCTGGCTTGAAATATATCACTGGTGCATTATTGAATAAGACTGGAGCAATTGCAGTTGCAATGACTGTACTACCCAAATGAGCAAATGTTTCTGATTTATGAACGTTGTTTGGATTATTGGATGCTTGGTTGAATAATGGCAGGATGACTTGTCTTCTAGGACCATATTGTACAATAATTGATTCTTTGGCGGGGATTGGCTTTTCATAATCTTCCCAACTTTCAAATGAAAAGTTACAGACAGCTAATTTATGTTCATGTTCTAATAATTCGTAGATTGTGAATGGCATAGAATCTGGATTTATTCTTTCAAGAATGAAAGATGGTGCTCTGATATATACTCTGGCTCGATTACCCGCATTGATTTGAGTTTGTTTGATGTATTCTTTATTAATCTTATTCTTGGTGGCTTTATAGTTGGATACTCTCAATAATCTATTCCAGATGCTTGGTGCTTCGACGTCATATTCATCAAAATCCCAATCACAGTTGGCAAGTGATTTAACTCCTCTAAAGGCTGCCAATCTTTCTTTGGCCGATTCATTAGGAAGTAATTCAAGTTCATCTGGGAAGTCTAAATCTTCCCTTTCCAATTCTCTAAATTGTTTCAATTGACGTTCTTCTTCTTCTGGGGATAAATCAACATGCATTTCAGTTTCAGCGTATTCAGTTGGTGCATATTCAGTTTCCACGGCCATTTCATCGTTCATTTCATCATCGTCAGCTTGTTCTGGTTCCTCAACATCAGACACATCTTCGTCTTCCAATATATCATCTACAAACCATCTACCTTGATATTCTGAAGTTCCCTTTGGTAATCTTCTCATCTTGGCAGGGTCAACTGGTCGTTTCACACCATCGTCGTCAAAATATATTCTTCCTTCTGATCTTACACCAAGATTATTTTCATTATCATCCCATTCGAAATCATCTTCGACCATTTCGACTGCTTCTGGATTTAATTCATCCAAACTTTCTTGATTTTCATCAGGGATATATGCATCAAGAATATTGTCCTCATCCATTTCCATATCTTGACCACGAGTTGGTCTCGATTTAGATATTTTTTCCAATTTTTCCACTTGGAAATCACCATATCCTGGGATATGAACTAATCTATTCACATTGAAACCAACTCCTCTGATCGTACCTTCAACAACCAAATGGCCAGATTCGGGGGTATCAGTTGACCAGGATACTTTGTCGGCAACTAACCAACCACGAGAATCTCTCCAAGTGACAGATTTAGGGAATTTTTGACAGATTGTACGTAAACAATTGATATTATCTGAATCTAATTCAAGTGAGAATAATTTTTCTTGAGTCGAACTGAAAAAGTGATCGAAATATGATTGTAATGATTGTTTAATATCTAATTGTAAATTACGCTTTGGATATGTTGATACGACATTTGGTAAAACTCCAATTACGGTTGCTATACCTTGTGCAATCAAGCTTCTTAATATTTGTTCTCCATATTCTTTTTCAACTTCTTGTTGAGCTGAGACTCCAAATATGACAAAATCTGAAACTTTTGCAGCATCTAATATAGAAAGGAAGTTATCTTGATTAGGAATTATGACTTTCAAATTGGATTTGAATCGAGCTATCGAGATTTTATTCACTGAGGGATATTGGAATTCAACCTTGGCTTGATCATCTTGATTGAATAATCTATCAGCAATATCAACTGGGGAGATATCAGTAGTTAATGAGATTATGGTAATGATCTTTTCAGCACCTTGATTTCCTTCAAATAACTTTCTAGTCAATTTGGTTTCTAAGATCTTTTGATCTTTTAATTGCTTAGAAAGGTTTTTTCTTTCAAGTTTACTAAGTGTCTTGGCTGCTTTATTTGAAGATGAAGATGACTTTTCAACTTTACCTTTATATTGATTTTTCAACTGACCTTTAGTGGAGTGTTTGGACTTGAACGGTTTATGGTCATTTTTCAATGTTTTCCTATGTCCACCTGCCATATTGTAAAGTAGATTATATGTATTTAATAGGCTTTGACTAGAGGCTGTAATGTATTATCAGATCAACTCGAGGTCTTTTATCTGATACTCGTATAAAAAAAAATAGATGAGATGCCCTTCACAAAAAAATAAACATTATCAATCACGTGCGATGAGTTAGGGCTCCAACTTTGAGTCAGGTGACCAAGTTTTTTCAGAATGAAAAATTGATTTTGGTATTTACACACCATACAAAATCTAATTTATATGCAGTCAGAAGTGAAAATTAATGTTAGTGTCAATGAGTGAGAAGTTTCCTCAACCAAACAGTCGCACCAAACAGTGCAGCGACCATTTGGTTTAGAAAAAAAAAATTTGGTGAGATTTTCAGTATCCTTTAAGTGTGATAATATCAACATTCAACGTTAATAAATGTATGTAACCATATGCTGAAGGGACATACGTGAGATAGAGGAGATGAAATAGCGGGATAAATGAACTACTACATGAGATGATGTTTAAAAGAAAAGTGGAAACAGCACATGTGTGATGAAAATCAAGCTTGCAACCTGAAAATTTGCAAATCAGAAAAGATTGTTGAATGTAAGGAATCTTATTAAGGAATATACGTTATACGAACTACTAAAACGATGTCATACTGTTTTTACTCAAGATGATCTAAGGAACAATAATATAAGGCATAATTTCAATATTGAATAAAATCTAATATCTAATACAGAGGAAGTATTCGATGACTGTTGCAGAAAAATATGAATCCCCAACCCACAGTTAATTAACACCCTTCCCTTAATCGAGATCGGCTAACAGGTCCCCGTCCCTCATTCAGCAATCTAGTATCCCTCATAGATTTCACGTTAAGTCCAAATTCGCACAACGCCTATTAAATGATTATTTCAAAAATACTAACATTCTAAATTTATAGCAAGATGGCTCACGAAAACGTTTGGTTCTCCCACCCAAGAAGATACGGTAAAGGTTCAAGACAATGTCGTCACTGTTCCTCCCACTCTGGTTTAATCAGAAAATACGCCATTGACTTATGTCGTCAATGTTTCAGAGAAAAGGCTAACGATATTGGTTTCCACAAGTACCGTTAAGTTATTTTTGTTTGATAAAAAGAACGAGAGAAAGGAAATATGTATAATGATCCAAAGATAAAAAAGACTTCCTTTTTCGAAATTGTACCATTTTATGATTTTCTTTGATGTTTGAAAAAGGTTTATTATTTCAAGATGTTGAAGAATATTTAAATTATTGGCAGGTGGTTTTTCATTTTTTGTCATGTTTATAAAAATATAGTTAATACACAATTTTATTGTTAAAAAGAGTTGCCTTTGTATGTAATGAGGGAGACTGTCCGTATTGGAAGTTCTACATATTGTGTGTGAATACCTATATCAAATGATTTGAAGAGACAGTATAGTCTAAAAACTATCTCTAGATACGTACGCAACAGTACACTTCTCTTTTCATAAAGCTCTCAAGGTTCACGATAGATCCTTAACGAAAATGATAGAGGTTCGTCAACATTATGAACCTGGAGCATTGGTAGATTCTAGATTCTCTATCGAGAAAAGAAGACCTCTCACTCTAGTTTCTTCGCTAGACAAGCCATGAAAAGCCACTTGACTTCAAGAATTTGATTCGTCTGTATACATTAAGAATTCCGATCAACATTCACGGCAAAGTCAATACAAACGTAGAGATGAATTAGAAAGACTATATCCCATTACATCGACATTCAAAATTCATCGCCTCACCAAAGAGACCCAAACGAAATTCAAACTTCCTATAGGGAATTTATTCTCGGGAAAGATATTTATATATTATAAAATGGCAACGAGTATAACTTGACAATCTACATTATCTCGTCGTGGCAAATTTTCCCTTGACATAAAAATATTATGCTTTTTGATTAAAGAAAGGAAAAAGAAGAAGAAAAACATTGTGATAAAAAAAATTCATTAAGATCGATTGGTTTTATAGAGAGCGATGATGATGAGACGAGACGGAACAGCAGAAAAAATTACAGTGTGAACCCTATAGGGTTACCCGGAAATTAAAATGATCTATATTGAACCTGCAATCTGAATCTACCATAAATAATATATATATGTATATGTATATGCCAGGTATAAGGCAAATGTAGAAACTCAACTCTAATAGGAGGACACATGTTTGAGTTCTTTCTCTTCGACAGTTATGTATGAGGGGAACTTGTAATTTTGTTGAAAAGTATAGCTTATCCTGAACCTAGTGGGAACTCAACTTCAAAGCCTGATCAACATCAATTCTCAATATTAGCAAGGATCTTAATAATCCAATCATGGTCACAAAACTTGCCAAACCTACAGGAACCACGGCAAACACAACAATATTATAAAAATCAAAAACTCTTCCACGTCGTTTCTTAGCCCTACCTGTCTTATTATTAATATCAATATTTGATGTCACAAAATTTTGGATAATATAAGCAAATGTTAAAATACAACTTATTAAGATCCAAATATGTAAACCATATTTATATCCTTCTGCCGAAAATGCTGACACTAGATATAATTCAACAGTGATACACATTGTAGATAAGGAAAGTACTCTTACAATTGCGGCTAATGTCAGATATGTAACTATCCATCGGATGATCAATCCGTCCAATACTGAATAATTAAGATATGCGGCGACAATACACCATACTCCAGTCAAGAAATGTTCAAGACCTCTAGCTGACGTAATTATGGTTTGTGCGTCATTCTCCAGGGGGAATATTCGTCTCCAAGATTGGAATAAACCTATAAGGGCGGGTATTAGGGATACATCACGACAAAAAGCCAAGGCGAAATGTTGTCTTGAGTTTAGGAATCTAAGCCCGAGTTGTTTAATTGTTTTCTTTTGCTTGTTGGCAGATGAAGCTTGTTGTTGTATTGATGGTTGTTGTGGTGACGTTATCTCTGTACTGTCGGAATTTAGTGATGAAGAAGAATTGGAACGTGACATATTTACAGGTATGGGTAATGAAGGAATTGGGGCATATATACGAGATGAAGATATTGGAATCGCGTCATCATGGTCATCAATGGGGATCGAGGAAATGTGATTGTTAGTGAAAATGTCATGACGCAGCCTATTTCTAACGTGTAATCTTTGTGAAATTTCATAAGAAGGGACTATTTCATGAGGATCAAAATGATTGGCTGACGTAGATGACGTAGTTGAGATCATATCATGTACTTGCGAACTGGAACGATTTATGTTTGTCGATGATCTACTGTGTATTGTTTCTGAATAATCATCATCGATTTGATTTGACTCTAATGGTGTATTTTTAAACCGTTTCCGTAGTGACTCAAAGAATGGCATTATTGTGTGTGTGTGTCTTATTCTTCCTTATCAGTGTCACTTTTTCAAATAGATAATCAATTTTACCAAAATGTGTGATTCTAAAATTAAAATATTTTCTTAATTAAAAAAGCGCATGTGGCTCACCTTTCCCTTTCCCTTTCCCTTTCAGATGGCAATGATCCAAGAAAAAAAAATAATTGATTCAAACGGGAATTACTCCCGATTGCCCCCAAACAAGGTACGATATACGGGTCTAGTGCTATTTATATTACATCAATTGCTGATAAATATGTCATTCAACTTACTACTGTACTAAATATGGATTGCTGTTGTAAAAGAACTATGTCAATCTCTATATTAAACGTCAAATGGTGATGTTCCATTTGGTTCGCGCTTTTGATTTGGCAACACCAGGAAAACCATTAGATTGTACTTTATCTAATACTGTACAACTGATACAACAACGGTATTATATCTCAATCTGTTAAAACCCTCACTTCCAATCAAATTCAAAAGACATTGGAATGTTCTTTGTTGATTATATGAGCTTATTTACAAGAATAGTTTACAGCCATAATATTTTCCCAACCAGTCAAAATCCAGAAAAGGCAGAAATCAACTAAGGCAACCAAAATAAGGTTTGATTTAGTTTGAACTAGTCCCTGAAACACGTGATCGAAAAGGTTATATCAGGAAGAAGCAATGCCTATATATCATCAATCCCATACTGAATTAGAGTCCTCCAATAATAATGGCAGCCATTGTCTTCCTAGAACATGTTGCAGTGCACTTTGTTTAATCTCTGCTGATTTATCAAATAAAGTTTCCAAAGACAAGCGATAGCATCAATTCAATAAAATCTAATATCGGTGACAGTTTTCATCATTGGCAACAATTGCAAGCAATTGTATACTCATAATCCCTGTCCTATCTGCGACATCCTCATTACTAAACTGTTCCAAAAAACGGGGAGACCATTTGAGGAGTCCATTGATTGAAGCTCATATTTAAATGGAGTCAGGTAAAGGAATGAATGCGAGTTTTAAAAAACCATATCGAGGTTCGATTGATTAGAATTCTTCATCAATGGCAATTCAAGATCCATGTGTATTCTATGGAGAACTGCATGTGTAAGTGTCACTCACACCCACAGAAGGAATAACTGGAGAGACAATTGTAAATTCCAAATGTATTGGGGCAAGCCGAAGAATCTAAATTAATTAAATTTTATATTATGTTGACTTTAATCTGAGGAAAGATATTTTGGGGTAAATTGGGATTTTGGGATAATATAAATCAAATACATGAAACTAATATTGATGAGATAGAATATGAGAGTTTCAATTATTTAATTACAAAGGCAGCAAGAAGAATCAGTGTTGAAATTGGACGTCAATTGATCAAACTCCAATTCAGATCTACTGGTTTTGAAGAGGCTGGGGGATCAACGGTGGTGCCCCCATATTCGGGAGAGGGTAAGTCTACGACATGTGTGAGTTGAACAGTAGTATTGACAGTGCAATCGGAATTGTACTTTGTAGAAGTGATTGAGTAAAGTGGAATGTTCGTTCTAACGATGTCCAAATTTAACCAACGACACAAATATTGATGCCTAATGCACATTTGTATGCTGATTTTTTATAAGGATAGATATGTGAAAACTATGAACGGAACTTCCAAGAGCACCGGCTAGCTGAATAGAATCCTTCGTCGACCTTAATAGTCACTTTTGTTACCTATTCAACCTTTCATTTTGTCCACAAATACCTCAACTTCGACCACTTAAAATTTTGCTTATTACGCCGTCAATTTTAATCATATCACCTATCTAATTACATGAATATATTGCTGCATCCATTAGCTACAATCTAATACTAGATTGAGCTGTTGAAAGTTACCCATCGGGCGTTAAACAGCAAAATGCTTATATGCAGGATTGGCAAATTGTGACGGGTGGAGTGGAGAGTTTCAATAAGCCGAAAGCTACATTGAAAACACCTCAACATGTTATCTTGCCGAAAAGGATGACTGAGTCTTGTTAGACCCCTCTTTTCACAAGATGAAGCACGTTACATGGTGTGATGGTAGTCAGCCACCTTGCACCTATGACACTTCCTTAAACCCCCCAGTCAACCGCTCCAAGGAGCAACTCGTTTTGAAGACAAAGATTGACCAGGTATTGCATTTAGATGGGCATCAACAACTGATACCCATCTGAAGGGATTTGGCTTCGAAAGTGGCCCCCTTCCCAGCTTCAGGCTAGTGAACTTGATTGAAGGTAAATATACATACTATTGTCTTGTCTTTGATTGATATGTGAATGAATGTAGTAGTTAATTAAACAAGAAGAGGAAGAAGAAGAGAAAGAAGAAAACACAAATAGTTTTTTTGTTTTCAGTGGAATTTATATGATTTTTTGCTTGTGGTCAAATTGCAACAAATTTTGCAATTGTTGCCAAAATTGCACGACCAGAAACATTGCACAAAAATGCAACCACCAATTAAATTATATGTGCCCCAACCCCCATGTCTCCCCTCCTCTGTTCTAGATACTGGTTCTTTTTGAATGATCTAAGTGATATAGCTGGAATACTCTTGTAAACCTTAGTAATCGGTTGTATTCATTGTTATCACTACTTTCTATATTTATGATCAATTTATGTATGTTGTCCATTTTTCTGTTTGTTGACTTTTCTATTAAGAGAGTGTTACCCAAATTTCTCAGAGATACGCTATTGGATTACTTTTGCTTCAACATATTTAATAACTTGCTTCTTCTTTTCATTTTCGACTAATGCATAATATCTAGCAAGGGCCCCCAAAGGCAATGGGTAATGGTGATTAATTAATACAACCAAGATTGGCAAAGTCTGCATAATTTTGTTCAAATATCAGCTACAACTACTACCGTACTGTTTCTTGGCAATATTTAATACCGCCACTAACAACAACAATAATAAGAGTAATACCAAATTTTCCAATGCCAGAGGAAATGCCACTGATTTTTAAGAATTGAAAAAATGACGCTACCAAATGTTCCGGTGTAATGCTTCTGAACATTCCGTGAATAGTCATCTAAAGGTAGGTTCACATTCATCGCATACCACGGTCCATTCTATTGTAATAAGCAAGTAAGAGTTACTTCATTGCAGTTCCAGGACCCATTTTAATTCGTCACATTAGCCTACTCACTGTATTTTGATAAGTAGAATTTGTAGCAGGCGGTCTCTTACCATTTCTCTGGAATTGATTAAAATTGCATAGCCATCTAATAAGCGTTTACAATGTAAGGATTCCAAGATGTTTGCTGCACCGACTGATATATTGCATCAGTTTTGGAGGATTTTGTTAATAGGAGGTAAATACGTCTTCACTTGGTTGTAAAAAAAATAAAGAGAGGATTCACGTGTGCACTTAATTCATGCGGTTAAATTCCTTGAAGTGCAGAAAGTAAGCTGCAAAAGGATGGTTGGTGAAGAAGAGCTTTCAGGGGTAGGTTTCATCTTGAAATCAATGGATATTTGATTAATTAATTAATTAATTATATATAACTTGTTGTGTCTACAAAAATACAAAAAATATGAAATTTAAAAATTAGTTGATATACAGTATATGAGGGATGATGTATATATAACAGCAGAGTAGAGTATATATGAAACAGCCTTGATTAGATAGCTTCTAATTGTTGACTGATTTCATCTAATTCAGCCTTAGCAGCATTGTATTGTTCGGTCAAAGCTTCGTATTTCTTTTCCCATTCTTCTTGTTCTTGTTCTAATGAAGCAACCTTTCTTTCCAATTGTTCAGCCTTAATATCAGTTTCTCTTAATTTTTCAGTAGTTTCTTTCAAGTTCTTATCAGCTTCTTCTAATTCTTCTTCTAATACTTGATTCTTTTTAGTATAGTTTTCATTAGAAGTCTTTAATGAATGAGATTCATCAGCAGTTTGTTTGATAGCATCTAAATCAGTTTCTAATTTTTCAACTTGTTCTTCTAAAACTTGGTTCTTTCTGGTTAATGCTTGAATTTGATTATCCTTTTCCAAGTTTTCTTGTTCTAATTCTTTGATTCTTTCTGATAATTCATCAGATTTTTCTTGCCATTTTTCAGCATCCAATTTTAAGTTGTTGATTTTCTAAAGAGAATTATTTAGTTAGTATTGATGAATTGAATAAAATCTGGTCAAATGGGGCAATATATGGAACTGTTGATCTGTATACGGTATGCAGTCGAAATTGAATATTAGTTCATACGTGTTCTCAAATCGTCATGGGCTATGTTCTTTGTTCGTTGCTTATCTATACGTGTCGACCAATGAAAACTCAATTGATTAAAAGTTGGGTAAATATCCTCAATTGATGTAACGGTGTGATACATACTTCCTTAAGTTTGTCCATTGTGTATAGATTGATCTATTATCGGTGTACTATTGGGTTATGAAGAAAGAGAGAGAGAGAAAAGAAGACGAAATAAAATGTGTTAGTTCGGTATACACTGTGTTGAAAGTTTTTTTGATCAGTTATACACGCACTTTTGATCTCTCCCCCTAACTTTTTTATTTTTTGGTTTGCCCATTTTTTTTACTTAAACAAAACAAAAATGACAAAATCGTCTAACTAAGACGAGAAACGCACGCGTTCCGGTTTATATACAGGAGATTTCAGGATCTCATGGAATAGGTTATAAAATCATTGGACAAGACTAAGAGAAAACGTCTTTATGTTATCTGAACCGATATATCTGCATTCTTCACTAGAATTTTGACAGATGGATTTTACCTTCCACGTTTGATTTTGTTCGAGCAGGACCAAAGATTCAATAGTCATTAACCCAGAGAGCCGACCGGAAACATAATTAAATTACAACTGTCACTTGTTTCTGATCCGGTTTTTTTTTTCTTAAAAACACATAGTTTATCTATACGATATATAAAACTATGTAAGAGAAATATATACGCTTCCTTGAGTAGGTCTGGAGGGAGGACGAATTTGAATAAGGTCTAGTAGAATTGTGAAAAACTTCAACGATTCTTTAAAAACTTTTAGATTGAATGATTTTCTCTCATAATTCTGCGAAATTTTAACTAAATTCGAAAATTTGCATTTTTGTGCTCTAAGGCAGACTAGAGTGTACTATCTCTATAACTGGATTGTTACTGAAGAAGGTAGTCACCATTGTCAATTGATATTGATGAACCGACGTATAATTAGATCTATGCTTTTTCATATCGTAAAGTAAATTATTATTTTTTTTTGTTAATTTTACCGAGATCAAATCTGTACATAAAAAATAAAATATTTTTTAACCATGTGTAATTATTCTTTTTACGATTATAAAGCCAGCCATTTTTCTTTTCTTCAATTTTTGAATTGTCATTACTACACAATTTGGAAACCCCTTGTTGTTATTACAAACAGAAAACTTTATAATAGATTTTATTCTCTCTTTGTTGTTCTGCATTGTTGTGTAACCAACAGAATCTGAGTTGTCTAGAAGTTTTTTATATGGTTAACCTAAACTTTATAACCAATATATCCAAAATTCCCATGGCAGAACTTTATCTTCATCCGGGAGTAGATCCACTCTCACGAATATCAATTCCTAGTCAAGTGGAATCTGATAGCAATTCATCAAAACAACTAACACCAACACTCCAAACAAACTCAATGAACAACCCATTTGCATTAATATATGATTCAGCTGATTCATTAAAAAATCGAACTTCTGCAGCTAGTCCCCCACCTAATCGATTTCATGATGATGCCTCATATCGACAAATCCTGAGTAATTTCACAAAGGCAGGTCTGACACTGAATCAACAACCAAGTCATACGAGGACTCTAAGTCCCAATGATCAACAATACTTGAATTTACCTCCACCACATCGAATAAATCCCGATGCGGTTCCTACTGTTACAATCATTGACGAAAGATTACTAAAGAGAAGTGGATCGATTATATCGAAATCAGCAACATTGAGAAATAGAAATAAGATAAAGCAACGAAATAAAACTGTTCTAAAGCATGATTTACAAGATGATGAAAATGATGATCATGATACTAAAACTAGACCACGATTTGTGTTTCCAATCAAACGCAAGACATCATTAAAATATAAGTCATTAGCATCCCTGACTAAGCCCAATTTCAGTAGTCGTGAACAATTAGTGCAATTCTTGAATAATTGCAATTATCAAGAATGGTTACATACTTTGATACCTTCCAAAATGAAAGTATTTAAACATAAGAATATCCTAAAAGTTCATCCCGATTTAACATATCAATTGAAATTATTTGAAATTAATTCAAAGGGAAACATCACAAGTAGAAAGAATTCTACTAAATTAATACCAAAATTAACAAGCAAAGGTCCAAGAACACTTGTGGGGTTGGCATATCAGAAATATCGAGAAAACGTATTTGCCAGAAATAGTAGTGAAATACCACCACCTAAATTCCAAGATTTATACCCAGATGACGTAGACTTGTTATCCGATTTCGAGATTGAACAAATAAATACCCAATTCTTGTTTGAAATCTTATTGAGACGGACTATTCTGGCCAAAATAGAATTCAGACTTCAATCCAATCGACCACAATTCACATCTCCATGGGCGACAACAACATCATCATCATCATGGAAATCATCGTCAAGACACTCAGGTTCGACAAGTACAGGCACATCTGATTCACAATTTGCATCCCCATCAGAATCATATGATGGATCTAACGAATTTGGTGACAGCCAATCGGCATCATTTTCGGCATTATCATCGTCAATAATCAAATCTTCATCATCTTCTCGAAAATCACCTAGAACTAGAGGGGGGCATAAATGCCCTCCACCACTTGGAATAACATCTTCCCCCAAGTCTCATTTTCCACACGTTCCCCCATCAAGAATATCAATTGACAGGCATCACGGAAAACAACTGCAATCTACGACTGAATCAAATCTGGCATTCACGCAGACATCGAATCAATATCAACATCACCACCAGCAGCACCATCATCAAAAACAACAATCGCAGGATCTACAACAACAGAGCAATAATCTGATGGAATACGAATTAAATCCAAGACATAGATCACAAGACACGATTTCGTCAACACGAACCTCATTACAACATACTTCAGCAGACGAGAAGGTACGATTGAAGGTTATGGAAAGGGAGTTTAGGTTTGGATTGGAGAATATTGGAGATGGGGTAAGTGATTTATCATCATTTATGGGTGGGATTTTGAGTTGTGATAGTGAGGATATGAATAGGAAAACTGTGGTCGGGACTGGAACTTCTCCTTTTGGAGAAACTATGAGTCCAGAAGTGAAGATTTGATTTATTTATTTATTTAGTGATATTAGGATATTGTTTATTATAGGAGTTTTATAGTTTGGAATATACTTGTTTCAATATTGGTTGCAAAAAAAAACAGACTTTCGAAATCATATTTCAAGATCGTAGAGAAACACCAAAAACAGATGGAAATAAGCTGCAGTTTTTATAATCGTACTGTACCTTCCAGTATCATAATGTTTCAGGAAGAGGATTAAGCAATTGATTGTTTCAACATTCTCAAGATATCTTGGAATGGATATCTGAGTCTTGATATTTAACTTGATAAACATCAACTTCCATAATGATATTATCAAATTGTACGCAACTAAGTAATTTAATTATAACATTTATTCTTATAAATAAGATAGTAATACAATATATATGATAACAAAAGTAGAAAGAAGCAACACAAAAGAAGAAGTTCCAAATAATTATGAGGAACAACAAGAAGAGAAGTAGAAATCTATATACCCTATAGAAGTTTTTAATACAGCATTATAGATAATGTATTATCAACACAACAGACTCATATTTATATCAACATCATCATCAAACCCATTATCCATTTTATCTTTTTACACTAAACAACCACATCATTCCAAAACAGGCAATATCAACTTCATGAATTATATACCATAGGAAGCATAAATTCTCTTATTCTCTTGGCCATTTCTTCATCAGGTATATCTTCAGTCATACTCCCAGCATTATTTCTAGTAGGATAATAAGAATGATCCAACACATTCAACATAAACAAAGGTATTTTATTATCCCTAACTCCTTCACATACAGACAAAACCTCATCCACCCCAATTAATCCACTATCATGTAAATTAATTAATTTATTAAACCATTTGCGATCTTTGATATAGTATGGAGTTGGATCACGTCCATTTGTAACTGGTGGAGAGTTAATAGCAGCAATTGCAGCACTAGCTAATGCATTCTCGAAATCAATTGTAGTTGTATCTGTTATTCTTGATCTCTTTAATGCCGGATCGACTGATTCATCCATAGCATTAGGAATATGGTTTTGATGTTGTTGATGGTGGGCTCGGGTGAGATGATGCATAGTGACATCAGTTGGATCCGGCCCATCATGAAGAAGCGATTTGGAGAATGGTAGCGATGTCACATCGTCAGCATCAGGAACATGATTGTGACTATGTGAATGAGAATGGGCATGGGAATGAGGGAGACCAGAGTTGCCGCTACTGGTGGCTACGACTCCAACGGTGGTGTTTGCTGTTACTGTTCCTGAAACGGATGTGCCCGAGGAAGTTGTTGAGTCTGCGGTTGAATGTCGTCTCTTTTTCGATTTTGGAGTTGAGTTGACTGAAGTTGACGATTTTGTTTTTAATGGGATTAAAGGCTTGAAATATTCATGACTGGCTTCTTGATAATCGAATTTAGGAATTTCTCCATAGATATCCCCTAAACCTTCAGCATATTTTGGGTCTAATCGAATTAATAATGGTAATACTTCATTATGATATACCGACATATATTTTAAATTATCACTAAGGAAGAAATCATTCACAATCAAATTCCCTTTATTGAAAGCACTTAATGGTGGTAATGAAAGTGATTCACTATACAACAATGACTTAACTTGTCTTTCATCGAGTATCAATGACCCTGTCGTATTATCAATTATTTGAAATCTTCCTAAATCAGGATTCCATCTATATGAATATCCAGTATTACTTGGGTTATTCTTTTGATGTAACATTAACACAAACCATATCTTGTATCTATGATGATTCACATTTAATAAATGTTGTTGACAGGAATATTTCGTATATGTAGAATAGACAGTTTCAGGATTAGCACCTCGTAATTGACCAGTAACATATGCCCAAGCTTTTTTTGTCATTGTCGCTTCAGCTCCCTTGGGGTAGGAATGTACCACATCTGATAATAGCTTTATAAGGAATTGATCCATTTTGGGTGTCCATCTTCTATATTTGGAGTCACGGGACTTGAGATCAAATTCAGTCAATCCAGAGAATTCTGTTGCCTGAGGCAGTTGTTGTTGTTGTTGTTGCTGATGAGCCACAGCTGCTTGTTGCATGTGGTACTGTTGTTGTTGTTGCTGTTGTTGTTGACGCTGTTGATGTTGTTGGTGTTGTTGGTGATGAAGCTGTGATTGTTGCTGATGGTGTAACTGTTGTTGTTGGTGCATCAATAGCTTCTGGTGATGTTCTTCTTGTTGTTGACGGTGATGGAGCTGTTGTTGTTGTTGTTGATGTTGAGCATTCTGTGTCGCTATTCTTAAGGCCTCAGCTGCTCGCTGGTTGTCAACTTGTACTTGCATTGATTTCCGTAGATTGCTATTTGAGGACATTCAGGAATATCTTAACTTGTATTAATACCCTCCTTTCACCCTAACGTAGTATGAGAGATTGGTTGGTTAATATTATTGATAATCCTGGTAAAGGTTAATAGAGATGTAAAATGTAAAAATTCATAAACAACTTGTAAACTCATTTACCCAACCAACAAAAAAAAATTTGTTGATTCGTTGTACACTTTTACATTTTCCCCCCTTAAAACCTGCAAAAAGAAAGCCACTACGAAATCCCACAAAAATAGAAAAATTGGTAAAGGAACGTCCTTTCTTATATGATCTACATATTCTACATACACCACTTCTCTATCTAATCAGATGAATTATACTACTTTCATAATTTGATTCATTATATCTGGAACCACGGGTAGTCCAATTACATTCTTCATGCTTATCTTGTATTTTAGTAAACTTATCCAACATTTCATACACTCTTTTCCTCTTGATCGATAATTGACTACTTACTGATGTACTGGTTGAAACTGCCCCAGGTGTATTTACCGGGGTAGTTAGAATTCCACTAGGAATTGAATTTGGTGCTAATGTAGTTGAAGTTGTATGGGTTAGGTTAGATACGGTCGCAAGTCTATTTCGAAGTGTGGTATATGTTGTTGATTGAGGTAATACCATTAATAATCCATAAAGTGTCTTGTATAAATATGGATGTTTCTCTGGTTCAAGTAATTGTAAACGTAATTTCAAAAATATCGGAGATTCAAGTAATTGAATTAATATATCCAATTGAGTCAATAATTGGAAAGTGACTTCCAGTTCTGATAAATTCTTGATTATTAAATATGCCAATTCATAATTTGAAGTTAATAAACATAAAGATAATGCACTTGGAGCATTATGACACCAACTTTGAAATAACAGGGAAAATAATTGCCAATCTTCTAATTTATAAACATCTAAGTTCTTTAATTTCTTTCTAAAAGAAGCCAATTCTTGTGATGTCAATAAGATATTATTCAATGTAACAACCATCATATTTATAAACTCCAAATCGTCAATTGTTGCCGTTAAGACTTCAGATAAAGTCGTGAATATTCCTTCTGCATTTAAATAAACACATAATTTCCGAATTATAAATTCAACTTTGATCCTATGAGATTTCTCATGGGCTTCTTGTTCAAATAACTTGATTAATTTTATAATAAAATCTTTGAAGAATACTTGATTTGATTCAGAAATTTTTGCCAACAACTGTAAGACTTTTAAAATCACATCATTACTTGAATCATTTGAATATTTTAATAAATCCGTTAAATCAAATTTATTATCTCCAACCAATGAAAATATTCTTAAAAATTCCAGTTGATTCCTAGAATAAATAAAAATCAACCACTCTAGTGCAGTAACTCTTGATAATTCATTAGTTGAATCTAAATATTGTCTAATTATGGCATTTATGGTTGCCGGTAATTCTACTTCATTAATACTGTCAGTAACTTCTTTAGTCAACCCAAGGATCAATTTCATATCATTTTCATTCTCATCAGTTTCATGTTGTTGTTCATTTTCTTTCTTAAAATCAGTGAATTTAGTTAAGAAATCCTGAAGAGCCAAATTGAATCCAAGGAACGAATCTCGTAATTCGAAATCACGATCCGTGTCAGTAGTTGAAATATTCTTCATTACGATGGATACGCACTCGGGAAACAGTTTTAAAATATCAACTGGGGAAATCACCAATATTTCACGTAACCATTTCAAAGCAATCGATTGAACTTGACAACAAATTTCATGTGGTTCATTTGACATATCATCTTTAGTAGTTGCAGTGATGGTATTCGAGTTGGTTTTGTTAGTTTCATTTTCTGAGCTGCGTAAGAACGAAAGAAGAATATTTATGATTTTGGCATAGTCGATGAAGATATCTTGTCCAAATAAGAATTCGTCTCCATCTTCTTCAGTTGAAGATTGTTGATGTTCTGGTTGAGATTCAATCTTGGTTTCCTTTGGTTTTCTGATAATTGTTGTATCTTCGGATCTAATAGACGCATTTTCATCCAATTCATCATCTGCATCCGCATCAATATCATCTTGGACTGATTCTGAGGGATGTAATGTAATTTCTTTGACTTCCTTAGTTATTCTGTCTGTATCTTCACCATTTTCAATTTCTTTCTTCTGTTGTTGCTCTTGTTTCTTCTCTTCTTCCACTTTCTTTTTAGCCCTTTCTTGAGCAATTTGTCGTTTCTTGACTTCGAATTTAATTTTGGAAATCGACTTAATTTCTTTAAGTAATGCATTTAATAAATTTTCTGTTTCTAACCTAACATCCGAAGGAGCATTATTAAATAAAAAATTAATCAAAGGTTCCAAGAAATTAGGTAAGAATGAGATCAATTCCAAAGAAGGAATATCATCAAACAATTCAATCCAACTTAACAAAAACTTCTTAGCAAATGGATCAATAACATATATTCTTTCTAACAAAGTAGGTATAAACTTCGGTAATGAAAATGCCTTTTGAGGATCCTGCGGATTGTTCACTTGTATAGCCAGTCCATCATTATTCACCAAATTTGTTCTTATCACACTTGATTCATCTCCCTGTTGTTGTTGCTGTTGTGCTTGCTGATGTTGCTGTTGTAATATAGAAACATAATTCGTTGATTTAGCACTCACAATATCTTTAACCAATCTATCCAAAATATCAGCCGCATTCTTGACTGATGATTCACTATCTGTAACCAAAATACACAAAATATCAAACACTTCATTAAAATAAAGCAATATCTCTCCTCTTGCAATCTTAGCTATATTATATAATGATTCACAAGCATAATATCTCACTCTAGCATCAGTATCTCTAAACGTGGCAAATATAGGTTTGATTATATCTTCCAAGAAATATGCAATTGCGAAAGAACCCAATGCAACAGAAACACTTCCCAATGCGGTAATAGCACCTAGTTTAGCGGAATTGGTCCCAATGGTTGTTATGTCTGCCAATTCGTTGATTATTCGATAGATTGTTTGACTGTCATTACGGGCAAGGGCGTTTTTGGTAATACTTTCAATTTGAAAAGCAGTGGCTTTACGTTTTTCATAGATGTGATTGGAAAGGTCTTTGATTAAGGCTGGGTCGAGGATCTTACCTTCAGTAGTTGATGACATTGGGTTGATGAGTGGTACCGGTGATCTCGTTGTTGTTTGATGATTCCTTTAGAGTTATAAAATTACAGCCTTCTAACCCGCAACAGAAATCAGAGAATACTTAAGTCACGTGATATAATTTCCTAGTCTAGTCACGATAATTTAGTTAGCTCTACCAGTAAGATAGAAGAGGGATTTAAAAGGCACTGCCCTACATTATCAATATAGTCTTTCACTAACTCTAACCATGCACATTGAACTATAAAAGAAATATAAATAAAAATCTAACCATAAAATAACCCTGCATCCCTTAAACTCTAAAAACCTATATCTCGCGATCTCGCCAATGCTCACATAAACTCGGCGATTAATATCTTCTTCTCTTTCCATTCTTCGAAGTGTCAAAATATGCATCGTCGTCCATATTTCCCATATTATAATCCTTTGACGGACTAGCCGACAGCCCTCTTTGTTGTGACTGTTGTCTCATCGGTATATTCGATAAATGTGATTCTAAAGTCGTTCCACGACGCTCTGCCTCAGGAGTTGATGATGACGAAGATGACGATGTTTGTCCATTTGGATTCGAAGTAGTGTTATGATGTAAGATTTCTCCAAGCTTTAATAGATCCGGTTCCGAAAAATCGGAAATTGAAGGTAATCTAACATGAAAATTTATATATAAATTCCCTCTATTGTATCTACTTAAATCAAATAGAACATCTCTTAATCCGTCAACATCTTCTAGATTTTGGATTAATTCACCTCCTTTTGTTATTTCATTTATGGGTATTCCTAATCCCTTGACGATTTTTGGTTCGCCGGAGTTTATCGTGCCGACAATCTCACCTTCTTGAATCAAAGGATTGTTACTATTGTTTATGCTTCGATTTCCATGGACATTGATATAAATGCGTAAAGATTGTCCCTGTTTAAGAAAATTTGGAATGGTGATCTGTCCACCTAGTAATGCCGTCTTGAGATCAATTTCATAATCCATGTATAAATCATTATATTTCCTGATTAGATAAGGATGTGATCTTTCTCGGAGATGAATAACTACATCTCCCGGTATGATATTCTTGCCTTCGTCTGCTTCACCTTGTAAAATTATTCTATCCCCATTTTTACAGCCTGGTAAAACATTGACCTTGATAAGTTTTGTTTCATGTACATATCCCGTAAATGCACATGCAGGACATCTGTCATTAGGATCGATGAATATACCTGTTCCATTACATGGTTGACATGATCCTGTTTGTTGAAATTGTGAAAAGTTATTATAAAAAGTTGTGATAATTTTTCCTGATCCTTCACATTGTTTACATGTTTTGGGATTATATCCTCCATATCCTTGACAAACTTCACATTTAACATTTTTGGGAAGGTTTAATTTAATTGTTTTCCCATATACGAAATCTCCAAGATTAACATCACAAGTATGATGGATATCTTCTCCACGGACAAATTCTTGATCTAAGGGAGATCCATATGGTTGGACAACTTTTTTCATATTCTGTTGTTGCTGTTGCTGGAGGTTAGGAATGCCCGAGAAGCTAGTTGTACTTGTTCTAACAAATGTTTGTTGTCCTCCAGGTGGTGGTGGCGGGAAATTAAACATCGAATGCTGGGAGAACATGCTATTTATATCATTAAAGACTTGTGAGAATATGTCATTTGGGAACGGAGGTCGTCCACCACCACCACCCCGTCTTTGTTGTGTAGATGGAGCTTGTGATGAAGACGCCACTTCTATAACGCCATCCAATCCCGCCTCTCCATATTTGTCATATACTGATCGTTGCTTGGGATCTCGTAAAATTTCATAAGCTCTGGTTAATTCTTTAAATTTCTCGGTTAATTCTGGATCATGATTTGTTTTGTCAGGATGACATTTTAGCGCTTGTCGTTTATATGTTCGTGCTATCTCTTCTGTTGTGGAAGATATTTCTACACCTAATAAATCGTATAAATATGTCTCCTTTACCATATGGATATTAATTCATAAATATATGTGCGTGGATATTGAATATACAGGTACCTAATATGCTCTTGTGTTTACTGTACCAGCAGTTATTCTTTAGGATGAATATGTTTATAAAAGAAGCAGATCCTTTTACTCAAATTAAGTTATTATAAAGTAAATGACTAATCAATATAATTAAGTTTTGGATCATTTACTTTAAATAAAATTGTAAAAAGATTTTGAAAACTGCATATAGAACATTCGAGAGAATTCTAAGAAACGAGAAAAAAAGATTGATTACGTAATTCAAATATTTTACTAAGTATTGAATTTAGTCACTTTGGCATACACAGAGAAATCTGGGGTAAACAGAGAGAGAGAGAGGCCGCTGTTCGTGTTGATTCATTTTATGGACCATTAATTAGCTTAAAATTTCTTGTATCACTATATAATTATACTTACTGTATTTAAGTTTATCGTAACTAGTCATATATAAATAATTAAAATGCAATCCTCCTATTGTAACATTTCATCTCTAAAATGTTTTTGGAAATTAACTTTAGTAGACTTCGTCCTTCTCTCATTCTCATTCTTCAATCTAAGTTCTACCCTTCTAATCGCTTTTTCTTCCTTTGTAACTTGATATGACGAAAGTTCAGTAGCTGCAAATCTTCTATCCACTAATGCTTGTGTTTGTTGTCCTTGGGAATATTCACGGGGTAAGGCAATATTCTGTCTATAATATCTTGCCATTGATCTGTGTCCGATTCGTGAACCCAGAGGAGTGGTTAATTCGACTCCGGATCTATCTATTTGGACTAGTGAATAATTCTTATTGATTCCATTATCATCCATATCTTCAGAAGCATCGTCAAGATCTTCTGATGCGGCATATTCGACAATAATTGCAGAGGACAGGGGGTCTTCACTGAATCCCACATGCTTGTCAGTTGTACTTTTTCTTCTGGTGGAAGATGATTCATCAATGAAATCGTAGAATTCAGCAAGAGCCAATTTGTCTTGTTTTGTTTCATATGGAATTTTGCAATGTCCTTTTGATGTGATATGTTGTCTGATACTTTCCAAACTTCTACCGACGAATCCACAAACCAAACATTCATTATCCACTGAGATTACTTCACTAAGATAATTGAGAAACCCTTCAACATTGATTAAGAACGATCTTTCAGGAATGTATAAACCATGTCTGTTAAACATATGTTTTATATTATTTTCAATTTCATGATTATTTTGATCACAAAAGAAACAATGGGTGTTTGGGATAGCTTTTATTTCTTCCATTGAATCATCATTATCGGAATAGTCATTTTCTTCATCGTCGTCATAGACGTATCCGTCCTCTTCTTCTTCTGAGGAAAGCATTTCTCCTTCCAAATCGGTGAAATCAGATTCGGTATAATTGATCTCTGATCCAGTATCTACAGATCCAATCTCGGAATGGGTATCATGATGATCGTCTAATGAAAATTGTGAAAATTCAGAAATGACACTATTGGACCCTGTAAACGGCTTTTGTCCTTCATCTTCGTCATCTTCATTGTCTGCCTCTTGTCCTTCGCTATTAGTCAGTCCCTGCTCTAGTTTCCTCAGTTGCAATTTCAAAAACTTCTTCGTCAATTGTCTTTGACCACCATGTAATTTCTTCTTTCTTGTAGCTACATAAAATCCATATTCATCTTCATTCTCTCCTCTAGAATCACCACTACCACCACCCAATTCAAATTGTCGTGAATGTAATATCTTTTCAGCAAATGTATCAGAAGAAATTGAAGGTAATTGTGCTACTCTTCTTTTAAGATTATATCGATGCCATTCAGTCTTCATATGTTGTCGTTGAAGTTCGGCATTTATAAATTTGATTCCACAAGTATTGCATGTGAATGATGCTGTTTCTGGATTAGATCCTTGTGGCATATAATTACTCATTTTTATTAAATATTATCTGTTTTGTTTGTAGTGTAAATATTAACTTGTTGGTAATTTGAATGATGATTAACTTAAAATGGAAAAGTCATTGATCCCCCTTCGTTCTCCTTTTCCTTTTTTACATGTTACGTCAAAGAAGAATTTACGGGTTAAGAAGTTAAACTGTAAGAATTTATTAAATATTAATTTTTGGTTGCGAAATTGAAACACTTCCATTTCTGATTAATTAAGTAACCTCCTTAGGTCACATTTCCATTTAATCTATAGAAAAAGCCAAACTATCATTTGAGCAGCCAGGATAGTGTCAACAACGAAAACATCAGAAATTGAAATTGAAGAAATTAAAGAGGGTGGGTTTTCCAAAAGAGGAGCAGATGAAGAAGTAGGAAGAAGCTACTAAGAGAGAGATAAAGGAAGGGTTTGGCGGGGTGGTTAGAAAGATGAATGAAGCACATACTGAGCGAAAGTAATACTTAGGTTTTGTCGGAGATTGGAATTGGTGAATTGTGGTCTAGACCTCTGCGTATTCTCAATGTCTTCTCACCCTATGCTGCCAAAATTCAGGCTTGCTTAAGCAAGTAATTAGCAAAACCACTAAAGGACGTTTCCTTCTATAAGATAAACTCTATTCTGCTACAAGATCACCTTGTGATTGGAACCCATCTCGTAAATTGAGCTCTTTTAGAATCCTTCAAAAAACTGTTGCAAATCCTTTGTTAAGGAGACGTCTGGGTGAAGGCAAATCTCTCTACACCCTTTTCCTTTCTTAGATCTTTAGTAAAAGCAATACAGCTCGCCCCAAAATGCCCAATCATACTTTATCAGAAACTAATATCCAAGATCTAATTGCTGAGAATAAAGTGGTGATTCTAAGAGTTGTCCATTCAAGGAATGAAACAACGGTGTCATTGAGTATTCATCCAAACTAATTGTCAACACAGCATCACATGCCCCACAAACAATCAAAAACAACCTCCCTGGAATCATTACCTACAATTGACCAACCTACTGAATTCTATCAAATAAAAGATGTATGGGGTTTTGATAAAGATTGGAGTAGGTAGTCCCATTGATGTTTTGGATGAACCAGTGGTAGGTCCTGATCAAGTACATGTGAAATTAGAGAGGTTGTTGATTTGTAGTGAATGTGAAAAGAGGTCCATTTGGATACGCTGGGATTCCAATTGGTTCGGAAGCTGATCATAGAAATTTGCAATCGTATTTGAATTGAAATAGTATATTATATGGTTTTTAAATGATAAGTTTGCACACAGGAGGAGCTACAGATAGGGATGAAAACTTAATCATAGAATGACAGATTTGCTATTGGTCTTATATCTTTGAAAAAGTTGTACATATACAGCAACTTTCATAAAGTGTAATTCTATCAAAATTCATAGTTCCCTGATATAACTTTATCTGACCTATTTGAAAGATTTGTTTTTTAGTGGAGACTACGACTATTGGTAACCTTTCAACCAAGTCAAACCACTTATTGGACTATATTTGGAAAGCGGATGAGACAAGCTACAGTTTACGTTCCAATTTTGTTATTATCAGTTCATAGAATTTTTGATTCATAAAATATTCTTAGGAGAAATGGCTGCAACTTTTGGAACTATCAATTCTCAATTTGCGAAAAAACCACACAACTCAAATTTGTTTGAACTTCTTTCTTTCTGCACTTTATATACAAATACAACAAATACCAACAAAATGTCTTTCCAAACTACTTCAAACACCTCCCAACAAACTTCCAAGTCAAAAATATCACTTTTATCTGTGACAGAGTTCTACAAACTCGATAAAAAATTGAAAACACCTTACTTAGTTGGTTTATTCCAGAAAAATCAGGCAACCGCCAGATTCATTTCTAAATACCAAAAGGCCAAAACCACAAAACCCAAAACAACAAGAATGATCAATTTATTAAAACAAAGTTACCAAGAAGATGAGAAATTATCAAACAGAGCTCACAAATTATTTGTGTCCATTGCTATGGACGAAGATTTGGAAAGCGGAAATTCAGAAACCGCCGACACAAACACAAATCAATCATCAATTGAAGTCCAAGAGACTGTTTCCACTGCTATTCCTGATCTTACAACTACAAATCCTGCTGCCTATACTACAACTACCGCCGCTACTTCCCCTGTTACTTCCCCTGCAGCTTCTGCTACAACTGTTACAATTACTAATATTCATCATGCTGCTGTTGCTGGTACAACCAATAGACATAGAATTTTATTTACCATTATTGAGGAAGATGAGGAAGATGATGATGAAGATGAAGAAGAAGAAGAAGGAGGAGGAGGAGGAGGAGGAGGAGGAGAAGATGAAGTAGGAGGAGAAGATGATGATGAAGATGAAGAGAAAAATGAAATTCATGCTACACAAGGTATCCCAAAATCCTTTGGATCTAAAATTCTTATAAGCTGGTACAAGACCAAGACAAATTGTAAATGGTTTGCAACGAATTATTGCCAAAAAATCAAGGAAATATGGCGGTCTATTTCAAAAAAGAATGTGCTAGTTCAAGAGCTTTGTGACCCATTGGCAGTTGATGATACCGCTAACACACAGATTGCAAAGACTAAGTTTAGTGAATTGGGTCTCCCTTCAGATTCTTATTCCATTTCTATATTAAGGTCTATCAAAATGGAGCAAAAACGCTATGGTTGGGAGTATCCCGTTGATTCCTATACTCATTATTTACTTGCTAACCATCCTAGTGTATCATCTAATAATTTCGAAGATTCACCCAAACCTACCAGAAATCCCATTTCATTTACTTCCCGTCACTCCAAAACTACCAACACTTTCAAACAAGATGAAGAATGCGAAGACATAGAATCCTGCAAAGAGAACTATTTGCATCATGCTGATTTTGACGATATAGAAGTCGGTTATCGAACTTCATCTTCGTGCTATCCAAGCAGTGACTCTATCCAAAGTTCATATTCTTGCTATCCAAGCATTGAATGTATCCGAAGTTCATCTTCTTGCTTTCAGCGTATCCGAAGTTCATCTTCGGTCTATCCAAGCATTGATTCCTTAAATTCATCATAGAATTTGGAATCCTAGGAAATGCTATATTCATACTTATGATACGGAAATGGCTATCGGCTGGTGATCGGGATGGTAATATGGTTTGGGACTCAAATGGTTGGATGTACAAGGAATGCTTTATATTTATATGCTTACTTTAATTTTTATAATAAAATTTATATTTGTAAACAAGAAATTCTCTTTTGTGATACTTATTGACTCTAGCTAGGGAATGACAATCACTACTCGGGTATTATCGCTATCACTTCTGCTAAATGCAACCGCTTTTTCATTTTGCTTAAAGCATGTTATAAGTTAAACCAAATACTTTATGAACAAAGAAATGGCACGTGATAACAAAGTCGGGTAACACCCTTCAAGAAAGCAAAACTGGATAACGCTCATAAAATTGAACTATTAATAGTCTTATATAGTTAAGGAATACAATTCCTACAATACTTGAAAGGTTTTATAATATTGATTATCCTACTAAATTATATTAATCACCCATCCCAACTTATTTGTAAATGTTTCTGAGTTGTCCATAATAATACAGTTGTAGAATGCAAGTCGTGCAAGTTGTTCAAACACCAGTAGGTGAAAAAAAAAAATTTCGTTCATAAAACCGGCTTGAGTACCAAAATACCCAATAAACAAGCCAAGTTTTTATACCACCGCCAAATAGTTAACAATGGGTGTCCATATCTTCGGTAAGAACATGAAGCACAGTGCGCTTGTCCACCTTGGACTCGCCAAAAGTATCTTCGGTATAGGTCCTCAAACCGCCCAAAAAATCTGTGCCAAAGTTGGAATCTATCCTCAAATGAGAATGAATGAATTATCAGAACCCCAAGTTATGGAAATCAATAAAGAAGTCTCACAAATGTTAGTGGAAGGACATTTGAAGCAGAAGATTAATAATGATATTAAGTTGAAGAAAAATATTGGGTCATATGTTGGTAATAGACATGCATTGGGATTGCCTGTTAGAGGTCAAAAGACGAGAAATAATGCAAATACTGCTCGTAGATTGAATAAACTTATTAGATTCCAAGTTTAGATGATGTAAATGATATTAAGAGTTTGAGGGAGTACTTGTATATATGAGTGTGTATTTAATAAAATGATATTTAATGAGAAAATGAAGCAACTATTTTTTGTAGCGGTAATTGGAAGAGGAACGTAGATCAGATTGTCAGAAACTGTCAATTGCTATCAGGAAGGGATTTTCCACAGAATATCAAACAATCACTGATACCCAATGGACCTCCAAATATGTTGATGTTCTGATTGGCGAATAAACAGACCAATTGGTGTGAGATGTATTGATAATTAGCTCTTGTTCGCTATTCAGAATCAAAATCTTCTCTACTGACCTCCTAACAATTTCTAAGAGACCAGTAAACGAACCCCCCGGCTTCACTATATTCGCTTGGTTGTTTGCACGGGATAAGTTCAGCCGATAGCAAATGCAATCTATGTCTGTCAAACAAACAAGATATTTCAAACTAGTTAGAGCATTGATAAAGACATCCATATTCATTATTACAAAACCGTCATATATTATTAACCATATACATAAATATCTACGTATTCCTATTATTATATATATATTAATCAATTCCAGGAGGCACCGCTCCATCCAACCCATCAATACTCAGCTCATCATCATCATCATCACTCTCACTCTCACTCTCATCACCCACGTCTTCCTCTTCTTCCTCTTCAGTACTCTCAACTTCACCATCACTCATCCCCTTCTCCGCAGGACAACCCACCACACCCCATTTTATCCCCGTCACATCCTCCAACCGTTCCAATATCTCACACATCGGACTAAACAATCCAAACTGTCTCCCGGCCCCATCATAACTATGCAACATCCCCACCACCCCAAGTCCCTTCTCATCCCCAATGTCTTCCAATTTCGTCAAGATCCAGGATCCACTATCTCCACCCAGAGCAAATGCTGATAGATTGTCAGGAGAATTGATTATATATTCCAGAGAATGGATGGCGCCGTCTTGCCAATAGACTAGTTTGATTCCGTTTAGGTTTCCCGTGGTATATTTTGTCGTCAGACCATATTTGAAAACACTGATTCCATGGAAGTTCGTTTGGAGGTTTGGTGGGCCGGAGATGGTGGTGTCGATGGATGCGGATGATGGGGGGATTGGTTTTGGGTTGAATCGATTTAAGGGGATGATTTTCCGGACGTAGAGATTGTCGAGGATTAAACTGGGGTCATATTCGTTGAAAGGGATGTCGTCACCGAGATAGTTTTGACATTGGAGGTTTTTATTGATTTTTATGATTGCAAGATCGGATAATATTGGCGATGCGATTGGATCATTGTCTTCAGTGGTGGTGGTGGTGGGACTATCTTGTTTTATTAATGTTCTTTCTCCCCATATGATTTGTCCAAATCTTAATTTTGGCAAATTTCTTACATCCTCTTTTGTTGTCTTGCTCTTTGGATCTGTGACTTTTACTCTCTTCAATGGGAACATTTCCCCCAATTGTGTCAACACTGATCCATATGCCACCTTCGCCTCCGCATTCGCTTTTTGATATTGAGTCATCAAAGCCAGTTTATACAACGAGATCAAAACCGAAGAAGGACAAGATACATGAGGATAAGCCGAACTTACAGTTGTAGCCCCATCTAAACAAACATGACCACATGAGATTGCGAATTTTGAATTGGCATAATGTTGCAAATGGGGTTGGGTTGATAGGTTTATGATTGGATATATGTATCCTCCCATTGTTCCTGATGTTCTGGTTGAATTTTCCACTGAAAGGGACATGGACATTGGTGGTTGGGTTATATCTGTAGGTATCCGGAATGGGAGTTTGAATTTTGTAGCGGTAGTTGTTGGGGTTGGTTGGGCGATTGATATATTTGGGTTGGGATGTGGGTGTGCTGTTGGGAATGCTGCCGGTGCGGTTGCCGTGGCTGCTAATTCAATTTNTTGGGATGTGGGTGTGCTGTTGGGAATGCTGCCGGTGCGGTTGCCGTGGCTGCTAATTCAATTTGATTTTTGGTTATTAGGATATGAATATCATCATATAATTCATGTAAACTTTGAGTTAATTTATAATGATAATCATTTGGATCAGGATAACCGAAATAAAGACATAATATATTTAATTGTTTACTTATACCTCTTGTCAAAGGAGCAATGAATGAACCATTTTGTTCTTTTACTGATATTGAAGTTTGAGCGATTTTATTAATAATTCTTTGAATCATATCTTCATTAGGTAATGATTTTCCATTATTATAACCAATAGCATAATTTTGAGGTTTTATCATTACTTCAGGTTGAATATTATCATATTGTGATGTTGAAGATAAAGTTTTAGCAAAATCATTAAAATTCTTAACTAATAATAATTTTAATTTAATATAAGCATCTTCTTTTAATAAATTATCATAAAAATGTAAATAAATTTTCAAGATTTTTCTTAAACTTGAATTATTATACGTGGTAAATTCCCAATTTTCATTTAATTCATTATTATTAATAAATGTTATAAATTTTTTAAAACATTCAATTGAATTTATAACTGCAGTTGTTAAATTAAATTAATGAATGATTAAATTGACTCATTATAAATGCTAAATCTTCATATAATTGTTTTAATTTATCATTAATGATTTCTTCTGCATTTCTATCTTCTTGTTGTTCTTCCATAATACTTAAGATTTGTAATGGTCTACCTCCAAGAGCAAACTCCTTTTTAGTTGCTCCGCTGGAAGATCCACTGGCATAAGAAGATTGATTAGTTGAATATGTTCGTTTACTACTTGAAAAAAGGGATGCGTCATGGATAGTTGATTGGAAAGCTGATGATACTGAAGGTGCTGTATGAGAACTTGAACTGGCAATAGGTACTTGTTGCTGATGTGGTTGTTGCTGTTGTTGTGGAATATCTATTGACGATGTTGGTATACCCAGTATACTTGGGTTTAAGTTTAGTTGAGTATCATAAGTACCAGATGTTTTATCAGGAGTAGAATCAAATTTGAAGTTTGTTATTGAATCATGAGATTCATTTGAATAAGTTGTTCCAACTGGTGTAATGAAATCAGCTTCTTCAATTATTGTTGGTATTTGTTGCTGCAGTTGTTGTTGTTGCAGTTGTTGATCATTCGAAGATGAAGAAGTATCTGACTTCTTTGATCTTCCAAGAAATCTTTTCATTTCTTTTATTTGTTTATTATTTGTAAAAGGTATACACTGTATAAAGAAAGAGTCTTATGTGTCTAATTAAATTCGAAAAAGGGGTTTTTTCTTTTCTTATGTGATACTATAAAATTAGTTAATTAGTTGTATGTGTTGTAAAAAAAAAAAAAGAGTGAAAGAATGCGACATTATATCAAATGTCGTTAATTTATTTTACGATACGACATAAATAGAGGATTTCTCATACGGCATTTTAAACCTTGGGGGTCATTCCTATCTATTTGATTAGAATCAAAAGAAATCTTGAGTATATCATATGTTTTGTATCCGTTTAGAGATGACTGTAGAGCAGCAATACCTCTGACATCATGGATAATAATTAATTGTTATTTAACAACGTTCAAAGATTTGCAATATTTGAGAAAGAGAGAGAGGTATAAAGAGACAGAGATAAAACTTTAAGTTAAAAATCTTTCTAATAATTTAACAAAAATTGATATTTAATAACTCTTAACTTAAACATTAAGTTAATTAAAATCAATTAACGAATATTACTCTCACCCTCTCCTTTACTTTCTCTTAGAATATAAATCCATTTAATCTATTAATTATTATAATATTAAAGATTAGGAGTATTATAATTTTTGCAACTTGGTGTTTTTTGACATTGTAGGTACACGATATACAGTAGTAATAGAGAAATGTCTCACACGACATTTAACAAATCTAAAAGAATTAATACGACATTTTATTTTGAAAAGTTCTTTTTTCTTTACTGAAAATAAATGCGATTCTTCTTCTTCTTCTTCCGTTTTATTTATGAGTGACCGTTTTTCCCCGAGGTACAATTTACTAAGTTTGTATGTTTATATATATATCGGAATAAATTGGAACAAATTTAATTTATTGTACAATGCAAAAAAAGCATCCCATTTCTTAAACAGCCTCTTCTCTTATAATAATATTATATATAAGAGATATGCATAGTTTGATCTACTCATATTCTATTAATAGATTAGATAGATAGATAGATAGATAGCTAGTGTATAGAGGATATATACAACTAAGGAGTAAAACTTTTTCTTAAGGGAGTTAAGTGCGGGTATTGAGTCTTTCTCCACAATATATCTTGTAATTAACTATAAGTTTACTCTATTTATGAAACTTGAAACATAAAAAAATAATTTATTTGTTAAAAGTCAGTCAACTACCTCGCTCTCACTAACTAACTAACTAACTAAATTATTTTATTTCTCCACTAAACCAAAAAAAAAAAAATATACTGAACATTCTTTTTAACTTTCATTTCTCTTTCTCTCTTTTACGTTTACTTCTTTTAAACGTTTAATTGATTGTATTTATAATTATAATTATAAACAAATATATAAGATAAGAAAAGCAAACCATTACCCCTAATTGAATGAACTTATAACAAATACTAATTTACTAGCTAACTAACTTACTACTTATATTTATTCAAATCGTTCAGTTACCATGCCAGTTTATTCAATATCACATGTTGAAAATGTTAGAGTATGTGTAGTAATGGTTGGATTACCAGCAAGAGGTAAATCACTTATATCTCAAAAAATTGTTAGATATCTTTCTTGGTTATCAATCAATTCAAAATGTTTTAATGTTGGTAATTATCGTCGAGAATTATTAAAAGATGATATTCCAATAGATGCAAATTTCTTCCATCCTGATAATATTGATGGATTAAAATATAGACAACAAGCTATAGATGGTGCTATTGAAGATATGATGCGTTGGTTTCTGGATGAAAATGGAGTAGTTGGGATCTTGGATGCTACTAATTCAACAAGAGAACGTCGAGAAATGATTTTAAAATTATGTCGAGAAAATTATATTGAACCCATGTTTTTAGAAAGTTGGTGTGATGATGATGAATTAATATTACAAAATATTCTTGATGTAAAGACAACTAGTCCTGATTATATTACAAAACCAAATGAATTTGCTATGAATGATTTTTTAACAAGAATTAAAAATTATGAAAAATCTTATGAAACCATGGATTCAACATTAGATTCTGATTTAACATTTATTAAATTAGTTAATGTAAATTCTCAAATCATTTTAAATAGAATTGAAAGTTATTTAGAATCAAGAATTGTTTATTATGTTATGAATTTACATATAAAACCAAGATGTATTTGGTTATCAAGACATGGAGAATCGGAATTCAATTTAACTGGACAAATTGGTGGTGATGCAAATTTACTGGAAAGAGGTTGGAGATATGCCAAAAAACTTCCTGAACTCGTGGTAAAATCCCTTGGTGAAGAACATAAACATACAAATCTAACCGTTTGGACATCAACCTTAAAGAGAACCCAACAAACCGCCCTGTTTTTACCTTATAAAAAGAAACTCCAATGGAAAGCCCTTGATGAATTAGATGCCGGTGAATGTGATGGAATGACCTATGAAGAAATTGAACAAACTTTCCCCGAGGATTTTAAAGCAAGAGATGATAATAAATATGAATATAGATATCGTGGTGGAGAATCTTATCGTGATATAGTTATTCGATTGGAACCAATTATAATGGAATTGGAAAGACAAGAAAATATCTTGATTATAACTCATCAAGCGGTATTAAGATGTCTTTATGCATATTTTATGAATGTACCCCAGGAAGAAAGTCCTTGGATGTCGATTCCATTACATACTTTGATTAAATTGGAACCGAGGGCTTATTCGACGTTGGTGACTAGGATTAAGGCGGATATTCCGGCTGTTAGTACTTATAAAGAAAAAGGGACATCACAATTGGGTGAAGCTGAATCCCCACTCTTATAAAAATTCTCATCTCTAAACTAATTCTCATCACTACAACAAATCTCAACCAGACAGCTTGCTGGCTGGATGGAGTTTTACATTATATCAGACAGCTTGCTGTCTGAGCTGTAATCTTGTCTAGCCATTATATTAACCAGACAGCAAGCTGTCTGGAATAACTAGAATATATCAACCATATCCCTTTAAAAGGGGAAAATAATTACTCCATTGTAACAACAAATAAAAAGAAAATAAATACAAAAATTATATTTATACAATTTATTTATAAGAAGTAATATACAAATTATTATTAGTAGTAGCATGAGCTTTACAAGTGGACTAATCAAAAATAATTATTATTATAGTACAAAATGATTATAAACAGATATAAAACATATACATTATACACACATACAACTCTATTCCACACAGTCACATTCAAAGTATCTATATGTTATCCAATAGATTTCTGGATATTTTACATTCAATAAGGAAAGCTTAGAAGCCTTCGGCTTGTATCTATCCCAGATTGGCATACCTCTTTGCTTGTTCCTTGACTTTCTTCTCATACAACGATTTATCCTTACTAAACGCCTTCCAAGCCGGTTCCTGAGCCGGAGAATCAGGATTCGGAGTATCCAATAACTCCTGCACCCCCAACACAATCTGTTTCAACGTAATAGCCGGTCTCCAATCCTGTTCCTCATTCAAAATCGATAAACAAACCGTACCGGAAGGATATACATTCGGATGATAAAATCCGGCGGGGAATTTCACTTTGGGTGGTTTTGAAGGATATTCTTCCGGGAATTCGATTGTGATGGGATAGATTGCGTCTGACCATAATGTGTTGGGTTTGCCTGGGATACCGGCGGTCCAGGATGTTAGGTCAAGGGATCCATCGGGGGATTTTGTTGGTTTGGCGAAGAAGCCGAAGGGGTGGTCTTTTCTCCATTGTTTTCTTTCTTCTTGTAGTCTGATCTTGCAGAGTGAGGACATGATATGCTTGTGCTTTTTTTCTATGTGAGGTTAGATATCTGTGAGTTTGTTGTTGATGTTTAGTTAAGAACCTGAGAGAGAGATTTGGTAAAGGATTTTTTTGAACTTCAACACACGACCTTTCTCAAGCCTCACTTTTAATTTTTCACCCATAAATCGCGTAAAGCCTCATTAGAAAACTTTGGTGCAAATTTGTCCTGCATATGTATTTTTATGTCGTAGACGACATTTTCTTCTTTGTAAAATTTGTCTTAGCAAATATTTAATCAAAAAAAAGTACTAAGTGTGAAAATTATAAGACAAATTGTAATAGTTAGTCGAAAACATAAGAGAATAACCATATAATTTAGTAAAAAATGACCTCAAATCAATGAATTAGATAGTTAAGGCGAATTAAAATCATATATGATACCAAGAAGCAACATTCAGACATGCTGAAACACCTAAAACATACAGAAAAGACATCCACAAGCTTGTTGAATCATGAAAAATACTTTCAATTTGGTTAACTAACTGAGAAATTTGAAAAACGTACGTAAATTGGGCTTATAGAGATCGTGCTGTCTTGAGAGAGATGAATTGATGGCTTTGATTGATTGATTGATGTTGTTTTAAGGTAAATAAGAGGTATTTGTTGATGAAGTTAGGAAAAGAAAGTGGTGAATAAAAATCAAAACAAATCTTTTTTTTGAGGACCACTAAGTAAACAAAAAAAGTCGCACTTTTTTTTTCGGAAATGTCAGTTCACTATATACAGGACAAATTTGCACGAAAGTTTTCCAATGAGGTCTTTCGCCATAAATCCCATCAAGCGTTTTTTTTACAACCAAAACCTTGCAACAACATCTATCTCAATCGGACAAACAACACAAATCAAATCAATTAATCATGTCAATTGAAGTGGAATCAGCAAATACATACGAAATAGACTCCACCCTAGCAATCAACCCCCTCACACCAACCACCTATCAATTCTCCCCACCCTCCAACAATGACACCACCACCAGCTTACTCCAACCATCCCCAGAACTCAGTTGGGACCTCCTCGACAAAATGCACATCTCCTCCACTACAGCCACCCCAGAAATGGTGGCACATAAATTAATAATCAACCCCGAAAGACAAAACCGGACCCGGTTTAGGTTTAAACGACAAGGCATCACCGGTGAAATTGGAGGATATTCTGAAGAAGTGGTGTTGAATGAGTCAGGTATTGGGAGTAGTGGAAGTGGGAGTATGAGTGTGAATCGGGGATATTCGTCGAAGAATGAGTCAATTCGGGGTAGGACTAGTTTTTTACCTTTCCAGCCGGGTGGATTGATGGCAAAGGCGAGAAAAGATGAGGATGGTGATGGGAACAGGAGGAATAATGTGGCGATGTTGGGGTTGCATAGGAATGAAATTGGGTTGTTTGATGTTCCGCCGGGGTTTGCGAGGGGATTGCTGATTGGTGATGAGATGAAGGAATTGGATATTTCGGAATTGGGAGAAGGTGAAATGGTGGATGAGGATGAGAGTGATGGGGTTATTTCGATGAGACAACATACTGTGAAAAATCTCACCAATGTTGATGAAAGTAGACCGGGTAAGATTGGAAATGTTTCTGTTCCCGTTGATGCAAAAGAAATTGAAGGATTGGTTCCATTTGATTATTCAACCTTCAAATATCAAGATGTCAAATCCAAAGAAAAACGTACTTGGGCCCACGTTGTTGATCTCGACCATAAAATCGAAGATTTTCATGAATTAGTCCCCAATATGGCCCGGACTTGGCCATTTGAATTAGATACATTCCAAAAAGAAGCCGTATTCCACTTGGAACAAGGAGATTCAGTATTTGTTGCTGCTCATACTTCAGCGGGGAAAACCGTAGTGGCGGAATATGCAATTGCAATGGCTACCCGAAACATGACCAAGGCAATCTATACTTCTCCCATCAAAGCATTATCAAATCAAAAATTCCGAGATTTTAAAGAAACATTCCAAGAAGTCGATGTCGGGTTGATCACGGGTGATGTTCAAATTAATCCCCAAGCAAATTGTTTAATTATGACAACGGAGATTTTGAGAAGTATGTTATATCGAGGAGCTGATTTGATTCGTGATGTTGAATTTGTTATATTTGATGAAGTTCATTATGTGAATGATATTGATCGTGGGGTGGTTTGGGAAGAAGTTATTATTATGTTGCCTGATCATGTTAAATTTATCTTATTATCTGCTACTGTTCCATTATGCAAACTTAAACGATTAACCCATCCATCCTGCTTTGTCTTCCTATAAATACTTATTTCGACCCCGAAAAGACCGGTGCCATTGGAGATTTTTGTGTCGGCAAAGACTCAGTTGTTTAAAGTTGTGGATTCTAATAGGAGGTTTATGGAAGGGGAGTTTAAGAAACATAAAGATTTATTAGATGAGACATCGAAGAAGAAGAAGGAATTGCCTACAACCACTATGGGATCCGGCAGTAGAGGTGGACCAGGAGGAAGCGCTAGAGGGGGGAACAGAGGTGGTGGTCGTGGTGGCCGTGGTGGAGGTGGTCGTGGAGGTGCTGGCGCAGGTGGTGGTCGTGGTGGTGGTGGAGGTGGCGGCCGCGGAGGAGGAGGTGGAGGTGGTCTTGGCCGTGGTAATTTCCTGAACAAACCAGGTGCAAGACGTTTCGGACAAGATGGTCCCAATAAGAACACCTGGATAGACATGGTTCATTATCTCAAAAACAATACATTACTTCCGGCAGTTATATTCGTCTTTTCCAAAAAGAAATGTGAAGATTGGGCAGAAACTTTACGTAGTATTGATTTTTGTACTGCAAAAGAAAAATCAGAAATTCATATGTTTATTGATCGTGCTGTTGGGAGATTAAAGAAGGAAGATAGAGAATTACCCCAAATTCTTAAAATTAGAGATATGTTAAGTCGAGGAATTGCTGTTCATCATGGTGGATTATTACCAATTATGAAAGAATGTATTGAAATCTTATTTGCTAAGACATTAGTTAAAGTATTATTTGCCACTGAAACTTTTGCCATGGGATTGAATTTACCTACTAGAACTGTTATTTTTAGTACGATTAGAAAACATGATGGTAGGAGTTTTAGAAATCTTTTACCGGGTGAATTCACCCAGATGTCAGGTAGAGCAGGTAGAAGAGGGTTGGATAAAACGGGGACGGTTATTATTATGTCATATAATGATCCATTATCACCTACTGATTTTAAAGAAGTTGTATTGGGTACTCCCACGAAATTACTGTCACAATTTAGATTGACGTATAATATGATTTTAAATCTTTTAAGAATTGAAGCATTGAGAGTGGAAGAAATGATTAAGCATTCATTTAGTGAGAATTCCACACAAGTATTATTACCTGAGAATCAAAAACGATTTGATGTTTTGACTGATGAATTAAAAGAAATGGAAATTGAACCATGTCAGGAATGTAATTTGGCAGGTACAGAAGAATGCTGTGAATTATTAACACAATATGAACAAGTATATGGAGCTTGTGTTACTGATATACATAAATCACCATTATTAAAGACACAGTTTTTAAGGATTGGAAGATTGGTTTGTTTTAGAGATAAGAATGATGCAACCCATGTTGGATTTGTGATTAAATCAGATAGTGCTAATGATGCGGTGATTCTTTTAACTTTTGATCATGGTGAAGAATATGAAAAAGCAGCTGAAAGAGATAAATTACCATATATTCCTCATTCGCAATATATGATGAAAAATTTCTCCAAGATTAAGTTTAATGGAAGATTAAGACTGGTTTCTGTCCCATATGAGAATATTCAATTTATTGGTAGATATTCATTGAAGGTTCATATGGCTGATATTATTGCTAATCATCCTGGACAAGTCCAAGAAGCATCGGTACAAATCAAACTTGTAACAAGATATCAAAACAATTTTGAAGAAATGCATCTTGGAGCAGCGCAACAGTTATCATTACATGAATTAGCCGATGAAAAAGATAGACTATTTAAGGAGATTAGTCAAAATCCAAAACCATTCACTTGTAGTCAATTCAAGAAACATTATCGACAATTTAGAAAACGATATATATTGACTCAAGAAGTTGAGAATTTACAACGATTAATTTCCGATGAGAATCTTGATTTATTACCTGATTATGAACAAAGATTGGAAGTGTTAGAAAGTTTAGGTTTTATTGATGAACATCATAATGTTGTTCTTAAGGGTCGTGTTGCATGTGAGATTAATTCCGGTTGGGAATTGATTATAACTGAATTAGTATTGGATAATTTCTTGGGAGATTTTGAACCTTCAGAAATCGTTGCATTACTTTCTTGTTTTGTATATGAAGGTAGGACAAAGGATGAAGAACCTCCATTAATAACTCCTCGTTTGGAAAGAGGAAAACAAAAGATATTGGAAATTGCCAATAAATTATTAAAAGTCTATACTGAAAAACAAGTTTCATTAACTACTGAAGAAGAAGATTTTGTTGAAAGTAAAAGATTTGCTTTAGTTAATGTTGTTTATGAATGGGCTAATGGACTTTCATTCAATGAGATTATGCAAGTTAGTGTTGAAGCTGAAGGGACAATTGTTAGGGTGATTACTAGATTAGATGAAATTTGTCGAGAAGTTAAGAATGCAGCATTGATCATTGGTGATTCTACATTACATTTAAAAATGGCCGAAGCTCAAGAAAGAATCAAGAGAGATATTGTATTCTGTGCTTCATTATATTTATAGACGTTTCTAAGACAATCTTGTATAGATTATTTGTAGAATACCATGTGGAGCATGAATTATGTTTGATTGGATGAATTTCTTGGTTGATTCTCGACCATACTTGATTAATAAAAACCCAAGCATGGTATAGAAACTTCCAACCACTGTTTGATCCTTAACGTATTGTATAAACTGGTGTCGTTCTTCACCAATGTTTCTATGTACATGTATCCTTCTGACATTAAATTGAGAATCGACAAATGAACAATCATATAGTTTACTACTTTTCATAAACTCGGTAATTAATGAATTATCCTTAACCAATACTTCCATATCATATTTAACAGTTTCATCCAGTCTTGATAAATATTCAGGTGATTTAAATACAGTGTCAGTAAGTAATGTATATTGATATAATATCTTACCCAACTGCCTTAGTTTCTTAGTTTCATATATCACATTATTTAATGGATCTTCCTTATTCTCATTTATAATAATCTCAGTATTTGAAAGTCCATATGCTACACAGGTCAACTCAGGAATGTTTAGTTCAAATTCAGGTCCAAGAAATGTGGTATAAGGCTTTACTCTATTCTCTGTTATCCCGCGATAATTCTCGTCCTTTTCAATTCGTGTGAGAGTGTCTTCATCATAGGCATATCGTTTTCGATCTTGGGAGTATTTGGTTATTGGTTTTTGAGTCCTCGAGGAATATGCGAGACCATGTTCTTTAACATTAAGAACTCCCCAATGTTTTGACCCTAGAAAGGCCCACCTCTACTTTGCAGCACGTATCCTCTTGATTGGGTTTAGTATTTGTTTGGTATTGCTTTTTAGCATGTTCAGTATCCTGAGTGATTTATCGTTTGGTGGTTTGATTTTGATTGAATTGATTCGAAGTTGAATATTTTTTTTCACTCACTCAGTCCCCGAGATATCTCATCTCAATTGGTTAAACAATTTATTTTCATTCTTGAAAAATTCATTAAACCACAACACACTAAGAATTGACAAGACGACATGTCATCCAAAGCGTCAAGTAAGAAGAAGTCATCAGTTGGGACGCCCGATCCAACTCCTACCCCAACTAAAAAAATCAAAATCCCGAAATCATTCATCGTTAGACCATCAAACGATGATCAACCAAAACAATTCTCAACAGTATTTATACATCCAGAAATCTTCACTGCTATGGAATTCACTCCGGGGCAATTCGTGTACGTATCCCGATCTGACGGTGGATTGGCTGGATTTGTGGCATTGGTAGCTGCCGGGGTTGATATTTTGGATAAAAATGTCATCACCATTTCTGGGTCATATCGAAAATTAGCTGGATTGTTGTTAGGAGATCGAGTTGAGATCGTTACATATTTGAATCAACCAGAATATGCAAAAGAAGTTTCCGTATATGTGGATGAAGGGGAAGAAAATTCGGAAGATGAATTGAAAAAGAGTTTGAACAAACTTCTTGACGATATTGGGTTGATATATCCTGGATTGAGATTTTTAATTCCCAAACAAGACAGAGAAATGACAATTATTGACGTGGAGAATACCGCTAGTCTTGAAGCATCATTACTGAAATTGTCAATCAATGAAGCAGCAGCCTCCTCCCCTTCCGATATAATCTCCCCTGTATATCTCTTTGCAAAAGGAAAATCATCTATCACCATCCTCACCACCCCAACAACCCCTTCCAAATCAAAATATCCAAACCTTCCACAACCTATCCAATATTCTCATATTGGAGGGCTTTCCAAACAAATATCCCTTCTCAAATCCACAATAGAACTCCCACTCCATAATCCCACCCTATTCTCATCATTCGGAATCTCACCACCACGAGGAATCCTTCTTCATGGACCCCCAGGTACCGGGAAATCCATACTCTTACGTTCCGTCGCCAATGAAACCCCCAACGTCCATGTCTTAACAATTAATGGACCAGCAATAGTTTCTAAATATTTAGGTGAGACTGAAAATACCATCCGGGATATATTCATGGAAGCCCGGAAATATCAACCCTCGATCATTTTCATGGATGAATTAGATTCAATCGCCCCACCTCGACAAGCTGAAGATACGAGTGGAGGAGAGACTGAAGCTAGGATAGTAGCGCAATTATTGACGATGATGGACGGGTTGGGCGATAGTGCGAGAGTGATTATCATTGGTGCGACTAATAGACCGAATTCGATTGATGTTGGGTTGAGACGTCCTGGAAGGTTTGATCAGGAGATTGAGATTGGGATTCCGGATATAGCATCCCGTGGGGATATTTTACAGAAATTGGTTAATAAGATGCAAATGGGGAAATATGAATTGGACCAAGGTGATATTGGATTGATTGCATCCAAGACTCATGGATATGTGGGAGCTGATTTGACGGCATTGTGTAGAGAAGCGGTCATGCAGGCGATCAAGAGAGGGTTGGCGACGGGTGAAGGGGAGATTAAGATGAAAGTTGAGGATTTGATTTCTGCCATGCTGGAAATTCGTCCTTCTGCAATGAGAGAGATTTTCTTGGAAATGCCAAAAGTATATTGGACCGATATTGGAGGGCAGGAAGAATTAAAAAAGAAACTTATCGAAGTTGTTCAATTGCCTTTAGAAGCAGCAGGTTCATTCAAAAGATTAGGAGTATCGGCACCTAAAGGGGTCTTACTCTATGGTCCACCAGGTTGTTCCAAAACCTTAACTGCAAAAGCTTTAGCTACCGAATCCGGTTTAAATTTCCTTGCTGTCAAAGGACCAGAGATCTTTAATAAATACGTGGGAGAATCAGAACGTACAATCCGAGAAATATTCCGTAAGGCAAGAGCAGCCTCTCCATCAATTATATTCTTTGATGAAATAGATGCGATTTCCGGAGATCGAGATTCGGCAAATACTCAAACTTCCCAAACTGTTCTTACATCATTACTTAATGAGATCGATGGGGTTGAAGAATTAAAGGGAGTAGTCATTGTTGGGGCCACTAATAAACCTACTGAAATCGACCCGCGTAACAACTCTGGACCCTCTAACCTATCTGTATAAATACAACCTGGTGGACTAGATGATGCTAGGGTTCAGATATTGACTAAATGTTGTTCGAAGTTTAATGTTGATTCAAATGAGGTTGATTTTGAACAATTGGCGGAATTGACACAAGGGTGTTCAGGGGCAGAAGTGACGTTATTGTGTCAAGAAGCTGGTTTAGCCGCAGTGATGGAAGATAAAGAAGCTAATAAAGTGGAAAAGAAACATTTCGATCATGCTTTGAAGGGAATTTCAAAGGGGATTACAGAAGATATGTTGGATTACTACAAGTCCTTTTCAAATAGAAGTGGATTAAATGTTTAGAAGTAATTAGACATGTACTGTTATATATGAATTAAATAAACATCTCTCCGATCCAATATATAGCAAGTTGGAAAGTCACTAACTGGCGAGACACTCCTCGGCTTTCAAGTAGATTTTCTTTGTTGATGACTGGAGTAGCTTGTTTGTGTTGTACGAGAACCATTAAATTCAAAAACAGCAATTTCTAGTATGAACCACGGTTGGCGCAATAACATTATTCTATAGCGTGGGTGGTTACGAGCTTCGTTGCGCAACATGCTGATAAATCGAAAGCATTAATTGGTAAAGACAATTACATTGTTTGGAGAAACAAGTTGAACAGTCTTGGATCAATGATTGATGTTGAATTTGTTGTTTTCATGGAATTACCATCTAATGCGACTAATGAAACAATTTTCAACAACCAGATGTTTAACCACAATTGAGAAACATTGTTCTCATTAATAATTGGTCCAGAGATCAAAACATCTCTTATTGCTCAAAGACTTACTGGTCCTTATCTGCTCAAGCATCTTGAAACATTGATGAAAATGACGAAATCAGATACTCAATTACGAGTCCTAAGAAATTACTGGATCAGCCTACAAACGCTCGTATGGATGCTGTCTATGAATTTTGGAATTACTTTTTGAAACTTGATACTGATTATGCTAAGCAAGCTTTGTTATACTTTACGGCTTTAGATGATCTTAATATTAGGGGGAACTACTTCCTGCATGGTTCTTATAAATTATCAATAACTAAGCTTAAGGGTTTACTATTGAATATCCTGAATATGGATTGGCTGAAATTTTTACACCTGCTCCTATCCTTGCTCGTGAAAAAGAACCAAAGAATGAGAAATCATGGCAGACTCCTGTAGTCTGAGGATGAAGCTGCGTTTAAGAATCAATGTGGTAGATGCTTTGGTTAGGGTCATACTCCAAAAGGATGTGATTCTCCTCCAAGAATGGTTGGATCCCTGGTATTGTTGAAAGATTAATTGGACGTTTTAAGAAATCATCGGGGTATTCTGCAAATACACAACATGGATGTTCTGATAATACACAACATGCAAATGCTACTGGAAAGATGTTCCAAACTAATCCTCTGACTGTGAATATGGTTGATGCAGGTAATAACGATGGTAATGAAAGTGATGATGATCTTTTAACTATTACTGATGGAAATTTACCTTACACTATTAATCAAAATGGGTTCAGATCCTTTACAGATGCAGTTACTACTACAAATAATATAGCTGATGCTTCAACTATTTACTGGGATACTGAGGCAAGTAGGGACATCTGTATGACTAATATTCAATATTCGATTTGCACTCGCTAATAATGCACCAGGTTCAAATAAGGATTTTGGTCTGATAAAGTTGTCAACTGAGGATAATCAAGAAGTCACCATTAAAAATGTTGCCTATGTTCCGGATATTACAAGAAATTTATTTCATCCTGCCTCAGAAAATTGATCACTACCACTTTGACGGTGACACTGGTTTCTACCTAACGTTCATTCCCGTTTAGGTTCTATTGGATTTAACGATGATGCTTATGTCAAGCTTAAACAGATTTACCATGAAAGTGATTCTTCCTAAGAAATATCATGCCTTTAAGGGTTTGTATTATGCATTAGGTCACCCAAGTACTACTGTTACTCAAGCACTTAACATTCCTCATGATTCAAAACAACTCCGTTTAGAATCTTCCAAAAATTGTGAATTTTGTTAAATGACTAATACTACTGCTAAGCGGCCCTCATTATCTTCACCGGAGACTGCTGCATGCAGTCATCCACTTCAGCTTCTTCATGTTGATCTCCATGGTCCAGTTCCTACTACAGGCATTTCACAAGAAAGATACTATTTGATTATTGTTGATGGATATACTAAGTACAAACCAGTTATTCCAGTTAATACCAAGGCTGAAACTGTTACCCATTTGATTAATTTTATTACATCAGCTGAAACATTCATTTCCCCATATGGTCAGTGGAGAGTTGTCATTGTTAGAAGTGATAATGGTGGTGAATTTCTTAACCGTAGACCATGAATTTTGTTTTCTAGAAATGACAACTCTCCACTTACCATATGAGGAAAATAATGTTTCAGCTGTTCCTCATTATTCTCATCAAAACAGTACTGGTTAAAGGGAAATTAGATCTGTTAATGACAAGGCTAAGAAATATCTTCTTCATCTGGATCTTCCACAGGAATTTTGGCGGTTGGCAGTCCTCCAAGCTGAATATGTTCTTAATCGTTTGCCAGATGGTGCACCTCAATCATGTTCTCCTTATGAAGTATGGTTTGGTCATTCTCCAAATCTTAAGCACAGGGTGTTTTGCTTATCCATATGTTCCACCGGCTGCTACAGTTAATGAACTTTCTGAACTTTCTGTATCTTTTATTCCGGCTATTATGGTTGGTTATGCGGCGGATAGAACAGTTTATAAGTTGTATCAACAGCAAGCACAACAACCAGGAGTTAATTTCTTTAATGATCCAGCAACAGCATTAGCATCACAATTTGGTCGAACTTGGTTTTTGTATGATTATCAGATGCAAATCAATATACGAGCAACAACAGTAATAGGCAGTTCTTGATATTGACGTTGACGTTCTAATTGAGAATTGTCAGTGTTTTGAGTTGAACTATTTCTACGAGCGTTGAACTAGTTTGTAATAGTAGATAAGTACTGAAGTTTCGATGCTACACAAACTATAAACATTTCAATTTCATAGAGGCTTCTAGTTCATTTTATATTCTTTCACTCGTCTTAAATTTCAGATTTAATTTTCTCTTTAGTAAGTATCCACTAATAATCAATATTACAATTTACTAAATAAAGTAAACTTTCATTCAACACTTATTATTTCTAGATTAAGTTAGTTAGTATCTTTTCGTTTTATTATTTCGTTTTTTATTTCTTGTTTCAGTAATAATTTTTATTTGTACAATGTTATTGTTCTTATAATTAAACAATGGCATTGGATCACTTTATTCAACAGTTTCCGCGGAGAATTAGCAAATTTGCTATGTGCGTGGTAGCGCTAAGTAATATGGGTGCAAATTTTGAAATAAATTTCTCCATTATCATTTTCAACATGCAAATGAAGTGAAGTTTTACAAAAGTTACACATAAGCCATTAAAATAAATGCATTAATTAAATAAATGCTTATCTACAAAATCTCTCTCTCTCTAAGAAACATCTACACCCATGTTGAATTTATACTTGCAAAATCATAAATATCCAAATCTCCTTCACCCAACCCCACCAAAAACCCCGCCTCGTCCTTCTCTTCAACCACTTGAGCATCACACGCTTCCACATGCATCTCAATCAATTCCTGAATACTAACCCTACAATTCACCAACTCAAGACAAGCCCTAATATTCTTCTCAACTGTCGCCTTATTCTCATTCACATTATTAGGTCTCATCGAATACACATTCAAACCCAAAGCGATCCAAACCACTTCTCTCTCCTTGAGATCAAACACACATGGAACAACATTCATTCGATCGGACGTGATGTCGACCTTCGCCTTCACTGACCTAGGTTCAAACACTTCTCCCTTATTTTCATCACCCAAGGACCCTTCTCTAAGCATAAATCCGGCAAAACATTCCTCATGCTCAATGAATTTAGGTCCACTGAATACACGCACATCCATAGCCACATATCTATATCCATCATTCAAGGCCCTGGCTATATCTATATCGATAAACTCACTCGCTCCGTCTGGGGCAGGGGCGGAGACAATATCCCCAGAATGTACGGCTGATGACGAGCGGAGGTTTTGATATGAGATGGCGTTGGATTGGGAAAGGTCTTCGGAGATGAAGTAGCCTGATAAGTCGATGTCTTTGCCGATCCAATGCACGAATAATCGAATTATGTTCTTCGTTGAGGTGGTAGAACCATTCTCATCGAGGGGGAGGTGGGAACCACGGGCGATTGAGCGTTTGGAAGAGTCGTTGATTGAGTCGAGTTGGAGGGGGAGGAGGATTTGGGATGCGGCGGGGGAGATGAAGATTTTTGTGTTGGGGGTTAGGAGTGATTTTGGTTTATATTTCTTGATGAGGGTTGATTTTATGATTGAGGATATTCGGGTTGCGATTTCTGATGGGAGGTTGTGGGATTGGTTGGGGTTTTTGAGGAGGAGTTTGGATCCGACAAAGATTGATGGAACGGTGATTGGTTCAGGAGCGGTGTAGCTTTGGAAATGTCCTAATGCTTGAAGCAAGACTTTTGACTCCACTGATTCGATTATTGTTTCCAACTTAGAGAATATGTATTCAAGGTCTTCATTGGATGATGAAGCAGCATCTCGGGCTAATTTATCTAAATGACGAATCAACATCGAAGGAATATTCACAAGAATATCAACCGCCTTCTTAGTCATACCAGATTGAATAGCCATCGCAAGTGCGGTATTTTTGGTAGGTACATTATTCTCATTTCTAAATCGATTAGCAATCTTGGTTACTTCTCCTCCATATTCACCAACATGAAGACAATGAAATGCTCTAATCCAAATTCCAGTATGTCTCTTAACATCTTCGACATTTATAACCTTTTCCAAAGCCTTAATGATTATTCTTCGTTCTTTTCTCTTCATTGATTTGAATTTTGGAACCAGCTTCAAATTGGATGAATGACCAGAATAAACTGCCATTATACGTAAGATATCAGTAGTTGTTTTAACAAAGTAATCAATTGGTTTATCTTGTGCTAAGTATATATCTGCAATTTTACAAGAAGTTTCACGGAATGGGATTTCTGGATGAGTTGACTTATATTCTTCAATCCAATCTAATAAACAACCTTCAATTAAAAATTCATCATAGATTGGTGGGATTGCAGTTTTGGATTGGATTAATTTGAAGAAGAATGTTTTCAAATCAGGAAGGGTGATTAATTTTAATTCTGTTAATGGATGATCTTGTTCATTAAATTCTAATCGTTTCTCTTTGGTATAGATTGGTAATAAAGTACCTAAACTCCAATAATGGACCAAAGCATTAGTTAATAATTCAATTTCATCAAGCTCTATAACTTGTCTGGGGAAATTAGGATACATTGGTTCATGTTTAACATGAGCACCTAATGATTCTTTGATATTATCAATTGTATCTAATAATTTGGTCAGTCCATTGGTTGATGATAATCTAAGTAATTGATTATAAAGTGGTTGTGAAATTGTATAATTCATATTTAATAATTCTATAGCAAATGTATTGATGACGTCATTGGATATTATATTATCTTCTTCCAACTCATTTGATTCAATATAAATACCTGATAATGAACTTAATGCAATTGATTCCAATACTGATAACATTGCTTATTATTACTTGTTACTATTAGTAGATGATGAGTATGGTAATATAAAAAGAGTTTGTAATTAGAAGTTGTAAAAGATAAATAGGGAATGGTGGGGATATTTATAATTGAAATTAAACGAACATACAAATGTAGCGAGAATGGAGAACAAATGACTCAATTAGAAAAACACAACAATAAACAAAACAATTGACCAATAAGAAGTACTAAAGTATAAAGAAAATGGGCGAAGATGAGAATTAAGTTTATTTTGTTTTGATTTAATTCAAAATGACTAACAAATTGAATGTACAGTTACGGATTATTTACAATTTAATGGGCTGAGTCATACTATTCTGATTTATATGTTGTAGTTTACGAGAGATAGAGAGTGAGAACAAAAAGCAAGAGAGAAAGGATTGTCAATTAATAAAGTAATGATATTTTATACTATGTGGCTTATACTACTATACAATCTCTATTGTTGTTTACAACCTTCTTCTAATTGTTTATCAAATCCAGGTGGTAAATCCTTTTCACTGAAATTTAATGAATCACTTCCTGGAACACCACCTGCACCACCACCAAATCCGGGTAAATCTCCAACTTCTCCTACAATTTCTGCAGGAGGTTGACCTAATTCTTGTAATGCTTCCAATAAGACATTAACTTGATCTCTTTTTTGTTTATCACCATCATTATAATCACTAGCATCAAACACAGCTAATATTTGATTAGTCATTTCATATTGTTGTTGATATATTCTATATTGTCCATCTTCCAAACTGTCTTTATTCTTCTGTAAATATTCTGGGAATTTTGAATTTAAATCTTTAATTGGTTCATACAAGATTTCTTTACTACTTAATTGTTCCAACATATCAACCAATAATTTCGACATATCTAAATCTCCAACACTTCCTTCTCCTCCATCCCCACCTAATCCAGCTAATAATTGTGTCAACATATCTTCAGGATTTCCACCCATTGGATCATTCTTAATCTTCTCATCAACAGTCTCACCTGATTTCTTCAATCTTTCCATAGTTTCCTTCATTACATACTCAAAATTGGCCGGTTTTTTCTCTTCAGCTTCAACTTCTTGTCGATGATTTAATTCAAAATCAGCAACTAATTGTTCAAATTGCTTTTGTGTATCTGGATCTTCTATATTAAGATCCTTGATTAAATCAGCTATACCAGATTGGAAATCAGCTTCCAATGGACGAGTTGGATCTTTAGCTTCTTCATTATTATCTCCGTGAACACTATGGGTTGCAGATGGACCAACAGCAGGTGTGCCGGTTGTGGCTGTACTTGCACCTGGAGGTTTACTGAGGACCTCGTCGGCGAAATCGTCTAATAAATCATCTAAATCGTCCAAGTCGTCTTCATTGTTGTTGGTGGTGGCAGTAGGAACTTCTTTAGTTTCTGGGACAACTGGAGCAGCAGATTCAACCGGAGTTTCAACAGGTGGATCAGCGACAGGGGTAGCTTTATTGATTGTGATTTCTTCTTGTTGTGTTTGAGTATCAGTGGACATTATTATTACTTGGATGATGATTTCTTATAGAAGGAGTAACAAGAAAGAAGAAGAAAGTAAAAGTGTAAATAAATTTCTGATTTATAAATTCTTTTTTTTTTCGGGAAGCGTCAACGAATGTGGGGCAATCTAATTTCTGTAATTAAATTTATTTCTATTTTTTTACTTGCCACTGATTTTTAATTCGGAGATTTTATATCCCACGGATAAATAGCCCAGGGCATTTTAATTACAAATACATATAAATATGAATAATTAAATAAGTTTATATGAATTTAAATAAAAAGACAAACAAATAATAATAATAAAAATATATAAGTTAGTATGATATTTATATAACCTCAACAACCCATCCCAAAAATATTTATAAAATTTTAAACTATATGTATAAGTTACCACTACAACTTTGGTTTACTTGAATCAGGTCCACCAGAAGTTGCAACTTGATTAATTTCCAATTTTCCATCTTCATTAACTCCCCTGATATCATTTCCAAAAAATACAACCGTAACCGTTAAATCATCTCTATATCTTCTACTTACAGGATTTGGAATAGAAATCAACATTGAAGTATGTTCTTTTGATCCACCGTTACTCAATGCATTTCTAATTAAATGAGTACTAACATTTCTATCTTCTAATAAGAATTTCAGATTAGGGAATTTTCGAATTGGTTTCCTCGAAGTCTTGTCATTAGTGATATCATCAACTTCAGGTAATTTATTCTTCTCAGTATGTCCAATTGGCCAAACATTATTCCAGAATGATTGTTGTGGTTTTATCATTTTTTCCTTTTCCATCCATTTAACCACCAACCCGACAATTTCTTCATTGGTTAACATTTCATATAATCCATCACTTGCCATGACTAAAAAATCATTATTTTCAGGATTTATCTTGGTGGTTGTAATAACTGGTTCGGCAGTCACATATGGTGGGGAATTTAAATAATTTGGTAATCGTTTACCAAAAAATGTTTTATATATTCTTTCTTGAATACTTGCAGGTAATTTATATCTACAATCCCCAAATGCTCTCGTTGGTTCCAAACTACCCAAAACTCTTCCATTTCTAATCACTTTAGGTTCATCTGGATGTTCACTTATGATTCTTGCTACTTCTGTAGGATTTGATCCGGTTTGATCAATACTCAATTGTCTTACTGTCCATTTATTATCCTTGAACGATCCCAATATGGCTCGGGAATCACCCGTGACGGCAACTTTTAACATCTTGGTATTGGTGTCATAAAAGGAAAGTAATGCACATGAACCACTTAATGCAGGCATTAATAATTCGGCTGCTTTAGCTTTATTATTATCATTTAACAATTTCTCAATATTTTTATTCACTAATTCATGATCTAATTTCAAGAAACCATTTTTAATAGCTTGATCAATAGTAGCACTATTAGGAGCAAACCTTAATCCTTCATCATTATTTGGAACTGGTTTGAATATAGTACCCAATTCATGAATTATATATCCAATCAATTGATCTCTTAATTTCGAACTAGTGGTCCAACCACCATGTCCATCAAATACCCCAAAAAACATCCAATCAGTTAAAACTTTTATATTATTATCTTGTAATATTGGCACTTGAACAATTTCTTCCAGTCTATCATCTTCAATGGGGGAATTGGAAGCTAATTGACAAATATCATATCGGGTGACACCTTTGCCACGATTAACGAAATACAGTTCTTCAAATTGACGAAGTTTGGCGCTGACTTGTTCTTCATTTAAGAGGTAGATGCCTTGTTTGTTTTGTTGATTTGAGATTGAATTTTCATGAAGGGATGAGGTGGAGGTTGAAAAGTATCGTTTATCTTCTAGGAGTTTTCCACTGGTTGTGAGATTAGAGGAGGTGGTAGTGGTTGTTGTTGTAGGAGATGGTGATGGTGGAGGGGAGGGTAATGTATCTAAATTATAATAATTTGATTGATTGAATGTTATATATGATCCAACTATAATTATGCCTGAAACAAGCGCAACATTTCTCCCATTCTTGAATGAGGATGTGTTATTGTTTTTAACTGATTGTTTGGCAACGACTGTCGTGGTGGTACTATTAGCAGTACCAGTAGTAGCAGTATTAGCTAGTGATCGTTGTGAATATGATAATGCTTTTGTTGCTGTAGATGAGGATGCTAATCGTTTACCAATTGTTTGTAATTGTTTATTAGTAAGATATAATAACTTCGGTCTTACCGATAATACATAAACCATTTGCCTTTCTGTGTTGTTATGCTGTTGTTAATATCTATAAATGTGAATGGTTATAAGTAGTTGTAAGTAGTTAGCAGTAGTAGTGTTGTATCATATAAATTACTATTCAATGGTTATAAATGTAGTTAAAGAAGCAAGGGTAATAATCTGTTTAATCTTTTCAGGTAAAAGCCGAACAAAAAATCCGGGTTTTTTCTGTTGTGACTGATTTTTTAAGGTTTTTTTTCTTTTGTGATTGATTTGATTGGATGTCTGGAATGACTCTCTTTCTCTATAGAAACTTATATATTATAGATACGGGTTGAGATATCAACTATAAATATTTCTTAATAAGATAGAATATAATTGGATACAGAAGAGAAGGTAAATGACGTGTATTAAATTAGAATCAACTTCAGTTTCCCCCCAAACCACAAATTACTTGCAATTACCCTTTTAAAAAAGAAATAATGAATTTCAAATTGACTCTGAAAATTGACTTTTAAATAATAATCTTAACGATCATAGATACATAACCAGGAACTTTCTATCTTTCCATCTATCAATTTATCTCTCTCTTAATTTACAATGTATAAACTATATGATTTGTACATTCAATTGTTGATTCCAAGTATAGTACAGGGTGTAGTTCTCTGGGCATATCACGAATCGGAAGAAAAGGGAACCGGAATTACAGAAATAGTCATCTGATTGTGTGGGCGGAGATATCGCGCCGCTCCCCCACACAATAACGAAATTGACAATGCTACCATTCCGATAAAGAAGGATCACATTCAAACTCTCGCACAATTTAATCATATGATATACCCACCTCCTCTTAGCGACTGAACAATAAACGACACTAGAAAATAGAGAAAGAATAATAAGAATACATTTGGGCTTCTATTATTAGAAGTATGAATATTGTTTTGTTAAAAGGACAACGTTAAAACGGTCATTCTTAGTAGTTTTTAGTACGACACCCTGAAGAATCATGAGCATAGGCTGTACAACACAAACCGATGATGTCATTTATAATTGGTTGTACTGTGTATGCACGTGTTGTTCCACGGTCTCACACTAAACTACTGTATCCAAAGTAGTCTACTCCCTCAATCTGAGTAAAACATGACCTGAGCAAGAGAATGTTCCTATCACATCCTCCTAATAGAAAGCTCGTCACGTTGCAGGTAGAGATGGTTGAAAGCCAATCTCTGGTCCTTGATCAGTTATTATAAACACATTTTCGCATTCATCTTTTAAGAAAACCACACACTCCTCGTCTTTACTACAACAAGCACAGATATTAATTGAAATTAAAATGTAATATTTTTATTAATATACATCCACAACCATTCTCTCTCTAATATAAATACATAATGTAATCAAATAGCACTTAAAAAAAACAACAATATAAAAATCAATATTCAACTGACCATACCAAATCCTGATAGCAACACCTACAACGTCAGTATATTAGCTAAAATACACGGCACGCCTAGAGCACTTGGATATGATGTCCCCATATTCCATCGAAAACCCACAAAAAAATAAAAATTAATTAACCACTTTCACTCTTTTATATGTCCCCAACTAATGAATATCAAATTTATACCATCATTTTTTCATTCCCATACACTCGAAAAGAAAACAAATCAGAAGATGTACACACATGTCGTATCAAAATCACCTTTCACCGCGTTTAAGCAGCAATGGTGACTTCAACATCCACACCTGGTTCAATGGTGATTTGAGTAATCTTCTTAACAGTAGCAGCTGGGGCTTGTAAGTCAATAACTCTCTTATGAATTCTCATTTCATAAGTATCCCAAGTTTTGGAACCTTCACCATTTGGAGTCTTTCTGGTGGTGATCTTTAAAACCTTGGTTGGCATTCTAACTGGACCCTTCTTGACAATGTTGTTTTGAGAAGCATTTCTGATAATGTTGGCAGAAACATTTTCTAATTGTTTAACTTTGGTGGAAGTTAAGGTGATTCTAATCTTGTGGATTTGTTGAGCTGGTTCTTGTTCGACCTTTTCTTTGTTGATTGGAGCAGACATTGTTAGCTAGTTTTTTAGTTTGACGTTGTTAAGGAACAAGAAGACGAATATGATAAAAACACAACTTTTGTTTTATTTGAAAAATTGTTGCAAGTGAGACTATGGTTGGTAGAGAATCATCACCCACTAAAAAAATTTTTTTTCATNTTTGAAAAATTGTTGCAAGTGAGACTATGGTTGGTAGAGAATCATCACCCACTAATGAAAAAAAAATTTTCATGGAAATGAAATCACGTGAATTTGATTAGGGCTGAGCCCTAGCGATTTGCACCAACAAAAAAATGGCTGCAAAATTACATTAGAGTCTGTGAATATTTTGGCGCCCTAATATTAAAATAGCGTTTACTAGAAACAAACCTTCAATGGCCATGGTTACTTCCGAGCCCCTAATCGCCCAAAATATCTTCAACAACAGCACCATAATTATGAGTTACCAAACCTAAATAGCATTCACCTGATTTTCAGATAGATCATTTAACAGAAGCATTCTAGAATACGTTCGCCTTTAAATCAGCTTTCATCAACTCAATAGGCATAAAATGAATATTGAAATCTTTAGCAGCATGTTTTCTGAAAAACTGATTGAATAATTTGTTATGTTCTGGTGCTAATCAATAAATTTGTTTTATTTGTTATGCCCGGTGACAATTAATACATTCGTTTTATATGTTATGCTAAATTACCATTTTACTTAGACTTACTATTTAACGGGTTAAATTTCTCCCTCTTTTAAGTTTATAATTTTATATTTCAGTCTATTTTATAAATTAGTTAACTCTGTTATCAACTAACTATAAACACAAACAATATGACATTATCCATTGGCAAATTGCAACACCTATCCGAAACCAATTTTCACAGAGGATCTCATTTATTGACATAGGACAAAGCGTGACTTTTTCAGTAGGGCAGTAATTTTGTAATCAATAGCTATTTATAAATGATGAGTATAGGCAATTACAAGCTCCTCTGCGTTTTTTCAAGTATTGTTTTGATTTATGAGAAAAATAACTTTATCTATTATCACATACTGAGTTTATTCTAAAAACCAAAAGAATATACGATGAATGCAAAGGAATTTGTCATTGATTGAAATTCTGTCATTATTGATTCTAATTATTGTCCTAATGAAAAGGTAAGAGTTTTGTCCTTTATATCACTCCAATAAAACGAAGTCCCTCTGTGAAAATCGTGCAACGTAACGGATGGTAGCGTCACAACTTGAATGTCCTTGGGTTTATCCGACCAAATAGTCATTTTAGACGACATTTTGAAAGCTCGGTGATAATGCAAGAACTGGTTTACAAAACCAAATTGTGGCAAATTATGCATTTTAAAAAACCGCAATTCCTTGAGTTGTACAAAACATTATATAATATCAATTCGCCACAAGAAATATATGCATATGAATAGCGGATATATGCAAGGTGGCTTGGGGGGCTCATTACAAAACAGTTGATAGCACAATCCTGATAAGAGAGGTGTGTTATTGGGAAGACTAAGTAGGTTTTTACTTTAGATGGGCCAATGAGAGTGAAGTGACATGGAGTTTTATGCGCGACGATTGGTTAGGGTCTTGCGATCATAGTTCACCTGAAGAATTCATATCCCTGACCGAATCTCTGGTTGCATGCAAGCATCTAGGCCATGAAAGTGAAGTAGTTTTTATGATGTAAAAGCGAAGACAATCTATGTATAAACAGATTGTCTAGCTCTAGTAGGGGTGATAACAACCAGTCTGGTAAAATCCATGCCTGTAGTAGTAGCATCTGCAATTTGCATTCATACACCTGTTTCATAGATTCTCTTATTCCAGCAATGTAGAGCTGAAAATACATCGAAGAAAGCTCAATTAGGTAGGTATAAGATGATAGGTTTCATTGATTCAATTCTTATAACAGGGGCAAAGGCTTCAGTATAATCTTCGGATGAAACATTTGCACCTGTTATAAGACGTGAATCAATGAAATGACTATAAGCATAGGTACCTAAGACTGATCAGTAAATACATCAGATGCCCATAATTTCCGCATACATAAATGATAACCTTGAAGAAGGGTCCCTTATCATTCTAATTGAGTACTTGTTAGTAAATTTGATTCATGATAATCATTAATAAGCAATATTCAATTATTTCAAAAGCATTACAATAAAAATCAGATATCAATTAATAAAAGGTTTTTCTCCATGGGTTTTTATTTTCGAGATTGTCAGAGAGATTCCCAATTGAAGAGTTCATCATTTAAAGTTTTGTTGAATAATTGTTGTATGTGTTGCTAATTTTAAAAGGTTTACATACACTTTAGACACATTGATTGTTGTTATGGTATAAGAAGAAAGAGAAGAAGTAAAGGTGAAGTCAAGAGATTTTTGAGTTTCTCATTTCCTCATCTTTAAATTCTTCTTCGAGAATTTCCGGGTAATACTAGTTGAGGATCATATGGTAGCAGCTACTTTCGAAAGAGATGTGATATACCTATTCCAAGGGTATTGACTATAGTAACATTATTATCTATTAAATTATATCTATTTACAAAGCGATTCAATAAGTGCTAGCCTATGATTTATTCGTCCTTATTTGCTATTTCATTCTGTAATCTCTTGACAACTTTCCACATCAACTCATATTCTTCAGGAGTTGAATATCCACTTGTAAGCCATCTAATTCTACCTTGTGGATCCAATATATAAATAAATCCAGAACATTGATTATCACATAATAACTCTTGTCTAATTTTATATTGGAAAATATGATCAGGTAATATAAAATAATGATTTGATCTTTCTTTTGGAATCATTTTACGTAAATTGGATAATGATAAGTTTAATACAAATCCTTTAAGCCAATTAGTAGGGATATTTACATCAAAGATTTGACAGTTTGGATATTCTTTGGTGAATTCAGTATAATCTTTAAGATAATAATCCTTTTCATCCAGTTTATAATAACTATGAGTACATTTTTCACCGGTAACCGAACTAAATATATTAACAATAGTAATTTTATCCCCTAATGCTTCATAAATACTCCTCTGTTTACCATCTAATGTCTTTGCATAGAAATCAGGGAAATATAATGACTTTTCAGCTCTAAAATATGATTTTGGTGGTGTGAATATTTTCCCATTAGTATTACGAAAACATTTAGCATCATATAATGGAGAATGTTGCATTTCATAGTCTAACTTCTTTTGACGTGCTTCTTTGGCTTCAGCACTGAATAAGGAATGATATAAATTGTTAAGGTTATAAGTATCTGATAAATTATGATTTAATAATACTGGGGTTTCTAAACCAATTGCATGCTTGATTTCTATGGGTTTGGTTTGAGGAGTTTTAACTGCGTTGTTAATAGAAGCGGCAAATCTCATAGACTTGGACCGCACTTGCGACGAGGACAATGTTCTAACAAAAGATCTGTTCATTTCTTGTAGTCGTCGGTATGTTGATCTATTTGAAGTATGATTGCCATAATCAAAATGGAAAATCTGATAAAATTGTTCCAATTACAGCAATGCAAAGTGCTACCCGGACATAAATTTTAAGTCGTGTAATTGCCAAAAACTCATAATGGCAGTTTCAACGAAGTTTTGGATTGGTTGTAAAAAGAATGAACAATTACCAGTTGTCTAATTTACCATCAAGTTTCGAAATTTTCACATTATATAAAATTATCTATAGTCTATTTGTCTGTCTAAGTTTAATGTCAATACAATTGCGAGATGGATTGGCCAACCAATCACTCGATCGAGTCCTAGAAGATCTATTGGTTAGATTTGTAGTTAATGTACCAGAAGAAGATTTATCATCAATTGAAAGAGTATTCTTTCAAGTAGAAGAAGCACAATGGTTTTATTCCGATTTCATTCATCAAATATGTCCAGATTTCCCCCCTATGAAAATGAAAAGTTTTTCAGCAAAAGTTTTGGAAAAATGTCCATTGATTTGGAAATGGGGTGACCCAGATGATGCTCTTTCAAGATTTGGAAAATATAAATCAACTATTCCAGTCAGAGGAGTGGCATTGATGAATAAAGATTTATCTAAAGTTGTTTTGGTAAAAGGAACAGAATCAAATACATGGTCTTTCCCAAGAGGTAAGATTTCAAAAGGTGAATCCGATATTGATTGTGCTGTTAGAGAAGTTGAAGAAGAAACTGGGTTTAATTGTCGTGATTTAATTAATGAGAATGAAGTATTGGAAAGAACTATAAGAGGAAAGAATTATAAGATTTACTTGGTTAGAAATGTACCTGAAGATTATAATTTTGAACCTCAAGCAAGATTTGAAATTGCNGGTTAGAAATGTACCTGAAGATTATAATTTTGAACCTCAAGCAAGATTTGAAATTGCAAAAATTGAATGGCATGATATCAAAAGTATTCAGAAGAAAAATAGGACAAATCCAAATAATTATTTCATTGTCGGAACAGTTCTTAAACCTATGTTAAGATGGATTAATAAAAACAAGGGTATATTGAATGAAGAAGAATTAATGTTACAAGCAGAAATTAAATTATTCTTAAATAACCCTTAGTTATTTGGCTATCTTCTACAACTACGTCCTTCTCTTATATTGAATATTCTTCAACATGTTGGACAAACCACAACAAGTGCTAACGCCCCAGGTATTTCAGTATCCGGTCCTGCTAATATAGCTGCTACTCAACAACAGCCACAACCAAACATGGTAAATGTCCCAATCCCAGTTCACTTACAAAATCTTATTCCATTCTTTGGCGCCCCACAGATGCATCCTTCTTATCCAGTCTACAACCAACCGCCATTCATAAATCCAGCTGTAGCACCCGCACCTGGCGTGGGTCCATTGCTACCACCATTCCCACATTTATTGACTCCACTTCAACAACATGCAATGATGCAAGCATCACCCCATCCAATGAATGATCCTGGATATATAACTCAACAGCCAAACCCACAGTCATTACAAAAACCATCTGTGCGTAAAGGAAGCAGTGTAAACTCCAAGGAGTTATTATCTTTGTTGCACACTAAATCTAGTCCTAAAAAGAAAGAAGAGAATGGGAAGCCAGCATCCGAAAAGGTAGCCGAATCATCTAATTTTAGAAGTAGGGCTCAAGAATTGTTAAGTGTATTCCCCAAAAAACAACAACAACAACAGCAACCAATTCTAGAACAAGAAGAACCAATTCTAGAGGATACAGAAGCAAAACAAAAGATTTTAAGTGCCCTTCACAAGTTACCGCCCGTTTCAGATTCTTCAAAGGGCGTAGCTCCTTTATTGGGGCAACCTGAACCATCAAATGAAATCGAGGAGTCTATAAGACAACAAAAGGCAAACGCACCACGTAAGAAAAAGATGATGTTATTAAAGAGATCAGATAAACCAGAAGGTAAGAGCACAGCATCGGAAGATTTGTTGAGTTTATTAAAGCCACAGAAACCAGAAGAACAAAAGCAAGAAAGTCCTTCAAATGAAATATTGGGATTGTTGAAACAACCAAGAAAACATTCGAAATCAAAGCCTGTAGATCAGTCAGCGTCATCTTCATCTAAGCAGTTATTGGATATGCTTCATAAACCAGTCACTAGTCCAACAGTTAATCCAGCTACTGAATTGATGGATATTCTTAAGAAGCATAAGAGTCATACTTCCGATATGCCAATGAGTAGTGTTTCACCAATCAGTCTCCCTGAGGCGGGAGCTGAATTATTAGGCATACTTAATCAAAATAGATCTCCAACTATGCTTTCACCAACACTTGAACAGACTTTGGAAGCAAGTAATCGTGCAGAATATGCCAATCTTTCACAACAGCAACAACAACAGCAAGAACATCAACAACAAGACCAAGAGCATCAATTTGAAGATTTTGAAGATTTTGAGCAATTTGAGGATGCTTTTGATGATTTCAATGGGGGGATATTGGGGAGGACCAATTTTGCCAATTTTGATATTGCTAGTGATGAAGAAGATGTTGATCATCTAATTGATCAGTTTGCTCCAGCAACTCATGCGCAATATAAACAACAACCTCAATCATCGTACTATCAGCAGCCACAACCTGTGCAACAACAACCTCAGCAGCAGCCGAAATTTGAGCCTCAATCTTTAGATCATTTCCTGCCAAAGAAGGTGTTTAATCAATCTCAATATCCACAATATCCTCAACAGCAACCACTTGCTACCCAGCCACCACCTCCACAGGTACAGGGGCAGGGAAATATTGGACAACAATGTCTGCGTGGGTTCTTTTAGTCCTAGAATTTTGGTCCACTTTTGTATCTAGAACTATTCGCTAACCAACCACAACAACCACAACTGGGAACTAATGCTCAAGGACAGGGATTATTGGCATTATTAAACGGAGGGAAACCAGCGGGTGGTGCTTCACAGGCTCCGTCAGAGCCAAGGAAGAAGAGTGTTGGTAATCATCATGCCCAAGGGCAAGGATTATTAGCGTTGTTAAATCGTGGGAAACCACCTTCACCCCTTCTATGCTTTGCTCTTCGAGGCTAAAGCGAACCATCGCCACCACCATTACGTCAGTTAAGCACAGTGGGACAAGAGAAGTCGGGAAAGAAGTCGGCTGATTTTTTGAAGGAGTTGTTGTTTAAGAGAGACGATTAGTTGGGTCGTGTATTATGTAGTATATTTATGACTTAATTGCATTATATTGTATTTTTAGAGATGATAGAAGGATGCGATGCGAGGTGGGGCTATAGACCGAAGAAATTCTTTGCGTTTGTTTTAATTGTTTTCTTTCTCTTTCTGGGTTGAGTATCTTCAGTAGTTTCTGAAGGCGGTTGAATTTCAATAATCTCAGGTTCTTCTTGTTTTATCTCTCGTTTGATAGACAGCCGTTGTAATTGCGGAGATACGGATGGTTTGTAGTTCTTATTAAGAATATAAGTATATCCACCACTCACTCGATTTCTCAACGCCAACCTCGCCTTCCAGATCTTAATCAACATTTCATCCTTCACAATCGGATCATTATGCATGCTATTCATATAATTCTCTCCATATATCATCAAATCAAGCACATTGGTCTCGTATATCTTCTCTGCCAACAATTCCCCAATCCTGGGGATGGAAGTTTCATGCCCCTCAAGATACTAGTATACAGGTATCTTAGCCTAATCCCATACGTTAAATTCGCCCATTGGTAATCTATTCACCAATTGCGCCTCTCTGGTTGATTTATCAAGCTTCAACCAACCGGTATCTGAAACATACAGGCCTTGATTGATTGAAGAGACGAGAATATCAGTTTCGATACATGATAGGGAACAACCAGGTTTGTCACGGGATAGGTCTAACAAATATTGGATTCCTTTTCGAGTTATCCTGGGACAATTGTTTATTTTTATAATCATGAGACTGTTCAACTTGCCTTGGTTCCGAATAGATGAAGATAGGTTATATAAGAAATTATCATCGACCATTGAATGATTGGATAAGTTTATCGAGATTAGATTGGGAAGATTGAATAACATGAAATAATCATCTGGTTTCAAACTTGTGGACAAGGATATATCTAGGACTAATAATGGATTGAAACGATGGCGAGATGATAGGTGGGAGATTATGTCTGAGATTGATATGTTTTTGAATAGGTTTTCAATTCTATGATTTCTAGCATTGGGGATCCGAAATAGGTCGATAGTTTTGGCTTTTAAGAGTTGGAAGTTGGTGGGTTGGTGTATGGTTGTGTGTGATTTGAATTCCTGGTTGCTAGGGGTACTAAACTTTTCGGCAAATGTGGTGTAGACTTCAATAGAGTCTGTTCCTTGAATGAGGATGAATTGCCAGACTAGTTTCCAACAGCTTTCCCAGGGTGCAAGGTCAAGATAATCTGAATCTATTTGATGGGAATTTGCAGCCAATTCTTGAGCACATAGTTGCTTTAGGGTGGGAATTTTGTTTCCTGGTCGAGCAAGCTTTAGTTTGGGTCTTGAGTTTGTCAGAGGAATGAGAGTTGTCCAGGGATAAGTTGGAATTGAAAGTGATGAATCAATGAATGAAAGATCCGTTGTTGATGTCCCTATTTTAGAAAGATTGGTAGTGTAATCATTTTGAGATCTTGGAGGTAATCGTTTCTCTTTGAGTTCTTTCTTGGTTGGTTTCGTTCGTATTCTCTTCCTGGTGGTTGTTCTTCTTTTATTATACCTCTGTCTGAACATCTCTCCTCCTTACTTAACTCGCTGTTGTTGTTGATTCAATTTGCGCATTTAAAACGCGCATCTTTTTTTTTTTGCCTCCCATAAATAAATGGTTGCCAAATATTTATCTGTTGCCAAATATTTATCCAAATATGAGGAAAGGATCTGCCTAATGTAATGGTAGTTAGTAATCAACACAGGGAATATAGAATTAAACTATGTTTAGATGTTAACCAGAGATGATAATTAATGAAAACATTGAAATTGGGAATAAAGGATGTTTGCAACTAATTGATATAGAACACTAACAAGATGCATTTAGCTACAAGGAATTCAGTAATCACAGGATTAAACTGATCCATGAATTCCAGTCCAAACTCTGACAGCACTAATTCCTCATCTTCATTGGACTCTCCATGAAATTCCTCACAAATAAACGATTGAAATCCTCATGAATCAGCATCATTCAAATCTCCAATGCCACCACCATCAAAATATAAATTCCAACTTCCACCAACCTTCCACCACCATAGTTCCAACTCTTGCACCACTACCACCTCAAAATCCAAAATTCAATCTCCATCACCTACATTCCACCTCTTCCACCATCTACATTCCAAGTCTTCCACCACCATCAAATTCCAGCTTCCACCACCATCAAATTCCAACTTCCACCACCTCCTTCAAACTCTTCCACCACCAGCATTCGAAGTCTTCCACCACCTCCTCCAAATCCAAAGCCCAATCTCCATCAATATTCAAGTATCCACCACCTGCATTCCAATTCTTTCACCACTTCCTCAAAACTCAAATTCCACTCTCCACCAACATTCAAATCTGCACCGCAGCCGTTCAAACCACTCCACCCCCTACCCTCAAACTCTTCCACCACCAACATTCCAATTCGTCCACTACCACCATTCCAATCCTTCCCCCGATTCCACCATTCCAATCCTTCCCCCGATTCCACCATCATCACCAATATTCAATTCAAATCTCCACCACTAACATGAAAATGAAAATGAAAATCTCCACTATCATTATTTGATTCTTCCACCGCCACTAATGAGATTCTTCCACCCCCATTATTGAAGAGTCCAAAACCAAAATATTGGAATCCTAAGCCTTGATAATCCTCATTCCAATCTGGGTTAAAGTCAAAACCTTCTTTCCATTGAATTCGAATAAAAATTCATTACACGTAAACTAACCATTGGTCAAGAAGATAAATTCAGTATGAAAAGATTTCACACCCGATCCCATTCAAACCCCGTTAACTCTCGCCAACTTGCATCATCACCAATTCTTCATTTCAGATGGGTATTACCGACTTCGCTGTCAGGTGCTATTTCTTTGTTCATAAAGCATTGGCTTAATTTATTTATTTCAACATGCTTTACCCAAAATGAAAAAGCGGTTGAATTTACCACAAAGTGATAGCAATAGTACCCGAGTAGCGATGGTATTATCCTAGCCAGAGCCATTAAGTATTACAAAGGAGAATTTCTTGTTTAAAAATGTAAAATTTATTAAATACAAAATCAAGAATACAAATATATCGAGCATTCCTTCTACATCCTCCCTTTTTAAATTCCAAACCATACTATCGTCCCGATCACCAACCAATAGCTATTTCCTTACCCACAGTATGAATACAGTCTTTCTTCGGAATCCAAATCCTATGATGAATTTAAGCAATGCTTGGATAAACCGAAGATGAACTTCGCATATTTGGAATGCAAGAAGATGAAGTTCGATAACCAATTTCCATATCGTCTAAATCGATATGATACAGACCCCCGGATTTTTGGAAGTTTTCCGAACATTTATCTATGCGGGAATCTACGTTTTCTCAGTCTTCATCATCTACGAAAGTAGTTTTGGAGTCATGGGAAATAAATGGAATGGGACTAAGGTTGGGTTTGGATACAGATGTTAAACTTGGATGGATATAAATTAAATATTAGGTGTATGAACCAACGGGATACTTCCAACCATAGCTTTTTTGCTCCATTTTGATAGTCCTAAATATAGCAATGGGGTAGGAATCTGTAGGGAGATCCAATTTACTAAACTTTTGTTTGCAATCTGTGTGTTAGCAGTATCTTTAACTGCCGATGGGTCACAGCATTCTTGATCTAGCACATTCTTTCTTGAAATGAACATCCACAATGCCTTGATTTGTTTGGACAAATTCCTTGTTAACCTCTTGCAAGTCGTTTTGGTATTGTGCCAGAAAACTTTAGATCCAAAGGATGATGGATGCTTTCGGTAGCAAGATATTTAATTTCCACTTTGTCTTCATCTTCCTCATTAATGGTAAACAAAATTGAATGGTTATTAGTTGTAACAGCAGCAGCAGCAGGATGAATATTAGTAAGAGTAAAAGTTGCAGCAGAAGCACAAGGAGCAGAAGGACCAGTGGTAGTAGTAGTATCAGCAGCAGGAGTTGTAGTAGTAACATCAGTAACATGAGTGGAAACAGGTTCTTGTATTTCAGTTGATGATTGAGTGGTGTTTGTGTCGACGGGATCTTAATTGCAACTTTCTAAATCTTCGTTTATTGCAATATCAACAAACAAGTCGTGAACGTTCTTTGGAATGTTTTCTTGCATTGGATCATTATAACTTTGTTTCAAGAAATCAATCATTCTTGTTGGTGTGGGTTCTGTGGTTTTGGACTATTGATATTTTGAAATGAATCTGGAGGTTGCCTGATTTTTCTGGAATAATCCAGCAAAGTAATATTTTTTCAATTTTTTATCGAGTTCATAGAACTCTTTAAATTTCAACAATTTGCCTTTTTGATTGTTGGATTTGTGGAATTTGTCTAATATTTTGCGGAACATATTTGGTTGATGTGTTTGTTTGTAATAAAGTGAAGAAGAAAGGAGTACAAGTAAATAATTTCTGTGGTTTTTTCGCAATTAGAGAATTTATACTCCCAAAAGTTGCAACCATTTTTTCCTAAGAATATTTTATCAATTAAAAATGAAGGGTTCATAACAAACTGGAATGTAAACTGTGGCTTGTCGCTTCTAACCTCCAAGTATAGTCCGATAAGCTGGTAATCTCTAAATAACCTCCATATCGATTGCAATTTCATAAATTTCCCAGTGCTAAATCAAATGATGTCCACTTGAGGTGGTTGCACTACCCAAAATGAAAATGGGTTTGCATTTACCCCAAATAATAATAGATGTATATCGATGTCCAGTTAGTTCCTTCTTAAAGTTGAAGCTACTATTCACAAATATTGTAGTAAGATGAACATAAAATCCACAGATTCGCAGTTGGTAAATTTAACCCATCTTTCTCACTATATCTCATAAATGCTGCATCTTCAAAGCTTCCAAAATCTAATGGATGCACTCACTTGGAATTAATATGTTTTAGAAAAGGACAAATGTTGTACTTGTAATTTTAAAATAGCTTATTCACTAGGTTTGACGGGTTTCTCCCGGTCGTGTAAGTTAGGTTAAAAAGTTCAACTGAGGTAATGTGAAAATTCCACTAATTAAACATTTCAGGAGAGTAAGGCTTTTACATGTATCGTTGGCAAATATAGATACAAGCAACATGTATATCAGTTCCAATTGCATTCCTTTTTCAGATTAGACATGGGCTTTTATAAATTCTTTCTTCGGGGCACTTTACATCTTCCAATTGACATTTTGGAATTGATTTTCGGCTATACTCCTACCACTCATTTGTGGGCGTATAGTAATATTCCAATTATCAACGAGCATCCCATTAGAGCTTTAAATGTCAGGAAAGTTCAGATTACCGTCGGTAAAGACTTGTACAAACTTGTTGCTCATGATTACAAAATTGGAGAACAGTGGGGAATGATTCCTACCGGTGATGAAACATTGTTGGGACGGTTCAGTGATCATGAAAAGGTTGTCCTATCCAGTTCCAAGATGTTGACGGCATAGATGATTTCTTAGAGTTTATAAAAGATCGTTCCAAACCACGTCCCACCTTGGTCATTTGACACTTTAATGCAATTACGTGAAAAAGAGGCATCTTTGATTCAGAGAGCCAAGAGGATACTGTTGCCGAATAAAATATTTCTGGACAAACCTGACAATGATTCAAGAGTGCTGTTGATACGCGCGTCCGCATCTCCCTTTCCAATAGATGAGGTTTTGATTGCACATACTTTCTTTGAATGTTAATTCGTTACCTCCGGTATATCGACTTCCTCGAAATTTAATTGTTCTTGCTATTTCAGGTACCCTGTCGTTTACTCTCCCTATGCCATTACCCAAATAATTGGTGCATTCAGTTTCTTCCGTCTTACCTGAAGCAAAATATTGTCTAATAGACTTACCAAACTTGACTCGTGTTAAAATTGACTCAAGGGATAAACAGCTAAAATCATTTGAATGTGAATTGCCACAGAACGTAAGAGCCTTGGGTTGGCGATATGATGAATTAAATTCTTTAAAAATAAAGCAACCCAAGTTGAGCTTGGCTAACTTGTCTTTGAATAATATTAGGTCATTAGGAGAACTCGATTTACCAGATTCAGTTCAGGAGGTGGCTTTGAGTATGCAGCGGTTGGCATATGGAACAAGTGAAGGACGGGCATATGAGAATAGGCTACCTGTCGATCTAAAGCGTCTTGATCTCTCCGCTAATAACATGGACACGCAATCATTCAATAAGTTGAACTTGAAAAGATTTCGTCAATGTATCTGCTAAAGTTACACTGGACTGAAAGTAGAGAACTAAAACAATTTCCGAGATCCCTCAAGGTTTCGGAACTACTGTACAGTTATGGATTGGTAAACCTCGATCTTGAAGAGCTAACTAAGCTACAAGTATATACATTGAAAGGCTTGCAAATTTAATGTGCCAACGCAGATAAAACTTCCCACGTCTCTAAAGTACTTAAGTTTAGCACGGCGCAATCTCAGAGATATAAACGGTTTACGATTCGCTGAAAACTCCCAAATTAAATCCATAAACGTGAAAGATAATAAGCTTTCGAACACAGAAGAGGTGCGTAAACAGTTGACCAATCTTTTGGGGCCAAAAGCTGTAATTGAAGTATGAAGCATTTGGGAAGAATCCCCATATTATTGAAAACAATGATAATTTGTAGACGTGAAGTATGAATAAAAATGGGATGATATAATTTTCCACTCATCTTTCTATAGCTTGCACGTACCCTGATCTCTCGATAAATATATCCTAAAGTTAGTCAAATCTTCAGTCCACGTCTTGATATAGCTCAGATATACTAGCGGCTCTGATAGAACTTTATTTATAATACTGAAAGATTTTCAACTTTCTTTTGCAGAGATTTTTATCGAACTTAAGCAAATACGTCACGACTTCCAGTCATCGCAATGTACGGACAAAGACGACAGCCTTGACCAAATCTACTGATAGTAATTTTGCTTTGAATATAGAAATAGTGAAATGGATTGTAACAAAAAAATTAACCAATTGAGAGAACGTTTAATGATAGTATTGAATAGCTGGATAAAAATACAAAGCCAATAGCAACGATTGCAACATCGGTTTAAGTAAATTTGATAAAGAATACAATGTGTGGATATTCAGTAGGAAGACAGTTGACCAAAAACTTGCTTCATCAATCAATTGGTGAATTGCATTCCAGCGGAAGTATAGAGATGATGCCTGAGTTATGATACATCGCTTCGTCATATCCTAGCTAGGGCCATTAAGTATTACAAAAGAAAAATTCCTCGTTTACAAATATAAAAGACTTTCTTCCGATTACAAATTCTATGATGAATTTAAGGAATCAATGCTTGGATAAACCAAAAATGAACTTCGGATACATGGAAAGCAAGAAGTTGAATTTCGGATACATTCAATGCTTGGATAGCAAGATGATGAGCTTTGGATACTTGGATAACAAGATTATGAACTTCGGATACTTGGAAAGCAAGAAGATGAACTTAGGATAAATTCAATGCTTGGATAGCAAGAAGATGAACTTAGGATAAATTCAATGCTTGGATAGCAAGAAGGCTAACTTTGATAACCGACTTCCAAATCCTCTAAATCAATATGATGCAACCCCCCAGCTTCTTCGAGGTTTCCGGAACAGTTCTCTTTGTCGGATTTTATGTTTTCGCATTCTTCATCTTGTTTGAAAGTATTGGCAGTTTTGGAGTGATGGGAAATAATTGGAACGGGACTTCTGGTGGGTTTGGGTGAATCTTGGAAATTTTTAGATGATAAACTAGGATGGTTAGCAAGTAAATAATGAGTGTATGAATCAACGGGATACTCCCAACCATAGCTTTTTTGCTCCATTTTGATAGTCCTTAATATAGCAATGGAATAAGAATCTGTAGGGAAATCAAGTTTACTAAACTTCGTGTTTGAATTCTGTGAAATAGGATTTCCATCAACCCCCAATGAGTTACAACGTTCTTTATCTGGCATATTCTTTCGTGAAATGGACCGCAATAGTGCCTTGCTTTTTTGGGAACAATTAATTGTTAATCTTTGGCAATTTGTCTTGGTCACGTACCAGCTGATAAGAACTTCAGATCCAAAGGGTTTTGGGATATTTTGTTTAGCATGAATTTCACTTTCCTCTTCTTCTTCTTCATCTTCCTCATGAACGGTATACAAAATTGACTGGTTGTTAGTTGGAACAGCAGCAGCAGGATGCATATTAGTAATAATAGTTGTAGCAGAAGCAGCAGTAGAAGCAGCGGTAAAAGTTGTAGCAGAAGCAACAGCGGTAGTTGTAGTATAGGGAGCAGTAGTTGCAGTAGTAATATCAGTAATGGTAGTGGCAATAGGTTCTTGTACCACAATTGATAATTGAGCGGTATTTGTGTCGACGGGATCTGAATTGCAACTTTCTAAATCTTCACTCATAGAAATGGACACAAATAATTCGTGTTCGTTGGTTGGTAATTCTTCTTCTTCTTGATAAGTTTGTTTCAAGAAATCAATCATTCTTGTTGGTATGGGTTCTGTGGTTTTGGCCCTTTGATATTTTGAAATGAATCTGGCGGTTGCCTGATTTTTCTGGAATAATCCAGCAAAGTAATATTTTTTCAATTTTTTATCGAGTTCATAGACCTCTTTAAAGTTCAACAATTTTGCTTTTGAATCGTTGGATTTGTGGAATCTATCTGTGATCTTGGAGAACATATAACCAACACTACACAAACAATGTAATAAAGTGAAGAAGAAAGGAGTACAGATATATAATTTCTATGGTTTTTTCGCAATTAAGAATTTATACTTGCAAAAGTTGCAGCCATTTTTTTCCTTAGAATATTTTATGAATCAAAAAATGTTTGCATAACGCGTTAATAACAAAACTGGAATGCAAACTGTAGTTTGTTTCTTCTGCTTTCTAAATATAGTCCAACAAGTGTCTTTACTTGGTTGAAACGGTACCAATAGTCTTAGTGGAGACTAAAAAACAAATCTTTCAAATAGATCATATAAATTTCCATCAAGGAACTATAAATTTTCATAGAATTACACTTTATGACAGTTGCTGTATATGTACAACTCTCTCAAAGGTATAAGACCATTAGTCAATTTATGATTCTATGATTAATTTTCCGCCCCTATCTTTAGCTCGAAATACCTGTCCTCGACCCCTTCCGATACAACTTGATAATAATTTGATAATAATTTGATGATAGTTTTTGTTAATAATTTGATATCTGCTTAGCCGATCCAATACTCTAAACCAAGAAACTACTACTTATAGTTTACATTTTGGCTGGTTAACAGTAGTACATTTGCTAAACAGATACCAATTTATTATCGTAACGTATTGATTTCAACAACTGTGAATTGACAGTATTCCCAATATGAGAAGGCTCTAAGCTTTGTTTCAAAGAACCAATTTGCAATTAATTAATATTTTACTGCATCCTACGTACCCATCGTATCAAGTGAAGTGGCTGATTCAGTCTTATCGGATCTATACCAGTTTTGTCTTGGTAGATAATAAAAGAGAACATAGCAATTTAAGTTTTGCAACAAATTTTTTCTTACAACCAAACTTAATTTATACCCTTCATTTTTTTGGCAGCAAATAATTGAAAAGAGACCCATATTCACTGGACTCCTTCTTTTTATCAGATTATAAGCTATAAGATTCTTGTTGAGGAAATTGTGCTGTCTAAGTATTGTTTGTCCTATCGTTGTTCTGTAAGTATTTCATGGCTATCCCGTTTTGATAAATTGGTTATTGATAACACGGTTAACTATTCTATATTCTCAGAAACAGTTCGAGACATAATTTTGAGCAACAAAATGGTGGTCCATGGTCAAATCAAAGATGACGATATAGCAAGCGATAATGAAATAGAGGTATCTGATACAGTATTTGTAAGTACTGCAAACCCAGACAGCTTGAAATTAAACTTGCAAACTTTTTATGCAAGTAAACATCCTTGGTCGTCTGGTGAGTATTTAATTAAAAAATTAATCGATGAATGCAACTCCCTTAGAGCTGACATTGAAATGACAGAAGTCAAAATAGCTGAGTGTATCAAGAGGGAAGCCGATGCCAAACCTCCTTCTAAGCAAACGAGATGCCCACTGAGTCCCAGGACTAAATTTGTTGAGAAACCAAAAGTCTTGAAAGATGGCAACCCCGATTTGATTAATGTTGTTTACTCGGGTCCTACTGAGAGAAGGAAAAGAGCCCCAAAGTAACTATACCACTATGCAGGTAGAATCTATGGAAATTCCACCGCATTAGCTAATCATAGATTAATTTTTGGCTCATTTATGTTGCTTTTATCGTGCTTATTCGTTGCTAGATTATATAGAATAATTTGCATATTTTGTCCCCGAACAGGTGACTGACTGTAAATCACATTTGCATGGACCAGGAACATGACTTGCTTTGCACTTTTAGACCAGTTTTCCGTATTTTCGACTTCCTTTTATGCTGTCCTCTATTATTGCTTGTTTTTCCTAGTATTAAGGTAAAATATTCAATTTATATGAATAACCTTGAATATTCATGCAAATATGGTAGCACCGGAAACCCTTTCTAAAGTTGGTTGGTACGAGCTACCAATTTTTTGGTGTGGTTTTTTGTGACCATAAAAAAATAAAAAAAATTCAAGATGAGCTCTTCTCCTACCCTATAATCATCATCAACTAAGCTAGTACACACACCGAAATGAAGCTTGACACATCTCATATGAGGTATCTCACCTCGGACGACTTCCGAGTCCTCCAAGCAGTCGAACTCGGCTCGCGTAATCACGAACTTGTCCCCACGAACATGATCCATTCAATCGGTGGTTTAAAATCCCCAACTGGGACAATGCGATGTATTGGAGATTTAGCTAAATTAAAACTTGTCCTGAGATTACGAAATGCTAAATATGATGGGTTTAGATTAACATATAATGGATATGATTATCTTGCCTTAAAATCGATGTTGAATCGTGAAACTTTATATTCTGTGGGTACGATGATTGGAGTTGGGAAAGAATCGGATATTTATTCAGTCAGTGATCCTAAGGGAGTACAGAAGGTTATTAAGATACATAGATTGGGAAGAACTAGTTTTAAGACTGTGAAGAATAATCGTGATTATTTGAAGAATAAACAGACTGGGAACTGGATGTATTTGTCAAGATTGGCAGCTGGGAAGGAATATGAGTTTATGACGATTTTGTGGGATAATGGATTTACTGTCCCGCAGCCATTTGATTATTCGAGACATTGTGTTATGATGGAATGGATTAAAGGGATGCCGATGAAACATTTGAGACAGCATGATAATTATAAGAAATTATATTCTGATTTAATGAATTTTATTGTGAAATTAGCTAATCATGGTTTGATTCATTGTGATTTTAATGAATTTAATATTATAATCAGAGATAAAGCAGAAGCAAGTAAACATGAATTTGATTTCGTGGTTATTGATTTCCCTCAGTGTGTATCTATAGAACACCCAGATGCTAAAGAATATTTTGATCGTGATGTTCAAGGTATTAGAGATTTCTTTGAAAAGAAGTTTAGATATAGTCCAGAACATGATGCTACTATGTTTGATACCGAGGGGTATGGTGAAGGGTATAAATATGCTTATCCTAATTTCAAGAGAGATGTGATTAGAGAAAAGAATTTGGATGTTGAAGTGAAGGCTTCGGGTTATGCAAAAAAGAGAACTGGAACTAAGGAAGATAAAGATTTGGAAAAAGCGGTAATGGGGATGAGAATTGTTACAACTGAAGATGATGATCTTTCTGAAATTGAAGATGAAGAAGGGGATGAAGGTGAGTATGATGATGAGGAAGAAGAAGATGAAGATGAAGACTTTGAAGAAGGAGAAGAAGATGGATTTGATAGCGAAGATGAAGAACAGAAATTACATGAAGAAAATGAAAAGATCATAGAAGCATTATCTTTAGGTGATAAGAAATTAAAGATGGATAAATTAGGTAATTATATCTTAGATGAGGATTAACTGTTTATAGTAGAGTATTGTAGAATAATTAATACAAGGTTTAGTAAGTAAATTCTATTTCAATAATGTTTTCATTTAAAGAGGGTACCCAAAAAGAATAATAAAACACAAAAGCGAGAAAATATACAATAATTTATTAAGCTATTTATTTGGTTTGTTATTTGTTATTATTAAATGCCCAACTTAACTTAACGGGTAGCCATACCTTTAGTAACAGCTCTCTTTAAAGCTAATTCAGCCTTTCTAAAGTCATCAGCAGAAGATTCTTCTAATTCTAAAGCTTGTAAAGCATCAGATAAAGCAGCTTCAATCTTATCCTTAGCAGATTTCTTTAATTTAGCAGATAAGACTGGGTCAGTGACAGTAGATTCAACAGAAGAAACGTAAGCTTCTAATTTTTGTTTTTGTTCGTGTCTCTTGGCGAAAGCATCATCGGATGATTTGAATTTTTCAGCATCAGAGATCATCTTTTCAATTTCGTCAGATGATAATCTACCAATAGAGTTGGAGATGGTGATGTTAGCAGATCTACCGGTAGACTTTTCAACAGCAGTAACCTTTAAGATACCATTAGCATCAACTTCAAAGATAGCTTCCAAGACTGGTTCACCAGCTTGCATTGGTGGGATGTTCTTCAAGTCGAATTCACCTAATAAGGTGTTTTCAGAACAGTTAACACGTTCACCTTGGTAGACTGGGAATTGAACGGTGGTTTGGTGGTCAGCAACGGTGGTGAAGGTTCTTCTCTTGATGGTTGGGACAGTGGTGTTTCTTGGAACAACTGGAGCAAAGACATTACCTTGCATGGCAACACCTAAAGATAATGGGATAACATCTAATAATAATAAATCCTTGGTATCTTCAGAAGTAGATTGACCAGTTAAGATAGCACCTTGAACAGCAGCACCATAAGCAACGGCTTCATCTGGGTTAATAGACTTTTCTAATTGTTTACCATCAAAGAAGTCAGATAATAATTTTTGAACCTTTGGAATTCTGGTAGAACCACCAACCAAGACAACTTCGTCAACTTGGTTCTTGGCAATCTTAGCATCCTTCAAGACTTGTTCAACTGGTTCTAAGGTAGACTTGAATAAAGCAGAGTTGATATCTTCGAATCTAGCTCTGGTGATGTTAGCGGAGAAATCTTCACCATCAAATAAGGAGTCGATTTCAACAGTGGTTTGAGTACCAGAAGATAAGGATCTCTTAGCACGTTCACAAGCAGTTCTTAATCTTCTTAAAGCTCTAGCATCTTCAGAGATATCTAAACCGGTCTTCTTTTGGAATTCCTTCTTGAAATGTTCTAACAAGTTAGTATCGAAATCTTGACCACCTAAATGGGTGTCACCAGCAGTAGCCTTAACGGTGAAAACACCACCAGTAATGTTTAATAAGGAGACATCGAAAGTACCACCACCTAAATCGAAAATTAAAACGTGTCTTTCCTTTTCAGATTTACCAGCACCTAAACCGTAAGCAATAGCAGCGGCGGTTGGTTCGTTAATAATACGTAAAACATTTAAACCAGAAATGGCACCAGCATCCTTGGTAGCTTGTCTTTGAGCATCATTGAAATAAGCTGGGACGGTAATAACAGCCTTTTCAACCTTCTTACCAATCTTAGCTTCAGCAATTTCCTTCATTTTGGTTAAAACCATAGCAGAAATTTCTTGAGGAGAGAAAGTCTTAGTTTCTTCCAAGTATTCAACTTCAATTAATGGGTTACCATTAGAGTTGATAACCTTGAATGGCCAAGATTTGATATCTTTTTGAACGGATTCATCATCAAAACCTCTACCAATTAAACGTTTGGCATCGAAAACAGTGTTCTTTGGGTTTAAAGCGGCTTGATTCTTAGCAGCATCACCAATTAATCTTTCTTCGTTAGTGAAAGCGACGAAGGATGGAGTAACTCTGTTACCTTGTTCGTTGGCAATGATTTCAACAGCAGAATCATAAGTAGCAACACATGAGTAGGTAGTACCTAAATCGATACCAATAGCACCTGGGAAAACACCGTCAGCCATTTTTAATATATTATTATTGATAACTTGAAAGTTGGGTAGAAAAGAAGAAAGGAAGAAAGAAAGAGAAGAAAAATTTTTATTAAGGGAAATTTTAATTCCATTTTATAAAAGTGAAAAATTTTTCATTCATTCCTGCGTACTTGAGAATCTCTTCTCAAAAAAAAAAAATTATTAACAATTGAAAAAAAAAAATTTATTAAATAAACTGATGGCACCAAAATAAAAAAAAAGAAATCCCTTGATTCATCCATTTTAGGAAATACCATACTACAATATTCTCTAGTGGTATAGAATTTACTACCGATAACATTTTGAACAAATTTCAATTTACCCGGAATGATGATTACCTAAAAGCCTTTCGAACTAATATTTGAAATAGCATAATACAAATCTGAATTCACTTACGATCTCATTCAAATTAAGTATACTCAAAATCTAACCAAGTAAACGTTTATTGAATTAGCTTGCTGTATCGGCATAGGATAAATCCCCGGTTTTGAAATGAGCCGCATTTCTGAGTATTGCTTTTTTTTTTGCACCCAAACGCCTATATAAATTCACGAAAGGATCCAAAAGAAATCCCAACAATAACCGACAAAATTTCTGTTTCGATAGATTGATCTCTACAAAAAAAGTGAATGTTTGTTTCTATGGAATATTGACGCCCCATGCTGAATATCAATAGCGTTTTCTTGGAAACATCTCTCTCGGTTTTTTGGATAATCTACAGGACTTGAGAGCCTTCCTAAAATATCAATGTAGGGTTTCTATCGCATGTACAATGGTTTGCGATCAACTATGTGTACTGCCTGCATTTCTCAGCTTACCATCTGCAGAATCTATGCCTTAAGGTATGCTGTGTTTCGTAGATCTATAAACACTGGAATTACGTTAGAAATGGTGACATAAATGGTGTGCGTGTAATAAGCTAAACAGAACACTAAAACCCAAAGCTATATACAACCTTCCACTCATACATATGAATATAGATATAATGACTTTTATAAGATACACTCTGATTCGTTCTTGGTTGATTTCTTTTCCTCTTAACTACAGCCAATGATTAAGCATGGCGCTACTACGTATAGTTCATCAAATATTGCTTAGCTATACAAGCACAGCCAACTGAATTTGAACACGTTCAATGTTGGGGAAATATTCATCATTCTAATCCCGGCCTTGAATCTTCATTAGCATTGCGCTGCTGCAGCAACAATTAATTAAGATTTATATTATGCTGTTTGTAAACAGAGGCGGATATTTCAGAGAAGATTGAAACTTTTGGGATAACATAAATTAAATCCATGAATTTGGTGAAACTGTCCCAGGGGGTGGGAGAAAGTTGGTCTACGACAAGAATGATTTGAACACACAAAGTGGCATTGAAAGTTCCATTGGATTTGCACAAGAAGGAAGTTCTTGTGTGGAACTCGTTTTCATAGTACCCAAATTCAATCAACGACACAAAGCATTCAAGCCTAAAGTGCCATTTCTATGCTGATTTTTATTAGGATAGAGGTTCGAGAGCCTTGCCGAAAACGACCAAGAGCATTGGCTAGCTGAATAGAATCCTTCATCGACGTTAATAGTCATTTTTGTTACCTATTCGACCTTCCATTTTGTCCACAAATACCTCAATTTCGACCACTTAAAATTTTGGCTTATTACTCCACCAATATTAATCATATCACCAATCTAATTACATGAACACATTGCTGCATCCATTAACTACAATCTAATACTATGTTGAGCTGTTGTAAGCTATCCATCGGACCTTAAACAGCGAAAAGCTTATATGCAGGATTGTCACATTGTGACGGGTGGAAATGGAGTGTTTCAATAACCGAAAGTTAAAATCATCATTGAAAACAGCTCAACATGCTATCTTGCCGAAAAGGGTAACTGAGTCTTGTTAGACCCCTCTTTTCACAAGATGAAGACATGTACATGGTATGATGGTAGTCAGCCACCTTGCACCTATGTCACTTCCTTAACCCCCCAGCCAATTCAAGGAAATATCACGTGTCATCAAGACAGACATCGGTATTTGCAATGATATTGACCAGGTATTACCAACACTTAGACGGGCATCAACAACTGATACCCATCTGAAGGGATTTGGCTTCGAAAGTGGCCCCCTTCCCAGCTTCAGGCTGGTGAATTTGATTGAAGGTAAATATACATACTATTGTCTTGTAGTTGATTGATATGTGAATGATTGTAGTAATTAAAGAGAGAAGAAGAAGAAGAAGAAGAGAAAGAAGAAAACACAAATAGTTTTTTTGTTTTCAGTGGGAATTTATAGGTTTTTTTTTGCTTGTCAAATTGCAACAAATTTTGCAATTGTTTTGAAAAATTGCACGACTGGAAATGTTGCACAAAAATACAACTTCCAATTAAGTTCTATCTCCACCTCCTCCGCTCGTTATATATATATATTTATATACTAAATCACCATTCTTTTCTGGCATTACAAAGTAGCCATCAGCTTCTTGAAAATCTACACTCAGGCAGTCACTCGGTTACATAAATCATTAACCTTCGTTTTGGTTGTAGGTCTGAACGAACGAAATATACCGTACATACTCTGACAAATTTGGAGAGCCCTTCCCTGGATGTAAGACAGCTTTTGAATAGCTAACCTCGCGTAAGTACGTAGTACATAATTTCATAGCATTAATGGAAGTACCAACACTGTTTATCTTATTTTTTTTTTGCAACCAATATTGGGACCATTAGAGTATGTTTCTCCATTCCTCTGGGAAGTAGCAAGTTCTCCACCTCTTGCAATGCTTTCAAGGAAAGGCTCAAGTCAGCTCATTACCCTGGATATTCAATTAAATATCCAATATCTAGTATGTCCAGTACACTACAATAAGACAAATCAAGATATCGTGGTTTTGATTATTTCTTAAGCACTCCTAGTTGTAGTTTATGACATGAAAGATCCAGCATCATAAGGGAATTAGGAAACATATCTTCTTTAAGTTCTCTACTTCTGTTAGTTTTCAATTTACTCGATCTCAAGTATTGCATTCTCTTGAAATTGAAATCCCTACTGGATTTGCATGTTTGTAAATACATGAAGGATCAAGTACTACGATTTCTTTGGAGCCACTCTAACTGGACACATTTGTTATTGTCAAGATAATTCAACAACGGAATTGGGTAATTCAAGCTGGCAAATACTATTGAAACAATTTAGCGACATATCGACAAACGATAGCTTGTGAGATAATATTTTTAATGAACTCTACTCATGGCATGCAAGATTCAACGATTTAATTTAAATGTAATGATATTTGTTTGGGAATAATCCCATTCGAGTCTCGTTGATATCTTTCATCATCAAAATTGATAATAAATCCCAAGACGTTTGTCCAATTGAGGCATCGAGTTCACTGTTTGTTTGAACAATGATGTCTTAGAGAATCTTTGTTTCGCAATGACAATATTTTTTACAACCAAATTTATATTATAGGTCCTTCATTATATTTGCAACAGCTAATTAATGTATACATAGAGAGGGATATAGAGGGGACAACATCATACAGGACTTCTTCTTCGTTTGTTATATACACCTCTAGCAGTCTCATAAAGGAAATTATATTGATATATTGTCTGCACCATCATCATTCTATGAGCTCGCAATTCATATACAGTCTGATAAATTGGATCATCATTATCACTTCCAGGTCCATCATCATCGTCATAATCTTTCTTTGACAATAAGTCTATAAACTTATTTGAATCTCTGAATAAATAATCAAATGCAATGAATGTACCTGATCGACCTACTCCCGCAGAACAATGAACAATTGGGATAGGTGGTGGATTGCTAGACATTTGTCTGATGTTTTCAATGTCTTCACTTATGTTATATAATGGTTCTATTGACGGTGGGACTTTTGCATCTGCCCATTTGAAATAATAGAAATGATATACTCGTTTCACGGTCTCGTTTGATGTTAGTTCCATTGTGGTTAAGATGTAATCACCATTGGAATCTAAGGTTTCATCGATATTCTTGATGGAAAGATTGGGGATGTCAATTCCATCTTTTATGTTTTGGTCATTGAAGTTCCATTCTTCATTTAATTCAGGCCAATATCTGTCGCATTTAACCATTGAGTTTTCAAAGTTCCCTCAATGGTAATGTTAGTGCTGTTGTAGCAACAAAACATCAACACTAAGGTTGAAACACATAGACCAGAAATGATTGGTTGTATTCGGTAATGGGCCCTGACATGCAATATATTGTATAGAATTATCATCAATCTGTTCCTCTATTTCCTTATCATCTACATGCAATCCTAATCGTACTCTTGACGCGTTTATATAATCTGAATGGATTTCGGTATCTTTAACAGGTAGTTTCACCCGTGTTTGGTCCCAAGGAAAGACATTCGAATATCGATTTCTATTTCTATTAATTCGTTTCATCGCTTCTGTAAGTGACCAATCAGAATCTTGGGGATTTTCTAATCCATCATGGATTCTATCTGCTTCTAATTCATTTAGTTCATTAAATTTTTCACGTTGAGTCATATTGTTGGATTGTTGTAGAAACATGGGTAATGATGGTTGTTTCTTAAATATACTACAAAATCTGGGAAGTGATAATACTGGGAAACTAAGCTGTGCTAACATAAGAACCCTTTGAATTTTAAAATGGAATTATTCGATTTTCTTTTTCTTTTTTTTTTGTATGGAGGACTTTGGTTTGCTGTGTGGCGCTGAATGGGCTGGGAATGAAATAAGGTTTATAAATAGTTATAAAGTCTGCCTTGTATTCGCAAATAATGATAATGATAAAAGAAAGGAAGAAATGTTAATCCCTAGCTTATTAATTTTTGACAAAGAGAAAAGAAGGAGGAGGTTTCCAATTGAGTGACGGGAATTATCAAATCCGTTTATATCTCGGATAAGCTTATTTTTAAATTTTAGTCAATAAGAAAAAAGAAAGAAAATAAGGAAACCATAAACAGAAGCTGTTCAGATCGATGTGGTTGGGAATTATTGTATTATAACCCTATGATTTTGTCAACCTACAATGAGCGCTCTGCATTCTTCTATCTACTTCCCCTTTTATGGCTCTTTAGTCCAAACATCTGACGAGAACTTGGCTATTCCGCTTCATCGGAAATTTTTAATTTTGTTCCTTTTTTTCCAGCCGTGCCGATCTAACCAAAATAGACATCACGTTTTTTTTCATTTCGGTCATTACACACTTAAATAGTATAAATAATAATCCTTAATTATGTAATTCTAGGATCATACACACATATGAATATTTTTTTGTAATATCTGTTTATTGTGTTGTCTACTTCAGAAATCTAAAACTCCTAGTAAAATCATATTCCCTTTATCTGATTCTTTTGTGTTGTGGTGTCAAATAGATTTTCGATAAATTTGCACCCAAAAAGATAAATTTGATTACGTAATCAATCGTATAAAGGAAAAAAGGTCGTGTAGAAATTCATTTTGCTAATTTAGGTTCTAAGAAAATATAGAAGGCAAATCACACGGAGACACAACTCACACACTTCTTAAACATCCGGTGATATGTGCGTATGTGTTCTTGTATTTGTTAGTAATGGAAAATTCCAGTAGTATAGTTTACAGTTTACTTAAAATCACACGACCATTTATATCAAACTTCATTTAATAGATTTCTAATCACTTTACTGGGTTTTTTTTAGTAAAATCACACTGCCCCCCTTCGAGAACATACTTCAGCAACCACATCGCACATAATTACAGTACACAATGAGTTATCCTGCACCAGCTATTTCAGTTAAATTAGTCTTGTTAGGAGAAGCCGCAGTAGGTAAATCTTCCTTAGTTTTAAGATTTGTTAGTAATGATTTTCAAGAAAATAAAGAACCAACAATTGGAGCAGCATTTCTTACTCAAAAATGTACAATTGGTGATAGAACCATAAAATATGAAATATGGGATACAGCAGGACAAGAAAGATTTGCATCCTTAGCTCCAATGTATTATCGTAATGCTCAAGCGGCTATTGTTGTCTATGATATAACTAAACCTGCATCTTTCATTAAAGCAAGACATTGGGTTAAAGAATTACATGAACAAGCTTCCAAGGATATAACAATTGCCCTTGTGGGTAATAAATATGATTTGATTCAAGATGATAATGAAGAAGAGAGTTTAAGAAAAGTGAGTATTGAAGAAGGACAAGGTTTGGCTGATGAAGAAGGATTATTATTTTTTGAAACAAGTGCAAAAACTTCCCATAATGTAAATGATGTTTTTCTTGCTATTGGGAATAAGATTCCTGATTCAACTGCTCAACAGAATCAAGATCAAGCTGGGAATGAAGGAAGAATTGATTTAAGTACTAATGCAAATACTAATTCAAATAAAGGAAGTGTTTGTCCTTGTTAGAATGAAATCAATATATTGAACGATACATATATATATCTGAGTAAATGTCTATACAAGAGAGTAGATGATTTACTTCCTGTTAATGTTATTTTCCTTTTTTTTTGGTTTCTAGTAGAAGTTGGTTTTACTTGGTATTAATATATATATGTCCATACGTAATAATTTGGGGACCCAAAGGCATGGCATGTTTTAATCCCCTTTGTGCTTAGTTCCTCTCGTAGTAAGTTGAAAGAACAAAGCTGAACATGCCACTAAGTCGGCCCGACCAGCTTAGTAACTCTAAAATGACCAATAAGCAATGGTTGTGGCTTTTGCTGTAGAAAGATCACAAAGATCATAATCGTTCCCACACGATAGATTTTTTTTTCAATCCCCTTAAACTACAAATATGATGTAATTTCTTATACGAGTCCTATTTTTTCATTTCTCTACTTATTCAGTACTCATAAAGACATTAACAATATGACTACAGTTCTTAAAGTTGCATATATCCCAGAGCACTTCTCCACCCCACTCTTCTTTGCCGAACAACAAGGTTATTATACCTCCCTCGGCTTATCCATCGAATTCATCAAAGTTATCGAAGGTAGTGGACGTTTAATCAATTTACTCAACCTGGGAGAAGTTGATATCGCCATTGGATTAACCGAAGCATTTGTTGCCGATATCGCCAAGGGAAACAAAAACATTAAATTAGTGGATACATACGTTAAATCACCCCTCTTATGGGCGATTAGTACTGGTGCTCACCGTGATGAATTCCATAATGAGGGACAATTGGAAGGACAAACTATTGGTGTGTCAAGAATTGGATCCGGTTCGTATATTATGTCATTTGTGTTGGGACATAGTTTGAAATTCGATGTTCCATTTGCTGATTTCCCCGTATTGTCTAATTTTAAAAATTTGAGAGATTCGGTAAATTTGAAATTTGGTCCTGTACTACTTAACTTCTTATCACTACGAAAATACACCCTTATAAAGTGATCATTCTTGTATTATGATAATGGTGAGATTAAACAAATTGGAGAAATTTTTACTCCTTGGTCATCTTGGGTTATTACTGCTAATGCTGATTCTTTGGCTCATAAAAAGGAGCATATTAAGAATTTCATTGATGCTGTTAATTCAGGAATTGATTATTTTAATGGACATATCAGTGAAGCGGTGGAATATATTTCTACAAATTTGGATTATTCTGCTGAAGATGCTAAAGAATGGACTACTACTGTTGAATTTAATAGTCAAATTGGACAGACCCCATTGGATTGGGAAAATATTGTAGAGAATACTAGCGAAATTTTAAGATTAGCTGGTGTTATTACTGATTCTGAAGATGTTGTTAAGAGACGATTAGAAGCTAATATTCTTAGTACTAATTTGTAGAGTTGTTCCCCCCTTGTATAGTCTTTACACACACTTAGATTAAATAAATGCAAAAGGATGTATGGGTCTTAAGTGTAACCTTACTCTTACATCCCAAAGATTTAATATCACGACAATAACTACTCTCAATCCCCGATTCACGCTTCTCAAATACAAATCCAAGGTTTTCTATCAATTCTATTAAATCATCTCTAGATAATTCAAGTCCCTTTCTAATAATTGGAACATTTCCTTCTCCCATAGTTACATTATGATCACCTTCAAAATGCCACAATAATGGACCAAAATTGATCCAGATCCCATCTTTCTTCAAACAATAACTAATTGCCTTAATATACTCAATAATATTACTAGCAGTGTCCAAAAAGAAGCTAGTGACAACTACATCAAAACTCTCCTTATTTGCCTCCCGTAATTCAACAACGGTCGGATCCACGGAATATGTCGGACTGGCTTGGAGATCAGGGGGGCCATATAGGTCAATAAACGACCCGGCTGTGATTGACATTAGATCCTCATATGGGATCCTGGGTTCCTGTTTCGAAAGATCATTGATTATGGAAGGCGCAATATCGGGAATATAAACCGGACGTAATTGAAACGGTCTTTTAACAACATGTGAAGATTTAAACAAAAACGGGAAAATGGAGAATATATTGGGGAATTGAGAATGGTTCAAGATATAATTCGATACTAATAACATATGGTAACTGATTTCATTCCGAACTCAGGTTTTTGGGGAAACTTGATTAAGGTTATTGTTAGAAGGATTAGGTGTTCCTGGATTCAAGATTTTTATATTTTGTCGTTGGAGTTTATCAGGATATATCGATTCCAATTCATCCAAGATCTTTCCATAACATACCTCACGTTCCTTCTGACCTTCATCACTCCATTCTCTCATGAGCTGTAATAACGTGGTCGCCACCACGTCATAATCTCGTTCAGTGGCAGGTTCCCAACTTTGCGGATCAGAGGGAACTGACCATGCATTGGCGACAGATATGGCTAATGTTTCTAAGAAATTGGTGTTGAGGATTATGCATTCTTTCAAATTTTCAATGTGTTTGGTATACCAGGGGACTAATTGAGCTTCTTGGGGTGTTAATGCTTGTTGTTTTAGGAGACGGGGTTTGATGATTTGTTCGGTTTGATATTTGTGGAAGTTGTAGAATGACAGTAGGGTTGATGTGAGTGCTTTGTATTCTTCAATGTCTTGACTCATTGTTTGAAAAAGTATATGGGAGGTTGGGAAGTAAGGGGCGGGACCCTTGGGGTTTGAAAGATTAATTTATCAATTCGGAATCTGAATTGAGATTCCCGTCAGTGTCGTAAAGTATGGTCATTTGTCTCAAGTGAAAGCGACATTGTCTCTGGGATCTACTTCTTCTTGGGAATCGCTCCCCCCAATATTGAGAACTACCTCTTCATTTGCATAGAAATGACTTATTGGGCTTTAAGGGCCTCCACTTACCTAACCTCTTCACTTTAGATGCGCTTGTCATCAAAAAACATAGAAAAAGTTGTGACACGCACCGCACCCTTCTTCATAGGGGGTCTTGTCCCACTTTACGTCAAGAAGATGAAAGGTTTTCTTACATGACTTCCAGAATTTTCAAGGGTAAGGAGTTTTCAAGTATATTTACTTCGCTCTGTTTACAACTTTACCTAAAATGGTTGTACCTTGTTACAAAATTCCCGATGCAACGTCGAAGACACAAGAAAGACAAGTTTGGCCCTTATCGGTTTAAGCAGCTGCCTCAATTCTAAAATCTACAAACACTCACCAAAACGTTCATTAAATTCCACCTATATATGCACAAATCCATCCACCAAAACTACAAAAAAATAGAGATATATAAAAGGAGAACAGATTTGCGAAGGGTAGCAAATAAGTTTTATTATAAAACCCCATTACATATCAACTCAGTTTCTTTATCCCCCTTACATTGAGAAGCCAATTTATCAGGATGGATAGAACTTATAACCCTCATATATTGAATCTTAACTTGTTTTGGTAACATTAAGTCATTTAAGGTTAATTTACGTAATGATTCCTTCATGTTGATTTTGGGCGGGATTATTTCATCGAGGTTGGTTAACATTGCTCGAAGGTTGTTCTGCTTGATTTGGGCCCATTGTTGGACATGATTGTCGATTTTGTCTTTGACTAGAATGTCCACCTCTTCTTCAGCGGGTTGTTTGGGGATTGGTGTTGATGCTCGTGGGGTTGGGGTGGAAGAAGAAGAAGGTTTGGGCGTTGGTTTGGTAGGTTTATGACTGGTGGGATTCACAATCTTATCAACTCTTCTCTTCCCATCCATGATTTTTTTATCATTACAACCTAATTTTTTAATCAAGATTTGATAATTATCTAAAGATGCTTCAAATCTTTCCAATAATTCCAACACTTCGGCCTTGGTCATGATTAATTTGGTATACCAATATTTCACCGATTTTTCGGCAATCATAAACCCCGGGTTTGAAATCTCGGATTCTTCAATCAAATTTAATCCTTCTTCTATAGATTCCAAACTCTCTTTAAGATGACCCAGAAGTTTATAAACCAGGGCTAGATTAGATAGGATAATGACTCTAAATTGTACTAACCCCCGATTAAAGGGATTTGTCTATAATATTAATAGATTACGCCATCAGTAATCCCCACTCTTATATGCTTCGGTGGCTTTTTCTTTGGCAATATTATAATCAGTTTCATCAAATTGGTTCAAACGAGATGAATCACGTAATTTTGACTGTTGCTTTGTTTGAACAGTGGAAGTCGTAGTGTCAGAAAGACCCAAAAGATCAATTTCTGGTGTTGGTGATGAAAGTTGGATGCTGACTGTGGGTTTTGATAATGTCGATGATTCTTGGGAACTTTCACGACTGGATATTGGTTGTTTCCCGGATACTTGGTCCGCTGGCGGAGTGTCTACCCTTGGTTTACGAGTGCGCAAGGCAGGGTCTGATTTCTCATGCTGTGGTCGAACCCCGGTTCGAGGAGTTGGGATGACCGGCTGTTGAGGTCTTGGAGGATGGGTAGGTGGGGTTGTCTCACGGGAAGAGTCACCATTTTCAAATCTTGTCCGGGAACGTTCTTTTGATTTTTCTTTCTGAAGTCTCATAAATCGTTCAATTTCTTCTTGATTTATGTTTTCTTCATCTGTTCCATAATCTTCACCTCCATATTTCTTTTCAATTGCTTCGGATTTATATTTCTCTTGATTTTTCATCCATTGAGGAACATTCCTATCAGTATTACTACTTGAACCAGCTACTCCATGCAATGTTTCAAAATTCTTCAAGACTGTTCGTTTGGAGATATTGATTAATTTATTAGCACGTTTGAATAAATCATTTGAAATGTCATTGAATTTAATACCTTCAGGTCTATTTCCTAACACTATGTTATCGTCAAATTCCTTTGGTGAGTTACTCTGTGATCGATTTGGTGCTGGGGTCGATCTCCCGGAACTTTTGGCCATGATATAATTTACACATTGTTGCAAGTCCAATCCTACATTATCAATAGCCTCATTAGCTAATTCGATGGGGAACCCAATATCTATTAATTCGGCAATAATGCCATCACGATTAGATGTGGCTTCGTTCTTCGCCCTTCTGACAGTAGAACTTGTGGATGCTGGTCTTTCAATTGGAGGAGAAGGACGTGGAGTCAGGGCAGTACTAGAATTCAATGGTTTTGATTGGGAAGGATTGGTGGATGCAGGGCGTTTTGCAATTGAAGGTGCCGGTGGTGATTGAAAAAAAGCATCAGTGAATTCGTCATCAAGTAAGGAGATCTCCCCATTTGTTTTGGTAGTGGAATTTCCATTGACATGAGGGGCAGTTGTTTGAGGTTTAAGGGACGGTGCACTTGAGGTTTGGTTGTTATAAAAGATCGCAAACGGATCATCACCTCCATTAGCTGCTTTTTGCGGCGTGGCGAGGGAATGCATGGAAGAATTATTGGACGTAGGGATGATTGGTGTCTGTAATGACATTGATTTTTGAGGTTGTTGAGGTTGTTGTAATGGAGTAGGAGTATTCGTTCTACTTGAATATGCTGATAAGGATGCTAAGTTAGAATAACTTGAATGTACTGAACTAGTGGAGTTGTTCATCAGTTGTTGTTGCTGCATTCTTTGCCTTTCGCTAAGTGACATAGATTTCATTTGTGAGCTCATAAAATTGTCATTAGTTGCGGTTCCACTCCCCTTTGTTGCTGACTGGAATAATCCAGCAAATGCATCTTCACTCTTCTTTGGAGGAGCCATTTATCTTTAAAGCAAGTTGACTTTTGCTGGGTGTGTAACTGAAAAGAAAAAGTTGAGTTGGCCGTAAATCAGAAACGTTAAAGAGTTTTGGTGATCTTTTTTTTTCTGGTGCTCAACTGAACGGCTACACAGTCATTAAATTACTTAGAAAACACATTACCACAGAGAAAGAAGATCGTGCCCTGGGCAGATAAGTGAAGAATGTTTGTGTGTTTATATAAATCTGTATGTTTAATACTTAACACACAATGAAATGTGTTCCTATAATATACTCTATAAAAAGGTATGTTCTAAAGATGTAGCAGTAATTTTCTCATGTTTTGCCAAGGTGACAGTACCAGTAAGAACTATCCGACAGCACTAGTTACACGAGTGTATAACTGTAGGTACATGCTTCAAACAGACCCCTTCCCTTACCTTTAATCTTCCCCTTCTTCTCAATTATTAAATGATTCCTCTTCAATCTCAAAAACATGATCCTTCTTCCCATCAAATTCATCCATACATTCAATTATAGTCTTTATATTATCTATAACATTACTAATAGCAACTCTAATCACTCTATCACTTATTCCAGAAAACTTACACTCTAATATATTGTCATTATTTGAATATTGAACTTTTAATTCATCTTCTTTTAGAATTGGATCAGGGGATAATGCATTTCTCGCTATGATTGCTTGTGCTTGTGTTTCGAAGGGGACTTTTAGGAGGAGGGTGTATGGTAATGATTCTGACATTCTTGATTTGCTTTCTATATACTACTGAATTAATGTAATTGTTTATAAGAATGGGGATGCTACCTCTCAGAAGGATAAGACAGTGGACTGAAAAAATAGGTCGTGTGTCATTGCACAAAAGTATCTCTCATTTAATATTGGAGTGAAAAAAAAATTATACGCTACGGTAGAGTTTTGACTTAGGAAGAAAGTATGAGGTATAAACTAATAATCTGACTATATATCCACAATGCATTTAATGTACACTTTAGACCCCGAAGGTAAAAGAATCTACACCTTAAAGAAACTCACTGAAGAAGGTGAAATTACGAAATCTGCTCATCCTGCTAGATTTTCACCTGATGATAAATATTCAAGACAAAGAGTTACTTTAAAGAAGAGATTTGGTTTATTACCAACCCAACAATAGATATATAAGTGTGATGATTGTTGATTTTGGATGCTTTGAAAGAATGGTACTTTTTAGAATGAGTTAAGAGGTTCATATAGGTTTAAGTAAAACTACTGTACAATATATTTTTATTTCCTAATATACAAAAATTAAAGAAGAATAAGACGTGGGCCAAGACTAGGCCAGACATAGTAAGTTGTAACGACTACATACCGTTCGGTAATTTCCCAATGCATGGTTCTCGTTTATCTTTTTTGGGGCCGGGTCATAACTTCTAGGATCTTCCAGTCTACGGACTAGCCGTACACTCTACATCCCTCATCTCCTGAATCTATATCTCCCACGAGAAACTTCTAAGCTTATTCCTCTTCCTCTTCCTCCTCACCTTCCTCCTCTGCCCTCGTCGGTCTCAATAACGGTTTATCATGATGATTTCCAGTAGCTTCGAGATTATATTCCACATTTCTCATATAATTCCCCCACATATGTGCCAATGACTCCGTTTGTAATGTATTTCTATTTGTTTCTTGTAATAATGTGTTGACTGTTACCATTGATTCATTAAGGTTTTCCTGGGAATCAGAGTTAGTATTATGAGAGGGTGATTCTTTGAAGACCGGGTTATGAGATACATACCATGTTTTTGATTATTCTTGAGAGTAATGCATTCTGTGCTTGTTGGTGAGGATTCTCCATTTTGGTTGGTTGCCTGTCTAGCCTCCCGGTGTGAATACAGAAAGTTAATGTGTAGTTACCGTGTTTTGATATTTGTTTGGCCGAGAGAATGATTATGGTGCGACATTCATACGACATTTTAATAATGTCGTGGCCAGTTGAACAGAAAAAGCCGTCCAATCTTCAGGTGAGTTCGGAGTTGAATCCAAGTCTTCCTTCTTCTGGATAGGATAATTGATAGAAGTAACTACAAATGGATTATATTCAAATAGCATTAATATCAATCCTACTTGGATTTGGTATAATTCTTGTAATATTCTTTTTCCAATCAGGAGGAATCAAAACTATCAAACCATCAAGCAGATCACCATATTATAAACCAACATTCTTAATTCTTGGTAGTAATAATTCAGGTAAAACCAGTTTTTATTTTAAGTTATTAAGTCATAACGATGGTAATACCACCAAAGAGAACATAAGCACAGTTTCATCGATTGAACCAAATATTTCTGAAGTTTCATTACCAATTGCCAATCCACAAATTGGTAAGAAATTCCAATTAATTGATTATCCAGGACATTTGAAATATCAACAATTATTTGAAAAATTATTACTTGAAGATATTACAATTCAAAATATTAAAGGGATCGTATATATGATTGATTCATCTCTGGTTAATTTCAATGATCAAGATCTGGTTGAATTAATTGTTAAATTCTTATATCATTTAATTGCAATTACTGAAAAGAAACATAATGGGATTGATTTCTTATTTGCAATAAATAAAATCGATTTATTTGATTCTTTACCAATTCATAAAATTAAATCAATTTTAGAGACAGAAATTGATAAATTGATTCATCATGAAATTTCAAATGTCGATAAAACAAGTGGGATTGATAAAGCTGGTGGTATTGAAGATGATGAGAATGACGATCATGAACGTGATGTTGATGGTAATTTACGTGAGTTCTGGTTGAGTGTCATTGGATCACCTTCAGGGAAATTTACATTTGATAAATTGGAAGGAAATATGGATTTCTTTGGTGGAAGTGTTTTGAAGGGGAAGATTGAACCATGGGAAAATTGGTTAGATGAAAAGGTTGTAAATCCATAAACTACTTCCAATTATCTATAAGTTAGGGGTTCATATTTGTATTTATGAGATTTGCAATTATTATGAGAGAGTGATTCGCATTGACTTCAAAGTCTTTCGGGACTTCAGAGAGTGGAGGAATCAAAATTACTTCAAATAGACTCTTCTATGTAAATAAACAAACAAACGTATGGGATGCACCTCTCGCATTTAAATGGACTGTTTCTTCTCAGGAAATAGGTTCTAGACTGTAGTCACTTGTAAGTGGGGGAATATTCCTCGAACATTTCACAGAATCTCCGCTTCATTATTATCTAAAGATGATATATTCTGGAGTTGTGGCTCTCTTCCCCCCTCCCCCCTGAAAAGTTGCAGCCACGAACGAAGGGTCATGTTGAAGTGAAGGTGAGTAACGATGAAAGAGCGAAGTCGGCCATATAAGGATAATACTGCAAGAAAGATAGATATATCCTATTGTTGTTTATTGACCGGCCACTCGGTTTGTGAGATTATTACATTTGATTTACCTGCCCTGCTCTGTGGATATGTAGCAGACAACCATTTTGTCCGCCTTTGCAAAAATAATGACAAGTAATTTAATTTAATTATTAATCGATTATATTTGAATCTCATAGAGTTTTATGCGCTTACAATGCTTAAACGATGTTTCGCAATATGCACCACTTAAAATTTTTTAAATCTTTGCACAGCCGTTCACGTACTAATAACAACGATTTAAGGCATGAGCTACATAACCGTTTTGTTTGTCTATTTCCTTTAGTTGCTCTAAGTGTATTGTCAAGTGCATATCCATTGGACAATAATGGCTAGTCTAAATGACTATATTCGTAATTGGGATATAGCAATGTTGGAGATTTAGTTTCATGATCCACCCCCTTGTTTTTTTATAAAATGAATTTTATGAAACAAATTCGAAAGACAATTTATAATTATGCACTTAGAGATCCAAAAATTGCGATGTTTTGTTTTGTGTTCTCATACTAAATTTAATAAAAGGACTAAGGAATTCAAAAAAATCCCTTTAAGCGCATAAAAACGTTTTACGAATAATTCTAAAAAATATTCATTTATTTTTCCCCGAAGATATGAAGAGAGAGTCAGATATGAGATGTCATAAACAATAAGCTAATAAACATAATAAATATGAAAATTTTTCACGGCAGATACTTCTCCTCTCCTTTTAGAAAATGAATATAAAAGGAGTTGGAATTTGTATAAACTTTCATTCCTATCCATAAATTTGAACTATTCCAAACAAAACATTCAAACCTAATATGAGTGAACTGGGTGAAAAAGCTATTTCTGATCATGAATCATATGATTCGACTCTTATGGATGACTATGACAACGCCCTTAAATTCATCAACCAACATCAAAACCAACAACTCACAAACATTGATCCTGCTAAAGTTACCAGAAAATTAGATTTAGTAATCTTACCATTATTATGTTGTATTTATTTCTTACAATTCCTCGACAAGACATTATTAAATTATGCTGCTGCTATGGGGATCAAAGCCAATTTAGTCGGTAATCAATTCGCCAACCTTTCAACCATCTTTTATGCCTCATATATCTTTGGTGAACCAATAATTGCCTATTGTTTACAAAAATTCCCCCTTTCGAAAGCATTAGGGACATTTATCATCTTATGGGGGATAGTTGTTGCTTGTCATTCCGCCTGTACCACATATGCTTCATTAATGGTTGTCCGTACCTTATTGGGGATCTTTGAATCTTCCTCCGCTGTGGGGTTGATTATTATTAGTGGGATGTATTATACAAAACCTCAACAAGCTGCCAGAATGGGGATTTGGTCGGTTATGGCTGGTGCAGCTACGATTGTTGGTGGGTTGTTATCATTTGGGTTCCAACATGTTACTACTGTTAGATTCAAATCATGGCAAATTTTATTCCTTGTTATAGGGATAATTACCGTCGTGTTTGGAGTGGTTGTATTGTTCGTATTGCCAGATAATGTCCATACCGCATGGTTTTTGAATGAAGAAGAGAAATTACAAGTTTTGGAAGTTGTACGTGAAAATCAAACCGGTACCAAGACTTCCAAATTCAAAAAAGAACAAATTAAAGAATTATTATTCAAAGATAAATTCACTTGGGTATATTTCTTATTAACAATTTGTTCCCAGATCGTAACGGGTGCAATTGGAACTTTTAGTGTTACAATCACATTATCATTCGGATTTGATAATTATCAATCGGCTTTATTACAATTACCCGTCGGTGCCCTCATCATTATCATCATCCTTACCGTCACCCAATTAGTCTCTCATTATGGTCATATCGCCTACATCGCCACTTCCATGTTTATCCCCACCATCATAGGTGCAATCGTTTTGTTGTGTAACCCAAATAGAGTTGGGAACTTAATGGCTATGTATTTGTTATATAGTGGATCCTCAGTCATTACATTAATCTATGCTTGGATTAGTGCAAATACTGCCGGAACTTCAAAGAAGTTCTTTAGGAGTGCAATGACAATGATTGGGTTTTCAATTGCATGTATTATTGGTCCACAATTGTTTCAAGCCTATAGTGCCCCTGGATATCATCCTGCTAAGATTGTTATATTGGTGACACAATGTGTTTGTGTGCCTTTGACTTTGGGATTAGGGTGGATGTTAAAGAAGGAGAATGACAAAAGAGATGGGGAGGAGAAGAAGGGTGAATTACCGGAAAATTATGAATTTTTGGATATGACTGATATTCAAAATAGAAATTTCAGATATACTCATTAATTTAAATGAGAAACGGTTCTTGTGTATATAATATATAAATCTTAATTTAATTAGTTAATTTGTAATCCATATAATTCTTAATTTATTGTGTACAAGTAACCTATGGGAGAGATAATGACTTATATTTGTTACTAACCTGCGTCCATTTCTAGCGATTAATCAACTGCCAATCACAAAAGTCATCTTCCCTGATGTATAATCATATTGCTTCCAGAAAATGAATTTACCATACCACTAGAGGCATAAGTAGGTCTCAGCATTGCTTGCCGAGTGAAGGGCTGTTCCATTCCACCATTGTTTGGATTACTTTTCTGATTCAAAATAGAAACTGGCTGCAAAAAAAGAATTAAACTAAAAAAACTCAAGAACACAGCCGGTTGACATGTTTATAAGCTAACTTGTATCTGCCGATGAAGAAGGACTCATATATATATATATATATCCCTGCAAGCTTCGTTTCAATTTGGTATTCATAATCTCACCTTGATTTATCCGTCAAATTAATTCTCACCAATTTGTAAGTTGTTTTTGATGGGAATTTTATTGGGTGATTTCTCGCATTCTTTCAGTAATACCTCGTAGGATTCAGTACATGCTCATCTTCTAGAAATAACTACAGATGATAATAACTACAATACAACCCATCATACATGAAAACAATATCCATTTTTCTAGATTGTTTAAAAGAGATCAATAATAAAACTTCCATGAAATTATGTAAAGATACTAAAAAAAACTACTATACACATCAGAAAAACTAAACCCATTTTTTTCTGTTTGCTGTCAAAAAAACTCAATTTTTTATTAAACAACTCAATCACATGACCCATACAAATTTTATTCATTTAATCATCATGTATCTTTATTGATCAATATTTCCTTAATCTAAACTATTCTAAAAAAATCAATCCTTTGGAACTTGTGTAAGTTATGTGCAACAGCCTAAATAATTCATTCATACATACGTTGATGTTGCAGCATCACGCTTGATATCGCCTTGTCCCTATTTTCTTTTTTTTTTTTTCTTGAGTTAACTTTGTGTCATCATCCATCGGTTGGGTAAGGCTATAGTTGCCCACTTTATTACTAATCATTATTATTGTTATTCAATAAACGTAAAATAAATAAAAATAAATTAATAATATCCAAATATAATTGAATTGTACTAATGACCTCATCGTCTAAATGTGCAGTCTTCATAATCTTTTGAGTATCAATCACAATATATACACAAAAGACAGCAGCACCAATTAAACAATAAACATTCTCCATCATAGTAGATCTCCCTGGGAAAAACATCATAATTAATCCCCAAGCAATTAATCCCCAAAGCATCATACCACAAGCACCTTGCCAACTAATAAAATCATATTTTGTTTGAAAGGCAAATATCGTCAATCCAATAAATATAACCAATGTTAATAACAAAGCTTGAACCACAATTTCTCCTTCTACGAACGCACAACTAACCCCAATTCCATATGCTTCAAATATAGTAAACCCCCCTAATAATATCAAATTCGTAGGATATGATCTAGCTTTAATAAATGCCCCAATCATACATCCAATCGCTCCCAACATTGACACAAACAATAACCAAACATTCAGTAATGCCCATAATTTAATAGAATCAGATGATCGAATAATGAATCCAACGATAACGGTGGCCATTAATTGGATGGTTAATAACAGATATACTTTTCGGATGAATAATTGACGAATTGGTAATTCACATGAAGCAACATCGACGGAATATTTGAAATCATCGGGGATGTTGTCTCCGTATTGTCGGGGTTGACTGCCTTCTTCAGTGGTAGGTGTTCCTGTGGGTGGATATGCGGGAGGTTCGGTTGGTAATTGACTATATGACATTTCTTGCTTATCTTATTGATAATTGATTGATTGATATGGAAGTTGTAAAAGCTATTTGTATTTAAGAAAAAAAAAAATATAAAGGGGCAATGTTGTAGGTAGTGATCATTTGTATTATGGGGTGACCCCTACTTCGTTACTATGTGCGAATTTTACGGTTTTTTCGGGTCTGGTACACGACTTTTTGGCCTTTTTTCTAGAAAAGTCCTTTTAACAACTGGTAGCGACCAACTTTGAGATTGAAAAGGTGGATGGAGGTCTGTTAAATGTGTCAGGGCTTGTTAATAATGTGATGTAATCTGGAATAATATTTAACACGAACAAATCGTCCCCCCCTTTCATAGCCCACTTCGTTGGTTTTAAGTGTTGATAACCACTCCGGAACCATCCAAGGGAGGATTTTGTCTTAGTTTTTTGCAGCCAAAAAAGGATGTGAATCCCTAATTGGCAAACTAAACATTAACCAAGAAAGATTAGAGCCCGTAGGAATCTATCCAAAAATCAAATAGGGCAGTTAGACCTGATTCTTCTTATATGACATCTGGACTATGTGAATTATATTTTATTTTATGGATGGTTCACGTTACCCAAGGCGCAGGAAAGTTGTTTTTTTATTATTAATTGATAGCAGTACTTTGTAGTTATATCCTGTTGTCGGTCAATGATTAAGGGGCATTCTTAAAACCACTGGTTTTATAATGTCTTATGAATACAAATGACTATAAAGCTTCAAAGAAAAAGTGATGTCCTGCGAAAATGGCCGTAATTCAGAAGTCGAATATCTTAGTATGTGTAGTTTAGGATAAGCTTGCTGTATGTCAGTCATGTGTGACCTAAAAGTGTTGGAAAACTAACTTGTATTCATTCCGTTGAATCCTTTCTTATCTTGCCCTGACTATCTAATACGTACCACTTATTCTATTATCCGCGCTATTTCCTCGGTATGCTCCATTAAAATGGGGAATTCGTAGCGAAATCTAGTCAATTTCATGACCTCAACTGTTCCTCTAAAAACATTTGGATAGATCGGAAGTGTACTAAAAAGCAATTATTATGCATTTGACATTTCAGCCTTCGGGAGGTGCACGGCACGGCTTATTATGGCTTTTTAATTTATGGCTCGTTTAATATTTTTGTGATAGGATAAGATGGGAGATGGTGGCTGGGTAGGTCTGTGATGCTTTCACTTAATGCATGGGTGGTTTGCTATGACGCTTTCCGTCCATAGCGTTGTTTGTTGATATCTGCTTCGATTATTAGTAACTCTCCGTTGTTTCCGTATGTTATTTTTTCTATTTTAAAATTTACAAAATTTTATGACAAATTATTACCAATGGATTAGTAAAGAAAAACAGATTAATCAAGAGACTGATTGTGCCACTTTACCATTAGATACTCATACAAACACTTACCATTACAGAATTTCTGTAATTCAATTAAATCTCTTGAAATCTAGTTAATTTTTAATTTTTTGGTATTTTGCAACCAACCTCCTTCACGTGACTAGATTCCTGCATATTACTGAACTCGCACACAAAACAAATCACAGGGTTACAGAGTTAAACCCCCAGAGAAATACCAAGAAAAAAAAGAAGACAAACTAAATAAACTTCTCGTACTTAAACGAATTGTCAAATGAGAAAAAAGCCATCTTTATTCTTGGCAAATGGTTAGCTTAACGAAAAGCATCGTTGTTTTCAATATTTTAGATCTAAAAAAGATATTTTGCAGCCGTTTAGATATGGGTTCCCTTACATGTCATGTTCGTATATCTAGTGTATAGACTGCTGTTGATTCAAGTGGATATAGTCTTTTATCGCGATTATCTCTCGGGTAATTAACAATACCCGCGCGAGATTTTTTTTACATAATGTAAATTTTCGACTCGGGGCTATTTCCGAAAATGCCGTTTGTGCGTTTTCGATTGTGCAAGATAATGTCTACGCCACAGATGTTAGCTGGGGAAAGGAAATAGGGCTGAGTACTTAGCCAAAGAAGAATGTGTCAAAAAATTGATTAATTATACAATCCAATAAAAAGTTCATCGAGTTAGTTCGAAGAGGTACAAATACAAAAGCCATGTGTTCAATTACCCCATGGAATACAATACAATCAATACCGGGAACGTATTCACAACTTTCCCGGTATTGTATATTGTGGGCTATCTAGCTAAGCCTTGGGAAAGCTCTGAATAGGGCATATTGTTGTGGGCTGGTTACAGTTCATTGTCAAGGAATTACGATAACTATTAGCTGGTTTTTGAGATTACTAAAATTAAACCAACAAGCAAAACAAGTCAATGGCTTGAATTTTATTTATAGAAAACTAACAATGAAAATCTCGAATCGCGTTATCATAGTTTCATTTTTTTTTAGATTTACAGGGAAAAAGGCTATGACATAACTTTTGTTGAGAAAAGAAATTTCCACCTCCACCTCCTCTTCTCTCTTTTTTTTAAAAAAAAAAAAAAAATCCCTCAAAATTCATTGTCATTCTCCAATACCCACGCCCCCTCCCTAACTCTCATCCCCTTTTCTATAAATCATTACGGAGTAAAGATCAGTTAAGTAATGGGAAAGAACTCTTTTCAAAATGGGGTTACATGTTGGTTGGTAGACCCTTTACCCCAAATTTCGTTTACTTTTGAATTGAATGGGTTAAGAAAAATTTATATTTAAAACAACGAAAAAAAGCCAGTGCCAAGAAATCATTTCAAGGCTTGATAGAGATTTTTAAAACTACTAAATAAAAAAAATATTCGTTTTTTTTTTTTTTTTGCATTATTTTTTTGGTAATTTAATTTTTTTTTTACGTGCATGTACAACGTAATATTTTCCCGACTGGAATTTCAAACATTGTGAAGCAACTGTGCAAAATTACTTAAATTAAATTAATAGATTGTGGTAAAAAAGAGGAGTACATTTAAAAATTAAAATTTTATTATCAATTTATCAATTTATCAATATTGTCTGTGAGACAAATCTGGACCAATAATTGTCAGCAAATAAAGAACAATCAAATAAAAATTCCATGAAAATTGAAATAATTAAAAAAATAATTTAATTGATTATGTAGCAAACTGAAAGAGGGGGGACCGGAACGATAAAATATTATCAGGGCCCGATACTTGATTAGGTAATCAAAAGAAGTTTTGTGTTATTCGAGTAATTAACTTATGCCCCCGTATCTCCCATTGCAATTTAGGTTCATCGGGAATATGTGTCAAATATGTAAACTAGTCTAAAAATGATGTCCTTAAAAGTTAGAATATGTATCTTGAGGCGATGGCAGTGCATTGGAGAAAAGTTACAGTAGTGTCGGTTTATTATTTCACATCGGTAATAATTATTTATGAGCTGACCTTTTTTTTTTGTTTGATCTTCAAAGTAGGAGTTTTTAATATTTTTTAATGGCTTGAACAAAAAAATAATATATTTTTTAATCTGTAAATATTTTTAATTGTTTTTTTTTTTACTCAATTGACAGATTTTTATTTTTATTTTTAATCCCTGTGTCTGTTTTGTCTGTCCCTCTTCTGAAAGAAAGAATATAAAATAGAAATTGAATCTTCGTTTAAAAATTTTTAATTTTAAATTTCTTGGCTCTTTTTCTTTGTATCTTTTCTTCTCATCTTATCTATCAGTCTTATAGTTAACCCCATAACTAACTGTCTGTCTGTTTTGTCTGATATTCATTAATTCTATTTTTTTATTACTTTATATGGGATCAGACATTTATTATTCTAAAGCAATCAATCGTATATAAGAAACAAACAAATAGACATCCATTCCAAATGTTGACTATGTTCAATTATAATCCTCATTACAACGCCAATGCCAACCTTGGTAGTCTGTCACAAGATCCAAAGCAGACACAACAAAGCTTATTACAACAACAACAACAAGGTCAACAACAACAACAGCAACCGGCATTTGGTCAACTCCCTTCACAATACGTCATGAATGCCCCACCTTACCCAAGGCAACCACAACCGCCATTACAACCTCAAATGAGACATGACCAAGATCAATTCATGCAACAACAACAACAGCCACAACAACAGCAAGGACAACCACTCCCATCAATCTTCTTAAACATGCCTCAAAAGGATGTTAATAAACCTCAATTATTACCTTATACCCCAAGTACTGCTCCACAACCATTAGCAAAACAAATGGCACCTTCCCAATATTCATTTGAATACCCACCAAATCAATACAATGCATATCAGCAAGCTCCATTACCACAACCCCCAGCTATGGCACAACAACAACAACAACAACTACCTCCACAACAGTATCCCCCTCCGCAAAACCCATACCAAGCCTATTATCAATATAATGGGAACTATCCACCATTACCATCCACCGCCAATCAACAACAACAACCACGGTATCCTATGAGTCCCTTAGGTGTACATTCCGAACATTCAATTTCTTCATCATCACCATCCATTCATCCAGCTTCAAATACCCCTGCTCCAAATATTGATTATTCTTCAATTGTATCCCTAACCAATTCAAGATCAATAAGGCGGAAGAGAAGAAAGAAGCTGGCAACTGATCTGTCCAATATCGACCCCACTGAATCATATCCCTGTGAAGTTTGTCATAAAGTATTCCAAAAACCATATAACTTGAAATCTCATATGAAGACTCATTCAACTGATAAACCATATCAATGCAGTCATTGCCCCAAGAGTTTTGCTAGATCTCATGACAAAAAGAGACATGAGATGTTGCATAATGGAGTTAAGAATTTTAAATGTGAAGGATTCTTACAGGATGGTGTGACGAAATGGGGATGTGGGAAGAAGTTTGCTAGGAGTGATGCGTTGAGTAGACATTTTAGGACTGAGACTGGGTGGCTTTGTATTAGACCTTTGATGGAGGAGGCCAAGAGATTGGAAGAGGCTGGTGTTCCTTCTTCGATTAGTGTACCTGCTGCTGTTGGATTGATGAATGATCCTAGTGTTGGTAGTGGTAATGGAAGTGGTAGTAATGTGAAGGAAAGAGAGGATGCGGGTGATGAGAGTTATGATAATTCTTCATTAATTAGGAAATTGATTCAAGGGAAGTAAGCAGTAGTTGTAATTGGAGAAGAGAAATTTTATTCGATTTTTTAGTCATTCCTTAGAAAAGTATTTATGTATGTGTATGTTATTATTTAATATAAGAGATTTTTAATTTAGACCGTTTGTTCTTAATACGTAAAGGGTATTTGATGAGCTACATGGTACATCGAACAATACCTATAAGATAGGTCATAACCATATCGGTATTGTGGCATGTAATTCCCGGAATGATGGAATAAAACGTTTTTAGAGAAGAAAGATCAATGGTGAAATTCTACATCCACCAAACACAAGTCTCAACTTAGAATGAACGTCAGTGTTTAATCAAAACCGGTATTTTAATTGCATCCATTAAAACATTCAGGTTTTTTGCAGCCATTTTTATTATGTAATGTACAGTGTAATTAAATAAAAAAGGTTATTAATTTATGTCTTGGCATTTTAGAATTAACCCGGGATAATCAGGGGAGAAAGTATAGAGAGAAATTTTATTCCATACATTTTCCGGTGGTCACGTGATTTATAGAATTTTCTGGAAATTTTTTTTTTCTTTTTCAATTGTTGGAATTTTTTTTCGGATCCGTGGAGAATCATATAAAATTTTCACCATCTCTCCCACACTCTCACAATCTCCTTCTGGGTCTAGTCAATTCACAACACACACACAATTTAGACACAATGTTGAGAACCAGTCATCCATCTATTAGAAGAGCTACTACTTCTTTCGTTCGTAATTTATCCCACAAAGAATTAAAATTCGGAGTTGAAGGTAGAGCTGCCTTATTAAAAGGTGTTAATACTTTAGCTGATGCTGTTTCAGTCACTTTAGGTCCAAAAGGTCGTAATGTTTTAATTGAACAACCATTTGGTGCTCCAAAGATTACTAAAGATGGTGTTACTGTTGCTAGAGCCATTACTTTAGAAGATAAATTTGAAGATTTAGGAGCTAAATTATTACAAGAAGTTGCTTCCAAAACTAATGAAAGTGCTGGTGATGGTACTACTTCTGCTACTGTTTTAGGTAGATCTATTTTCACTGAATCGGTTAAGAACGTTGCTGCTGGTTGTAACCCAATGGATTTAAGAAGAGGTTCTCAAGCTGCTGTTGAAGCTGTTATTGAATTCTTACAAAAGAATAAGAAAGAAATTACTACTTCTGAAGAAATTGCTCAAGTTGCTACTATTTCTGCTAATGGTGATGTTCATATCGGTAGATTATTAGCTTCTGCTATGGAAAAAGTTGGTAAGGAAGGTGTTATCACTGTTAAGGAAGGTAAGACTTTAGAAGATGAATTGGAAGTTACTGAAGGTATGAAATTTGATCGTGGTTTCATTTCTCCTTATTTTATTACTAATACCAAAACTGGTAAAGTTGAATTTGAAAATCCATTAGTTTTATTATCTGAAAAGAAAATCTCTTCAATTCAAGATATTTTACCTTCTTTAGAATTATCTAATCAAACTAGAAGACCATTATTAATTCTTGCTGAAGATATTGATGGTGAAGCTTTAGCTGCTTGTATCTTAAATAAATTAAGAGGTCAAGTCCAAGTTTGTGCTGTTAAGGCTCCAGGTTTCGGTGACAACAGAAAGAACACTTTAGGTGATATTGCCATCTTAACCGGTGGTACTGTCTTCACTGAAGAATTAGATCTTAAACCAAGTGACGCTACTATTGATTTATTAGGTTCTGCTGGATCTATTTCCATCACCAAAGAAGACACTGTTGTGTTAAATGGTGAAGGTTCCAAGGAAAACCTTGCTGCCAGATGTGAACAAATCAGAGCCACTATTGATGATGTTGCCACTACTGAATATGAAAAGGAAAAATTACAAGAAAGATTAGCTAAATTATCCGGTGGTGTTGCTGTTGTTAAGGTTGGTGGATCTTCCGAAGTTGAAGTTGGTGAAAAGAAGGATCGTTATGAAGATGCTCTTAATGCCACCAGAGCCGCTGTTCAAGAAGGTATTTTACCAGGTGGTGGTACTGCTTTAATCAAAGCCACTAGAATCTTGGATGAAGTTAAAGATAAAGCCGCAAATTTCGATCAAAAATTAGGGGTTGAAATCATTAAGGCTGCCATCACTAAACCAGCTAGAAGAATTATTGAAAATGCTGGTGAAGAAGGTGCTGTTATTGTTGGTAAGATTTATGATGAACCTGAATTCAATTATGGTTATGATTCTCAAAAGGGTGAATATACCGATATGATTGCTGCTGGTATTATTGATCCTTTCAAGGTTGTTAAGAATGGATTAGTTGATGCTTCTGGTGTTGCTTCCTTATTGGCTACTACTGAATGTGCCATTGTTGATGCTCCTCAACCAAAGGGTGCTGCTCCTCCTGCTGCTCCAGCCGGTGGTATGCCAGGTATGTTCTAAGGAACATAGCTAAATGTTTCCTCTTTTCAGGAAGAATTGGAAAAAAGAAGGATGTTTGTAATTATTTTTTATTTGGAACTCTATATATCTTTTGTTATATTTTTCTGTAAATAGGTTTTGAATAGCAAAAGTAGAGTTTAAACTTGATCTTTGTTGTATGTGGTTTATTGCATTGTTCTCCATCTCTTGTTTTTTTTTTTACTCATATCAATTAGGAAAGCTATACAATTTATAAAAACTATACAGAAAAACCTACTCCCATTGAGTTAACTCAAAGGAGGTTGTTATTGTTTATACTCATCCTCATCTCAAAACACAACTGGAAGCGCGACCATTATTATTTTTTTAAATGTTTTTCTTTTTCTTTTTATGATATCATTAACAGTTAGCTTCTTCCTTTCCTTTCTAAAGAAGCTTTATCAAGGCAAAAAGTAATGACATTCATATAGCATCCACAAGACACACACACCCATGTTTGAAGATATAACGTACCGTAATAGCGGTCATGAAACAAAACTACGATCAACAGAGCAATTAATATCAAAATATATCGAACTTAAAAAATTTCAAGAAATATATCAACATTCTTCAAGGATACATAAGAAGAAACTACGGAAACTGAAGGCTAAGAAGAAGGTTTTGGAGTTGATACATACTGAATTACAGAATAGGAGAACGACGAAACCGGAGGAGACTTATGAAGTATGGCATAACGATGAGAATGGTGGGAGTTTGAATCAGAATCTAAAAGCGAAATCCCGAGGGAATAATACAAGCAAGAAGAATAAGAAAAATAGGAAAGAGGCCGTGACTGGGATAACTGCGGTTAATGCACCTTTGGCGACGAAAGTGTATGAATATCTCGAGAATATAGACAAGACAAGCCATCTTGAACAAGAAGCATATAATGAAAAATATGAAGAATACGACACAATAATGACCAATAAACTTCATCAATTTACTCAAACTTTCGATAAAACAAATAGATCAGTCAAGGCCGATTTCTTAATACGAACGAATGGATTAGAGGTTCTACCGGTTGAATATCTCGACAAATCAAATTCAATCCAACAACAGCATATTAAAAATTTATCAACTTTACTTCATTTAAATATCTTAAGAAAGAATTGGGAATTGGGCTATAAGTTATTCTGTCTCCTAATAAGGTTTCCTTCAGTTGATATTCGGACAATATGGCCCCTTGGGATCGAAATCCTAACCCATCTCCAACAACCCCATCCCCAACACTCCAATCTCAAAGTTGAAAAATTCTTCGAATATCTAATATCATTCTATACAATCACTAATGTGAACTCCACCAATACATCGCAACGAAGTCGGTCAAACACGGCACCCGTATGGAGATCGGGACTGAAGACGCTAACTCCCTTATATGTCATCACTGCCCTCTGGAACCTATTCATCAAACAGGATTATGAAACAGTCATGAACAGAATCCAGGAATTCATATTAGAACCACCATATAATACCGAAGGGGTGTTATATTTTATGCTTGTGTTGTGTAATTTATCCCAAGCTACCAAGGTTGTCAATGGATATATCGTACAAGATGATTTGGATAAGTTGGAGATGTTGGGACAGCCATATAGGACAAAATCTGAGGTGGTTGAGAGGTTGGATAGGATTAAGGAGACGATTGAGGGGGAGCTGGATAAATGTAGGGAGTTTCTGTTTGTGTTTGACCTGAAGGATATTGAAATCTCAATGGAGAGGTTGTATGAAAGGATCGAAAAAGTGGATGAAAGAGAAAGGATTGGAAATGGGGTGAGTAATGGATGGGATGAGATTTCATCAGATGAAGATGTGGTTATGAGTGAAGGGTTGAGTGTACAATCTAGTCGTTCTGATATTGTTCAACAAAATGGAAAAATGGACTTGGAAAAAGATCAACTTCCCGGCAATGATTCCGATCATGAAGCGAATGGATGGAGTGATATCAGTTCTGATTCAATTAGTGACCATTCAGACACACTAAGTTCTACAAAGCTCATTCTGCCTATTCCTACTCAAGATGAAGGATGGAGTGATATAAGTTCAGACAAAGACGATGGCTCTGATAATGAAGATATCGAGAATGCGACTGTTGAGAACAATACCGAAGGAGGATGGAGTGAGATCAGTTCTGACGAAGAAGAGGCAGAACCGGACAAACATCAACCTGAGACTATCGATTTAGATGAAACTTCATTTCCCGAAACATCTCAAAAATGGGAACCGAACATCGAAAGAGGCGATGAAGATGAAGAAGACGAATTCGAGGATTCAAATCCGAAATTTGATGCATTTGATATGAGAAGAAACAGTTTAGAATTATACGATACACGAGGATCTAGTCTTGAGGCACCACACAATAATAATGGTAGTGGACCTCAAGGAAATATCGGTGGTAGTCAACAGACAATGATAGATTTTGATTTTGATTTCGATTAGTGATATACACAAAAGACAGGTTAGATTTATAGACTTTTAATTTTACATTGTAATAATATTTATTAACTTTTCATTACCTCTATACAAATTTACTCAATTTATAACCTCTCTAGGAAGCTCATAAGTTCTAATCATAGCTCTTCCAGATTCAGTATTCCTCCTAATTCTCAATGTCGCCAGATGAATCTTGGATAAACTAACTTTATAATCTCCCTCGCATTCTCCTTCAGCTGATGGATTCGGTTTTTCTAATGGTAGTAGAATCCAACCAGGTGGTAGTAGGGCATTATGGGGAAGTGAGATAGTTTGACATGTTGTTGATTGAGTATTTGGTTCTCCTGATGTTGTTAGTTGGGTTGAGGTGCCTTCTACAGGCGGAGCAGTAGTGACTTCATTAAGATGATCGATATTAGATGGTTGTTGTTGTTGTATTGGTACGGTGGTAGGTTGGGGAATATCGGCCGTTTGTGGAGGTGGGACAGGTATATTACCAGGCTGTGCTTGAGGTGGTTCGGGTACTTCCACCGGAGGATTTTGAGCCTGAGCCGGTTCAGGATGTGGTTGATTGGCCGCAGCAATGGCAGCAGCCCGTGCTTCCGCCTCGCTGAGAAATACTTTCCGTCTACACAACGGACAACTATCTGATCTCTCTAACCATTCCTTCAAACACCCGACATGTAAAATATGACCACATCCAAGCTTTTTAGGACATCGTCTTTGTGGTTGGGGTCTGTGATGCAATTGAATAAAATCATAAGGTGTATGCATAGTCTCACGACATATTATACATAAATTATCTGCTTGTTCTAAATCTTCAGTTGTTGCATTTGGGAGTTGTGCATCTAATCGTTTTGAAGATTCTATAAATAGCAATAATTGTTTGATTTCTAGGTATGATTTACGTATGGATGAATAAGTTCCTTGTAGCATTGATAAGGGGAGCTGGGAACCTGAATGGAAGGTTAATAAATATATGAATACAATGTATGAGACTGATGTGAGAATGGCTGCACAGATGTCGACTGCTTTGGTGTAATAGGCTTTATTTTCCCATATTTTTTCTTGATCTTCATCGTCGTCATCATCGTCGTCATCTTCAAAGTTGAATTCTAAGTTAGGGTCTGGTGCCTGGGGCTCTGGCATATCTTCGTCCTCCTCATCCTCCTCATTAAGCGTAGCTTGATCAGATTCACTGTCTTCTGCATCATCCTCTTCTGGTTCTGTTGTATTCGGTGTTGGTTGTGGAAATGGATAGGTACCTTCTATGGGAATTCCATTAATCTCCATGGGGCCATCCATAGGGAAACGAACCAGCATCATATTAGGCAGTTTATCTATTCTATAAAACAAGGTTTCATAAATTCCTAATAACAATTTCGAATAATTAGTTAATGCTTCTACCCCCTGTACTGCAAATTGAAATCCAAAAAGTAAACAAGTTACTGAATTGATCCCTTGGAATACATCATAGATTAAGAACTTGGCCATAGCAAAATCTAACCCAATAAATATTAAATTTAACCAAAAACTAATCAGGGATAAATATACTGATAATGCGTCCATGAATGTTAAATCTTGAGTCATTAAATGATTAACAATTGTTAAATTAAGGAAATCTAATCGATCAAATATCAAAATATGGAATATTTTAAAACTAATAGCAAACCCCATAAGTAATACATTCAATATGATATTATTATCACCCGTGGCTAAATTAAGAAATAAATTGATAATGAAAAATGGTAAAGTTTCGAATAAATGTTCCAATTCAATGATTCTTAATTCTCCAAAGATTATCAATTGTAATAGTTTCATGATTATCATAAATGAAAAGATTATAAAATTAAGTAATATTCCTAATTTAATTCCATCTGTCATTTCAACTATAAACATGGTGAAATTATATGATTGAGTCAATGAATCATGGATAGACCAACTGATAAGCCCGACTGATATGGCTGAATACCCAATCAAATATCGAACCGTCTTACTCAACATTGTTAGTTACTTGCTTCTGCTTAATTACTTATTATATTGACTATAGACATATAAAACTTGGTGTGTCCTTTTGTTGACTTTTGCCCCATTAATCAATCTAATCTTTAGATTTTTAATTCGGTGTTCTTTTTTTTTTCTGGTGATAATATGGTAGCGCAATACAAAACTAAAACTATGACGTAGAGGCAATAGAGATAAGCTACATGTTTGTATAAACCATAAATAATATTAATACTGTCCATTATATAAAATATAACATAAACTAAAAGTAATTTAACTTAGTAGATTAAGTTCATCCTTCATAATTACCATCCTTCTTTTCTTCTGGGTTCTATTGTCCTCTTGACCACTTGTTTGATTCTCTTTCTCATTAATGTTGTCCTGACATAATGATTTAGACTTTTTCAATCTCGGTATATTAGTAGACACTCCACCCGGTAAATCCAACAGCAGTCTTTGAATCTTGATCGGAGATACTGAGTGGCTTCTCTTTCTACCCTTCTTGGATGGAGATCTGGTTGGTGTAGGTCGTATTGGTGAAACCACAAATTGATTCTTCATGTCGATTTCTTTAATCTGTTCAAGTTTCTCATTGGATTCAGTCAAGACATTAATTAGTTCTTCATTATCAACTTCAACAGCCTTTGAAACTTCTGCAAAAGAGGCAGAGAAATCAGGCGGATTGCCCACTTCATTTGATAATTTGAACTTCTCAGCCATCTCCTTCAATTCGTCAATATTTTTCCTATTATTGAGAGACAAAGATTTAACTTCTTCATGATGGGAATCAATAAGGCTGCCATGATCTTGTATATGGCCTTGAATTCCCGAGAGCATTTCCGCAAATTTGTCTTTCCATTTAGATTCCTGAGTGTACAAGTTATTTCGTTCTTGTGAGAGGTCAGAATTGATTATCTCGTGTTGTGATTCAGTGATTTGATTTAAGATCAGGCCAGATTGCTTCGTGATAATATCATTAACTGCTTCATTAACTGCTTTGGTGGTCTTTCTTTTGAACTCTTGGATCTTTTCATTAACCATTGCGATAGATGTTTGGGAAATTTTTACTTGCATAGATTCAGTCAAATGTTTATTTCGCAAAAACCTGGTGAATTCCTCATTAGCAAATTCCAATTCAACTATACGATCATGAGCTTGTGATGTTAATTGTTTCTCAGAGTCTAGTATCTTTTCATAAAGTCCAGTATAATGGTCCAATAAGGAACGTATATCACCCGTAAGAAACAGTAAAATCTTCTGATTATACTTCTCTATTGTTCCTGACACTGAATCATTATATTTCTGAATCTTTCCAGTTAATTGAGATTCAAATTTAGTTAAACTATCGACAACATTGCTCTGATCATGCGTCCTATAAGTCATTAATTTCTTCGAAGACTCAATGGTGTCTTGAATCGTCCTAAAAATTGTCTTGACTAATAAATCGGTTGAGTTATTATATGTCTCATGTACTTTCTTTACCTTTTGTTTCATCGCCGTGTTTTGTTCTTTTAAACACTCATAATCTATAGTCAATTGATTTTGTTGTTTCTGATACTGATCACGTTCATTACTTAATATTTCAATTTGTGTATTAGCCTTTCTTAATTCTTGTTTACAACCATCCAATTGTTCACATTTATTAGATAATTGTACAATTTTCAATGATTGCTCTTTTACCATCGTCTTCAAAGCTTCCTGTTCATCAATCAACTTTTGATAATTATCATCATCCAAATATACCCCATTCTTACGTCTAGTTGCAATCAAATCAAAATTCAACCTATTTATCTCTTCAGATAAATTCAGCACCAAAATCTTCTTCATGACTTGTTCAGAATCATGTCCAGTTTGAGGTAAATTCTTGATGTTTTTGGCTTTACTTGCATAACTTAAAGTAGAGCAGGTTTCGTCAATATTGATTTTTGCTGGCGAAATTGTGGCAATTAATGCTGTTTTGGTATTTCCACCAATGGATTCTTGTAATAATCTAGTTAACTTGGATTCACGGTATGGAATGTGATTATGGTTTTGTTTTGAATTGGATGAAGTAACAGAAGATGCTGATGATTGTTGCTGTTGTGCTGAAGCTTGTTGATCACTGAGTGCATTAAAAACTCTACCTAATGTTAACAACGATTGGTTGATAGAACCAGTCTCTTTTACCATTGACCCTGATCTAGAGATATTTTCAGATCCAGCTAAATCAACTAAATTTAATTTAGATACCCGATACTTGTCTTCTTGAGACCACGATTTTGTGTATAAAGTTATGGAAAAGATTGTATGTGATCTAGAAGAAACATCATTAAGCTTGGTACTACTTGTCTTTTTTCGATTTAATCCCATTTTTAGGTATTTGAGTCCTTCTTGAAAACTACCAATACAATGCTCACTTAGGTTATGAATCTTTATTGAGTTGTTCTGGTTTGGGTTCTTGGAATTATTTTGTTCGAATATTTTTAAATTATTACCCTTATTATTCTCATCTTGTAATAAATCTTTTAAATTTTCATTATATAGTTCAATATAGGAACATTTAACCATATAATCTTCAGTATGCTTAGCAAGTTTTGCAAATAATTCTGAAAGGATTCTTGGAATTATTCCCGCCAGTTCACAAATTTCTAAATTCGTAGTAAAGTCAGCTCCACCACACATGGTGTATGTCTTTCCAGTACCAGTTTGTCCATATGCCAAGATGGTACAATTATATCCATTAATGAAATCATTCAAGAGTGGTAATGCAACATTTTCAAATAGCAATTGTTGGTCAGCTTGTGAGCCATAAATTTGATCCACCTTATACGTTTTTTGATTCTGTATCAATGGCGATATTGATCTCCTGTTGGAACTATTGTTATTATTGATTGAAATTGGTTGATGAATGGTGATGAATGGCTCAGACGCCGAGTAAAGATCATCTGCTAATTCAACCACAATTGGCGAGTTCGCCTTAACTTCGTTGTCATTTCTTGCACGACAACGAACAACTACTTGAATGTTTGACATAGATTGGATTGCTTAGTTGAGTTGTCTTTAAGTTTGAAGGTAAATAATGATTTGGTTGTAAAAAGAAAAAGTGATAAAACTGTAAATGTAAACAAATCCACAAAAAATTGTAAACAACAAAACACAAACGCCAAAGTGTAAAAAAAAAAAAAATTTTGGTGATGTTATTATATGCAGGAATAAAAGCCAACTATGTGTAACTATGCAATTTTAATTTATATGTATATACGACTAACTATTATAAGCTCCCGCTAATCAAAGAAGTCATCATCGTCATCCTCGTCATCATCAACAGCTATATGCTTTCTATTATAAGTAATCTTAGTAGTTTGTTGTTGAGAACTATCTCTACTTATTCCATCCAATATTTCAACAATATCTTTTTCAACTAATTTACGATTAATTTGGCCCATTGAATATAATTTCAAGATATATTGTTCAACTGATTGGGCACGATCTGGTCTTACCATTCTAACTCTACTTAATCTTTCTCTAGCTGCTGTATCTAAAACTCTTGCCAATATTGCATCTGCATTTGCTCCTGCTCCTCCTGTAGCACCTGAAGCAGAATTGGATCCTGTGCTACTGCTTCCACCACCTGCTGCATTCTTTTGTAGTTCGGCTAATCTAGCTGCTCTAATAGCATTCAATTCTGCGTCATCCATTGTTGATGTGTGATGGGGATGTGTAGTCTTCTTCCAAGTTGAATTGTCAAAAAAGTAGTGTAAGTGTGATCATAAATTAGAAAGGATGAAAATCTTGATTATATAATCAGCACACTATAAAGATTTTGAGGTCATTTACACTACTTCCATAGTTAAAAAAAAATTCAAAAAAGAAACTTGGGAACGACAACCCACTCATACAAACTTTCAACATCATCATTTTACTTGTTATCCAATTTATAAAGGAGCTTCAGTTAGTAACGCAACGATTGTAATACTATAGAGAGAAGAAACCCGATAAGAGTATCAACTTCTTCTAAATCCCATTCAAAAAGAAGATTATAAGGCATTCAACCAGAGTGTAAAAAAATAGACTATCAATTATTTGGGCGCACATATTTATCATAGAGAATCCTCCCCTCCCCCCATCCCCCCAATAGCATATATACATACAATGAGTTCAACAGCTCCAGGAGACAAATCAAACATTCTAAGGAAATATAAAATCGTTTTCTTGGGAGATCAAAGTGTTGGTAAAACATCCTTAATCACTCGATTTATGTATGATACATTTGATGAAACTTATGCAGCAACAATTGGAATAGATTTCTTATCTAAAACAATGTATCTAGAAGAAGGGAAAACAATTAGATTACAATTATGGGACACTGCTGGTCAAGAACGGTTCCGATCTTTAATCCCTTCATATATTCGTGATTCTCATGTTGCTGTTATTTGTTATGATATTACCAATAAAAAATCATTTTTGAATTTAGATAAATGGATTAAAGATGTTAAATTAGAAAGAGGAGATGATGTGATTATAGTGCTTGTTGGAAATAAACTGGATTTAGCCAATGATAAACGACAAGTCAGTATTGAAGATGTAGAACAATTACATAATAAAATTGGATCAAAATTTTTCATTGAAACTTCAACAAAAGCAAATCATAACGTCAAATTATTATTTAAGAAGATCGCTCAATCATTACCTGAATTTAGTCAAGATGGTAGTGGTGAAGGAGGAGATGGGAATAAAGATGGCGGCAATAAACCAGAAACAATTGATATTAGTATTGAGAATAATCCAACAAATCAAGGTACTAGTACATGTTGTTAAGCCGCTAAAGGCAATTTCCATCGTACGACTACTAATTTATGCATATAAGTTTCATTTATAAATAACAATTATTTTTAATAATCGTAAAATCCCTGTGATGTGGTACAAGTAGATTCGATACCATCCAGGAGTGTATATTTTTAATAAAAAAGATTAATAATTTCCAAATTGATTTATCATGTCGTAGATTAATCCGTAAAGATCAATCGAAAGGGGCTTGATTAGATGGAAACCATTAAAGAAAGTGTCTTTGTTTTGCAAAGTTGTTTCTTTTGGAGAATTTCGAATATATTGGGAGACGAATTTTCTGATGTCAGTTCCGAATGTAGTGGCAAACCGTAGGTCAATGAAGAACATCTGACAACCCTTTTCTTTTTCTAGAAAGACGGGCAAATGTCCATGGTAGGGGAGCGATATGTATCAAATAAAATTACTATAAAATTCAGTGGATTTGGACAGCATTTTAGAGAGAACGTCTAATTTATTTCCATGAAATGCCTTCTTATGATGAGCTTGGGATAGAGAGAAATCTAAGAGGGAATGCAAGACCCACATCAATAGCTGCGTCATTGTCCCAGAATTTCGTAAAGAGATGACCTTGCGGTATGGAAGCTAGATCATCCCAAGAGTTTGATTCTTTACCAGATACACTATTTTGGAAGAGTTGAAACCAAAGCAGATGCTAATTCTTTTTGTGTTGGGTTCTTTGGATTGGGTGTAGACTCTTTCGAAATCTGCTGCTTGGTTGACTGACATGAACCAAACTTGGTCTCAGTTGTGCCTTTTTGATTAATTTGAACTAACTCAGATATGTCCCGTCTCGAAAATTCATTAGATTGAACCACTAGAAGGCTGAAATTTATTTCAGCCTTCTTGATTAATTTAAAAGTTCGATCTATCAAAGATTCGAGATGGGAAATATCTAGATTGACCAGCAAAGCATAAATGAAACCAAATTTGGTTCACGAGAGTCTACCAATGGGATTCATAAATTTGCAAGTCGCCGGAAGGCATATCTATTGAAATTTCAGTAGTATAATTTTATAAGTCCCAAGGATTTATTGGGTTGATTTGTACTTGTTCTTGTTGGTACACATACGTGTCTTAAGTTTAATGATAAAGCAATAGAGTCAAGAAAAAGAATTCTAAATATTATAAAATATGAAACAAAATTAGCAGTAAATCTCTTTCCCTTTTATAGATTCTAGTAATTAAATTAAAATATACCATTTAACAATAAAGTATTGATAAGTTAATTTACAGATTAAGTGGTTGCAAAAAAAAACAAGAACATTCACTATTGTCATTTACGAAATTACATTATAGGAATTTTATATAGAGTCAAAGGAGAAATGAACAAAATGCGTTAGTTTATAAGAATTTGTATATCCTGACCAGAGTTGTCCCTTAATATCAAACTCATTCTTTCCAAACGCGAACCATGTAAATTCCACCCAATTGTTAAATTACCCGTAATATCAAATTTTGTAAACAAACCTCCTTTTAAATAATATAGTATCTATGGCTATGCAATACCAAACATTATACAAAAAAATATTGGGGATCAGATACCGGTAGAGGTTCAAAAGAATAAATAACTGCCAACGTAGAATTCCGATACAGGGCCAAAAACACTATAGTTGTGCATGTAGCACCCCGATATAGAATTCTCTAATTCATGGTACTATTCGTATTGGGCAAGTAGATGCGTTGTCTGATGGGCTCATTCCCATTTAGGATAAAATTAATCCAGACTATTCAATCTGTTACTAATCAGTTACAAACGCGTTTGAAATAAGGCGGGATATAATTGCTACTCAAAAATCTGGTTGATAAACGAGATAAAAATAATGGCTTGCATTAAACAATTCATGCAATATCAAACACATACATCCGATAAACAATTCTATTATTTTTGAGAGGATACAATAAGCAAGCCATCAGGCGCTGACTCAAGGTGGCAGCAGATAATCTTGAAAAATATTTTTGCATGTGCACATAATAGCGGAAATATGCCTAGTCTATCCTGGAGAAGAAGAGGGCTTTCCCGAACATGACTCCTAACGCAAGGGCAAAGCGAAAGGGATGTTTCAAAACACCCCTGAAATCTCCTGGATCGGCTTGAGACGTGATTTATAGAAAATGCCTTCCCCTGGACTATTGCAACAAGCATTCACCTCATATAAAGTGGTGAACTACAGTACTAGAGCCCATAATCATTCACAACAGTCCCAAACATTTGATTTCGAAGTTTCGAGGCGGATGTTGAAAAATTTATCTGTCAAAGCCACGTATTGGACTAACCGGAATAATACTATGACTTGTCCACATTCCCCGGACTAACCAGCCACCGCCTTGAATATATTCAAGCCGACTAGATTGTTCCCGTTGGCTGCAAAAAAAACACTCCTTAACACCCAAGTCTAGATCTGAAGATAAGCGACTATAAAATATTTGACTAAATCCAGGTTTACAATTCAGGTTGTGGAATGCAGATCTATGTTGAGGATATTCTTGTAGTATTTTGTTTGATCGGATAAGTTTTAAAGCACCGCGATTATTGATCAATTTTTCTTTGAATAATAAACGGTTTTGTACCATTAAATGAAACTAATAAATAAATATTCTGATTATTTGTATTTTTTAACGCAAAGAGGGGGATTATTCGGATTAGCCTCGTGGTTATTGATTTCCGAACAGTTAATTCTCAGAATACGAATTATGGCCTGATCAGATAAAGCGGATTATTGTTGAAATTAACGTTCAATCATCATTAAACATCAGCCTTAGAAGTGCACAAGATAAAAGATCGACTAGATCGATGATTATTGCTTTAGTTATAGGGGCCAAGGGACAGGAATAAAATAGAAGAGAGGGAGGGGTGGATAAATATATTTCCTTCCAGAAATAAATCTAAAAATTTAATGTCCGGTAAAAGAAGAAACTGTAAAAAAGTCTTAGAGTTTTCTTATTTTAGTCGATGGAAGGATCTAGACAATACCTACAGATCTGTAATACATTTTCAAAACGTTGTTCTATTCATTACTTAACGATGAATATTATTATTATTATTATTATTTTTTTGGAAATTTTTCGATTAAAAATATTTCTAGAAAAGTTGTTTATCTTCCAATTAGATGCGCCTGGAGGAAATCCATTCAAAGAAAGCGCATGCTCCACAATTACGACTTCCCTCTAAAAGCGGTATGAAACAGCGAGTTATTGCATAAAATTCAAATGAACAGAGTTACCTTTGTAGTAATAAACGTTTATGATCCACCATGAAATCACTTCACAAGATTTGTGTACAGCGATAAACGGAAGACGTAGCGAGCATTATTGCAACCCAAGAGTCAAGAAACAACTCTGAAATGTGGGGTTTTTTGTTCAGGTACATTTTCTTAAGTTGAAAAAATTGTCCCAAAATATTAAATCTGTTCATAATTTGAAATTATAAGAAGATAAAATAAATTATTTAGCAGGAATGTATGCAAGCAATATTATGCATAAACTAAACTTGTTCGATATTATTTCCAAACTCTAGATCTGTTGTTGAAATAATAAAATACATGTAAATTATTTTTCAACCGTCCTTTCTTATGGTTTTTCCCTGTTGGATTGACAAGTTGTTGCAGCTGCATTTTTTTGAATTTTTTTTCTTAACAAAAACACAATGACAAGTAGAGTACTTCTGTTGTAACGTGACATCGTTATAAGCTACCCTCAGCGTTCTAGAAAAGTAAGATAATTAAACTTCATTAAACACGTCATTGCTTATTTTCAGGTTCTACATCATCGAGAGAGAGGGGAGCAATTTGTTTTCTCCTCGCTAAAATGATACATTTAGGCTCGACTTCAACTTCCCCTTGTACTGAAAAGGGGCAAGATCCACTGGCGCAAATGATTCTTATCGGTCTTAGGAACCTGAAAATGATTCGATCAAAAGAACGGTTTAATCGCCAAACATAAATAGCAATATTTTTTGGTTCACGTTTTTGAGGTAAGAATATCCGAGTTAGGCTTATTGTTTTTCGTCTTTAGTAATCGCCACCCCATAGGGAAACCAGCAAATAATAGCTTCTAGAATTCTTATCTTCATGAAACAATGCGATCTCAAAAATCAATAATGGTTAGAAGCCTTTGTCGGAGACCCCCCAAAAACTAGTTCCCCACCTGAAATAATAATTTTATATATTTTAGAACGTCGTGCTTGATTCTTATCCTATTTCAGGTTCAAAAACACGAACCTGAATGATGGGGTTATCAGGAGAGACTAAAAATGGCAAAGTTGTCATACGATTAAAGTTCATTTTAAGGGGGGTCAAAAACAATTGGCATCCATTGAAATGATTCACTGGAGACAGATCCAATTGTCAAAGGTGTTTGACGGTACATGATAATGATTTTACTGTTCTTAGGAAAGAAGGTAGAATCCCATGGTCGTTTTGACAAATTATTTTCTACGGAAATCTTATTTTGGCGATTTAGATTTATAAAATATTATTAAAATATAAGAAAATATAAGGATCATATAAAAAATAAAGAATGTATCAATTTTTTTTTGTGAAAAAAAAAAAATAAAAAGGGGAATTGCTTACGAAAATATAAGGTTTTTGCGTGCATACAGCCAAAAAATATTTTTAGAATTAGGAACAATAAATTGTGAATTGGCGCAATAATATATTTTTTTCGATGCGAGATAAAAAATATATCAACTAGCCAAATCTTCCATTTTTTAGAAATTTCCTAACCCTTTTTTTTCAAACTTTTATTCTCTTATCTTATGTTATTAACAAAAACTACAGTTTCCTGTTGTGGGGTCGATTTGACGAGAGATCTTCTCGAAGATTTTTTTTATTTATAATACATAGATTCAGCTTCATTAGACTTTGATCAGATTTATAGATTTCAAAGAAAATATCCGGAAAAATACCACACTATATTTAACACAAAGGGGAATCAAGTAACACCTGACTCCAGATAATAATTTTTAGTCGAAACCAAAAGTCAAAATTATTATTTAATTTATATCAACGGACTTATCAAATAGTTGCAAGAATTATTTTTTTGGGCACACATTATCCCAAAAACATTTTCAGATAATTAATAAATTTTCAGAAGAAGAAAAATAACACACATCAACAAAACTAAAAGTCTTAGTTTTTTATTTCAAGAGACTTAGATTTCAGGTTTTCAAAAAGAACGTTTTTGAGATCAACTTTATTCGGATAGATCCCCACGGCTGATTAATTTGAAGATCCGCACAAAACAATTTGGCTTGGTTTAGTGTATTGGCCAAACATAGAGCGTTCTAATTGTGGAAGCTCCAATTATCATTATACTAGTTTTGGAAACAGGCTTTGTTAGCAGCGCGTCAATCAAGTTTGTAAAGACAACTACCCACAAAACTGCATAAAAAATAAAGGGAAGAATTTGAATTTCCATTTTAAAAATATTTTTTTTTTAAATTTAATTCAAAAATTATTTTAGAACCAATTTGAAACCAAATAAAAACAGGAACCAAAGAAAAAAAAAGTGTTTTTTTTATTTACAGTTTTATTTAAATTTGAAGGTAATCATTCACTTTTTTTTTTTCATTCAAAAAGCAGACACATTTTCCCAAACTCCCTTTCCAAATACATTTGACTTGTATTTCCTGAAACTACTCACTCATTTACACAAGCATTAGTCCAGCTAAGTCTGATTATACTTCGACTTGATTTGTAAGACGTCAAACAGGGAGAAAAAAACGGAGTGAGTTAAAAATAAAAGAGCAATCAAGTGTTCGCGACAATCTCAAAGGGGAAAAAATAATACCCGTTCCTACATTTCTTAGTTCCAAACGAAATCTTCCATTAGAGAAAAAAAAAAGGTCAATTACGAGAAAACAGACAGACATTTTAAAAAGACATCTCACATACATCCACATTATACGGCACTATCATAAACCTATCAGTATCTTTAACAGTTCCAACGACACTCTCTTGAAAATTTTAACTTTTACTTTCTGACATTTTTGTATAACACGAAAGCAGATAGACAGACAGACAGACAGAAGGAGAGAAAGACAAAAATAGAATTGAAAGATTTATGAAACTTAGAGTGAAAGAAATCATAAATTAACAAAGGAAATCACTCAAGCACACAAGAAGAACGAGAAGTGCTTTGAACAAATCTATACTTAAGAAGGAGTGAGAGAGTTAACACATAGAGAGTATGATAACGAATAGTCATCTATATTCACCTAATCTGCAATCTCAACAATCACAACCCTCCTCGGGTCAGATTACTCCCCAACTACACCCTCAGAACCACCAATCCCATCCACATTACCTACAAAATGGGGCAATGGACTTGTCTAATGCACATCAACTGCCAAGGCAGCATACGGCGGCTCTGTCTGGAGGAGGATTATTGCTTCCACTTCCAGCAATCAAAATACCACCAATACGGGAATCAGAACAATCTCAACTATCCTCACCAACTTCTCAACAAGACATGGTTACTGTTTCTAATGTAGGAACTAACCAGAAAACAAAATCAAAGAGACCATCCAAAGGCAGAGTCTTCCAATGTACTGGATACCCAGGATGTACTATGTCATTCACTAGAAGTGAACATTTAGCAAGACATAAACGGAAGCATACTGGTGAAAGACCATTCTCATGTCCATATTGCTCCAAGAATTTTAGTAGATTGGATAATTTACGTCAACATAAACAAACGGTACATTCTTATGAAACGTATTTGAATAAAAATGATGAAGTGGAATCCAAGGGTAAGACAAGACGGAAGAATAAGCTTCAACGTCAACAACTGCATGAAGAGCAACAACAGCAACAACAGCAACACCCGGAATCACAACAACAACCACAACAACAACAGCAACATGCCATTCAACCACCACCTCAATATATGTCCAACCAACCAAGTTATCAAAATGTAAACTCAGGTAAGATTATTCAATATCTGAATCAGTACTATGTTCAACAATCATATGCTCAACCTATACTATCTCCTCAAAATGGATTCTACATGCAACAACAGGTGTCACCAATTGTACCTCATCACCATTTTCAACAACAACAGCAACAACAACAAGTACAAAGGGATATTACTAATAAACCACTACCACCACTTCCTGCGCCTCATCAGCAGCAACAACAACCAACAACACAAGTTTTGCAACAACCCACGCCAATGGAAAAGCGCGAGTTACCAGTTTCTGATGATTTGAAGATTCCTACCCATCACTTTAGTAGGAAGAGAAGACCAAGACCACTTTCCTTATTACGTTCAACTCATGATTTAGGATTATCATCAGATGAAGACAGTTTGAAGTCAGCACCTGCAAATTCTACATTTGACACTACTGCCACTAGTATATCATTACCGCCACCTTTAAAATCTGCATCTTCAATTACATCATCGACATTTTCATCAAATTTGATGAGTCCATTATCACCATTATTTCATCAATCTATTAGAAGTACACCAAATCTCCATCGTACCACTTCTTCGAATATATCTTCAAAATCTCCACTAACACAAATTTTTAATCGAAATTCGGTGATTTCAAATTCTAGTTTACCGTCGGTATCTAATTTACCTAATCCAACTATCCTATGTACTACATCAGTTAGTGAAAATATCCCCCCTACTATGGCTCCAATTATTAGTACCTCATCATCATCCTCAACATCGTCACCTAATCCAGATAATAAGAGGAATTGGTTAAAGGGAGTATTGAATGCAGAACAAAAAGAGAAATCTTTGGATATCGATGCAGCAAGTATTCCATCAGTTTCGATAAGTTCAGCTAGTCCCAAACCTATGAAAGTATTGATTGAGAGGATAAATGAAGGAGATGGGGATAGTTCACGAATGACAGTTGAACAAAATAAGGAACATACTTCACCTCCATATATATCTAAAAAGCCTACTATCAATAGTTTAATTTCGTCAGAGGAATCAGTTTCTCTGAATGGACAAGATTAAAATGATATTTATTTCTGTCCGAGTTTAGTTTTGGTTGCATTTTATTAGTATTATCATCAGCATCATTATTGTTATATGTATAAGGTTTGGTTTTAACGACAATGAGTTTTATTGTTCAGTTCTTGGAGAGGGAGAGAATGAATGAAATAACATTTTGGTTCATTTTTTATATGTTTATTTTAGTTCTTGGGGTTTCTATTATTTGGAAAATTTGGTATTTAATTTGATTTTCTTCAAGATGTTTGTATTATTTATTGATCTATATATTAGTTAGTTTCACATTTTTAGAAAGATTATATGAGTTTTTTTGAGTATTGAGTTATCGTATCAATCGTACCAGTCAAAGTACTTCTGTTCAATCATTGTGGACCAGCATATAAAATCATGATCTCCTCTTACACGTTCTCTATGAGTACCATCCAAAGTGAACTCATCAATAGCCGGACAAAACGTCTTAACTACATCAACCAAAATTTGAACATCGTTCATGTCTGGATTATGAACAAGAATCAATTCTTGTAAGTTGACGCACAGATACAATACTAAACTTCTGACTGCACCTGGGTGGAAATGATTACCAGATAAATCCAAACTAATCAAAGAACCAGGAAATACCAATTTATTTCCATTCTCGAGAAATCCATTGATTTCAGTACTTCTCATTGACAATACCTTCAATTTTATTAACTCGGATAAAGCTGTTGGTGAAAACGAAGAAATTGGATTTCTGTCTAATCGGATCCATTCCAATGTTGGAGGTAACTTATCTAATTTTGAAATTTTGCAACTGAATAGATCCAAATGAGTCAAGTGCTGATAGTTTGATGAAATTATGTTATTAATTGCATTGGGACTCACTGGAGTATGTTTCAAATCAAGCTTTCTCAAATTTGTCGGGAACACATTGGCAGAGATTTCTTTAACCCATGGACATTCTTCTAACGAAAGTATTTCAACCGTATCAGGTAATTGAAAGTTAGAACCACTAATATTGCCAAAAATATTACACAGCAATTCAACTTCTTTTAGTGAAGGTGCGTTGTTGATAATCACTTTCTCGAGTTCATTTTCAAGCAAATCCAATTTTTGCAACATGGGTGGAAGGTCGTTCAATTCCGCCAGCTTTAGCATTGAAATTTTGAGATGTATTAAATGCTTTGGAAACATTATATCGCCGATTTTGATCTTGCTAGGCGAGGAACATTCCAAGCTAAGTAAGGATTCTGGGAAAACAATCCCATAGAAAGTAGATGCACCAAGTCTCAAGCCAGTGAGGGACGGAAGCTGCACATTGCTCCAATCATGGGGGCCGCCCTGGTCAAAGTATTCATCCTCATGAGTAATCACTTGCACTGTATTAATATTTAAAAACTTTAGTGAATTGGGAATTTCCATTTTTGATGGATTTTCGAGTCCGATGTGCGTCTGAATTTGAAGAACTTTCAAGCCCGGAGGAAGCTTACAATTCGTGAACGGATCCTCTTCCTGCCAGCCTGTTTGCTTAGCAGAGAAATTGTGAATATTAATTTCTAATGTCTCTAAAGATTGAGGAAACACTACATTGTCAAGGACTGATGTTCTTCTCCATACATTCTTGTCTTCAATTCTAAATTCTCTCAAGTTTTTGTATGATTCTAGGGATTTTAAACTCTGCATAATAGATGTGGAACCTCCATTTCGTGAGTTCTTTAATGCCACACGTTGAATTTGCAAAGGAAGCTTTAACTGGCTCATACTCTTTATATCCGCCACGAGATGAAAGTCACGTAAATTTTCCAAATACGAAATATCCAATTCGTCAAAGTCACAGATAAATAATTTTAAGCATTCCAATCCCAAAGGGAAGCTAGGAAGTGAGCTCGAAGATAGATCTATTTGCTGTCTCATAAACTGCGAGGGTAGACTACCACTTCCTCCTAATTGCAACTTTCTTAAAGTAGATGGCAAGGGTGGGAGTGTTCGAAAGTTTCCAATGAATTCCAACTCTTGAAGGTTTTCACCCCAGCCTTCTCGAAAATTTATTTGAAAGTTGTCACAGCGAAGGGATTTAATTGACGAGAATAGTTTTTTGTTAGACAATCCTGGTACTTCCCAAACTCGGTAAACGTTGTATATCTCAAAATCAAAACTGTTTACATTGCTTGGGATAGATTCATTTAACAAAGTGAAATCAATTCTGGGTAATTTCTTTAAAATCTCTGGATGCTTTTTATGAAACCACATGAATAATTCAATATGGGTAAAACAAACAATGTTGGGACAAAAGTTTGTATACTTCTTCATCAATTGCACGAGTGCAACTGGCCGCAATTTTTTATACTCCCTTACATTCGCGAAGTAGTCTTCCACCTCATAATCGACTGGCTCTAGTCTTGGAATGGCTTGATATTTATCCATATGGTAAAACTCATCAGCAGAAACGATTTTTATGTAGCGATATACTGAACGTGCTGCAAATTCTTGCAAGATTGGAATGTCAGAATAAACTTCTAAATAATCATTAGGAATACAATCAATTATCAATTGGATAACATTATGCGGAAGCTTGAGAATTGGCTCTGGTTTAAAAGCACTGGACATTTTATTACATTCACGAGAGGATTAATGTGTTGTTTATCAGGGTTTGATAATTTGAGCTGAAATTTTTATTCCGTTGACCCTGAAAAAACGCGCTGCCAAATTTCAGTTGGAATAGGCGATTACCATAATCTCTACAAGGAACGGACTGAATAATATCGTTGTGGCAAAAATTGGAACTAGTTGCGTGTAAGAGGATCCGTGTTCTATACGTTGATCGAATCCTTTTGCAGGTAATTAATACCAATTCCTGCAGTTAGATAATATAGGGTGATTGATCGGTTGCTGGTTACTGACTATTCCTGAATATCATCAGTATTTTGGACATGCCGGGTTTAAACGAGTACTTCGCTTATACATTCATAAGAATTCCTATCAGTAGCCACAGCTTTCATCTACTGGATTTTACCTCATCTATTTCAATTTGCACTCGGGTATTTCTACTGTTAACTGATATTGGTTCCATCCCGGAAAGCCCCACTTCCCATTATTATAACAATGAATCTGCAGCTATCCTCATAGAGTTAGTGGTTTAGATAAAATTAGAACACTCGGACCAGGAATTTCCATTGAACTGGCGATGACTTGTATTAGAAATAAACTGGTCACACCCTTTCTGCGTGTTTGAATGTCTACATTGTTTAATTTTGAGGCCTATTCTAGATCCCACAAACATAATCTCAATTTGTCAGATAATGCCTTCCATTTCGTATTTTATTTTAATTCTTGGGGTTCTATTTTGGAAAATTGGTAGACAATTTGATTTTTTTTGGGATATTTGTATTATTTAGTATTCTATCTATAACTGGTTTCAAATCTTTAGAAAGATTATAGCCATTTTTTTGAGTATATATCTACTCGGTCATTGAAGTTCTTGGGGAAAATCATAATATATATGACGATGGCTAGCAAATTTATATATCAAAATATAATGACTCAATCAGCGTGGACCAACATATAAAATCATATTCCCCGCTTACATGGCCTCTAAGAGTGTCGTCCAAAGTCAACACATCAATATCAGCACAAACCTTCTTAACTACATCAACCAAAATCTGAACATCAGTCATTTCTGGATTGTGACCAAGAATGAATTCTTGCAAGTTGACACACAGATCCGACAATAGATTTTTGGCCACACCGGGGTTAAAATCATTGGCAGAAAGATCCAAAGAAATCAAGGAGGGTGGAAATACAAATTTATTACCATTTTCGAGAAATTTATTGATTTTCATTCGTCTCATTGACAAGACTTTCAATTTTGTTAACTTTGAAAAAACTGTTGGGGAAAATGAAGGAATCGGATTCTTGTCCAAGCGGAGCCATTCCAATGTTGGAGGTAACTTAACTAATTTTGAAGAAATTTTGCAACTGAAAAGATCTAGATGAGTCAAGTTTTGGTAGTTTGATGAAACTAGGTTTTCAATTGTGATACGACGTACTGGCGTGTCACTTAAATCGAGTTTTCTCAACATTTTTGGGAACACATTAGCAGCTATTTGTTTAACCCATACACATGTCAGCAAAGATACAATCTCCACAGTATCAGGTAATCGGAAATTCGAATTATCGATACTTTCAAGACGGTTATACAGTACATCAACTTCTTTTAAATTTGGCGCATGATCTATAATGACTTTCTGGAAACAATTTCCAGACAAGTCCAATTTTTGCAATTTGGGAGGAAGATTCTTAAATTCCGACCGTACGGCCGAAAGCTTGAGATGGACTAAATTCTCTGGCCATGGGTAATCGGTCACATCGATCCTCATAATTGAATACAATTCCAAGCTAACTAAGGATTCTGGAAATTTAATCCCACAAAAAGTAAATGCAACTAGTCTAAAGCCAGTCAACGAAGATGGAAGTCTTACTTTGCTCCAATCAGTAGGGGTGCTGTCATAAAACTTATTACCGACACCAAGGGGATTTTGCACTGTGCTGACACTTAGAAATTTTATCGAATCCGGGAGTACCATTTCTAATGGGTTATTAAGTCCAACGAATGTCAGAATTTGAAGAGTCTGCAAGTTTGACGGAGGCACAAAATTTCTAAACGGATCTTCATCGTGTCTACCACCTATTCTACCGTTGTAATCGTCTATATTAACATCTAGCGTCTGTAGAGACTGAGGAAACGCTACACCGGAAAGGAGCGATGTTGATTTCACAACATTCCTATCTTCTACTCGAAATTCTTGCAAGTTTGTATACGATGCTATTGAATTTAAACTTCGAATTGAAGGCGGCGTAGTTCCATTTCACGAGTTCTTCAATACCACACGTTTGATTCCTGGAGGAAGCTTCAACTGGTTCATATTCTTAATATCCCCTTCTAGGAGAAAGTCTTGCAAATTTTCTAAATAGGAAATATCCACTTCATCAAATTCACAAATAAATAATCTTAAAAATTCCAATGTCAAAGGAAAGCGAGGAAGTGAACTGGAGGAAAGATCTATCTGCTCCCTTCTGAATTGCCATTGTAGCTCACCGCATCCTCCTAACTGCAACTTTTTCAAATTAGAGGGCAATGGTGGAAGCTTGTGAAAGTTTCCATTGAACTCCAACTCTTGAAGATTTTCACCCCACCCTTTTTGAAAGCTTGCTGGAAAATTATGAGTCCGAAGGGATTTAATCGACGCGAATAGCTTTTGGTTAGTTAATCCAGGTACTTCCCAAACTCGATAGATTTTGTACATCGCAAAATCAAAATCATTTACGTGGCTTGGGACAGAAGCATTTAACCAAGTCAAATCAATTCTTGGTAATTTTTTTAAAATCTCTGGATGTTGGTTATGAAACCACATGAATAATTCCATTCGAGTGAAGCAAACAATCTTTGGGCAAAAGTTTGCAAACCCCTTCATGAATTGAACAAACGCAAATGGCTTCATTTCTTTATACTCTATAACATTGCCAAAGTAGTCTTCCACCTTATAATCGATTGGATCTAACCTTGGAATGGCTTGAGATTTATCCATCTGGCAAAACTCATCAGTGGAAATAATTTTAATGTAGCGATATGCTGAACGTGCTGCAAATTCTTGAAGTGTTGGAATGTCAGAATAACCTACTAAATATTCATTGGGGATATAATCAATTATCAATTGGATAACGTTATATGGAAGCTTGAGAAATATCTCTGCTTTAATATCACTGGACATTTTCTTACCTTCACTTGAGGATCAAGTAAGTTGTCTATAGAGGATGATAATTTGATCTGAAAAATTGTTCACCAGATGGGAGTCCCCCCCCCAGAAAAAAACGCGTAGCCAAATTTCAGTAGCTACGCGTGTTGACCAAAATGATTGTGGTACAGCGAGCAAGAAGTAGTCACCATTCTCCCTGAAGAAAACATTTTTGACAGACTGACTAAGATCTTTGAGCTTCAACTCCGTATATTTCGAAGTTTGGATGGTTTGTTTGCAGGTCTATTCTTGATAAAATATAACCTTCATTTCTCTATTGCTACATAAACTAGTTAATGTGGCATATGATAGTTCATCTTTATTTATATTCATATTTATATTTATATTTGCATTTGCTTTAATTATTATTTTGGAAGATTGTCTACATAAGTCAATTTCTTCATGATTTTTAGTCTTAATTATTCTGTATACTTGTTACTTTCACAACTTTAGCAGAATTATATCAGTTTTTTGAGGAGATATATAGTGTGCCCTATTGTTACTTGTATATTGACAATACACTACCTTCGACTAATTCAGAACTCAGTAACTCTCTTAGTAGTGAAACCAACAGATAAAGTTATGTTCCCCTGTCACTCGCTCTCGAAGAGTATCATCCACAGTCAACTCAGCAATATTAGGACAGAAGGTGTTAACTACATCAACCAAAACTTGAACATCTTCCATATTTCTATTACGACTAATAACCAACTCTTTCAAATTGACACATGCCTGCAACAATAAATTTTTGACGGCACCAGGATGAAAATGATTCTCAGAAAGATCCAAAGAAACCAAAGAGGATGGAAATACCAATTTATTTCCTCTTTGGAGGGGTTTAGTGATTCTGGTTCTTCTAATTGACGCTACTTTCAATTTCGTTAGCTTGGACAAAACAGTTGGTGAAAAGGAAGAGAGGGAATTTCTGTCCAAGCGGATCCATTCCAATGTCGAAGGTAAGTTATCCAATTTTGAAATTCCGCAACAGAATAGATCCAAATGAGTCAAGTTTTGGTAGTTTGAGGAGACTATGTTGTCCAACATCCTTGGCCGTATTTGATTATGTTTTAACTCAAGCTTTCGTAACATTTTTGGAAACACATTAACAGCTATTTGTTTGATAGGGCATTCATCTAAAGATATGACCTCAACAGTATCTGGCAATTGAAAATTAGTATCATCAATATTTTCAAAAAGATTACACAGTAACTCGACTTCTCTTAGAGAAGGTGCATTTTTGATAATCACTTTCCGGAGTCCATTTTTAAGCAAATCCAATTTTTGCAATTTAGGAGGAAGCTTCTTAAATTTCCCCTTATGTACCTTCGAAAGTTTAAGATGAATTAAATTCTTTGGCCACAAATACTCCCTGAATTTTATCTTCAGGTACTCACCTGAAGATAACTCCAAACTAACTAAGGATTCTGGGAATTCGATCCCGTCGAACCTAGGGGAATTAATTTTCAAACCAGTGAGGGAAGGTGGTAGCCTAACTTTGGTCCAACCACGAGAATCAAAATATGCTCCATGCACACTTAGAAACTTTAATGAGTCGGGAAACACTAGTCCTAATGGATCATATCCAAAAGACATCAGGGCTTGGAGTAGTTTCAAGTTTGGCAAAAGTTCAAAATTTCCAAACGTATCTCCTTCGTTTTGTGTGGTATTGTTTATATCAATCCCTAAAGTCCGTATAGACAGAGGGAGAGACACATTGTCAAAGATTGTTGTTGTTGAGCTATACTTATCCTCAACTCGAAATTCTTTTAACGATTTATATAATTCTATTGAGACCAAATTCTCAATTGACCGTATGTTTGGATGTCTGGATGTTGTATGTCTGTTATAAGTTAGCGTGTATCTGTCTGAGGTTGGTTCGTTTCGCGAGTTCGTCAATATTACACGTTCAATTCCTCGAGGAAGTTTCAATTGGCTCATTTGCTTAATGTCTGCATCTAGGACAAAGTCCCGTAAATTTTCCAAATATGAAATATCCAATTCATCCAATCCACAAATAAATAATCTTAAAAACTCCAATCCCAGAGGAAACCGGGGAAGCGAGCTACGTGATAGATCTATCTGTTGCTTCCTAGACTGCCATGGCTGATCACCACTTCCTCCTAGTTGCAACTTCTTCAAATTAGACGGTAATGGTGGGAGTTTGTAAAAGTTCCCAATGAATTCTAACTCTTGAAGGTTTTCACCCCAGCCTTCTTCAAAGTTTTCTGGGAAGTTGTCGGTCCGAAGGGATTTAATTGACGAGAATAGCTTTTTGTTATTAAGTCCAGGTACTTCCCAAACTCGGTAGATATTGTACACATCAAAATCAAAATTATTTACATGATTTGGGACAGAATTATTCAAGCAAGTTAAATCAATTCTTGGCAATTTCTGTAAAATCTCCGGATGTTGCTTATAAAACCACATGAATAATTCCATTCGAGTGAAGCAAACAATCTCTGGCATAAAGTTGACATACTTCCTCATCAACTGTACAAACGCAAGTGGTCTTAATTTTTTATATTCCACAACATTACCAAAGTAGTCTTCGACTTTATAATCAACTGGTAATAATCTTGGAACCAACGATTTCTCCATTTCTACAAACTCATCAGTAGAAATGATTTTTATGAAGCGACATCTCGGAAGTTCTTCAAGTTGTGGAATATCAGAACAAGCTTCCAAATTTTCATCAGGTACATATTCAATTATCAACGGAAGGAAATTATCTTCAAGATCAAGAATTGACTCTTGTTTAAAATTATTGGACATTTGACTTGAAGGAGTTATCTACTTGGGGTTGCAGTTAGGCGATCTGAAAATTTTCTCATCTCAGATTGAAAAAAATATGCTGTCGTCTAGTTTCCGTAGGAATCGCAGGTAATTACTATTATCTCGGAGGAAATCATCTCCGACAGACTGCATACGATCTTTGATTCATAAACTGGAATCAATTGGGCCTAAGAGGATTAGTATGGTCCACAATTAAGCGTACTACTTCGATAGAAGCCAATCTTTTTTTATCTCTTGTTCTATAAATTATTTATATATTGTGTTAGATGGTAAATTCTTTCAAGTAAGATCAAATCGATGGGCGAACTTGGAGAAAGCTGCATTTGAATCAGAGAACAGTCATTCGCATTTTGTAGTTATAAGGTTTCTCAGATATCAAATCTCATTAATCACGACATATACTTTTACCATTTCCCTTTTGTTTCTTGATTCATACAGTTGATTAATCAAGTGGATCTGGGGTCGCTTTTTACACTGGAGAACCCTTCAGGGAGAAATTATTGACGATCCCAATGAGTGTTAAACCCCATAGTTAAGTTGGTAGTTCTAACTCGCGCAATGTAAATATTCCAGTAAATAATGACACTTTGGGGTTGTTGACAAAGGACCCGAATTGCTTTGATTAATATTCCGATCATTCCTCTAATCAAGTCTAGGAAAGATGGCACCTTGCCAGCTGTCCGAAACGATTTATCTGGACTTCTGGTATTCAAGTATATAGCTGCAAATTGTTAATCAACCTGACAACTGTCCGAAACGATTTATCTGGACTTTTGGTATTCAAGTATATAGCTGCAAATTGTTAATCAACCTGACAACTGTCCGAAACGATTTATCTGGACTTTTGGTATTCAAGTATATAGCTTCAAATTGTTAATCAAACTATCAATACAATTCAACTGAAAACTTAATTCATGATTAAAATCTTCATCGAGTTTAATAAAATTAACCAATTTGTTTAATAATTCACTTAATCTGAATAAATACTTCACATTCTGTAAGTATCTTGAATATAACTTATTCATATTTTCAAATTTATTCTCCATCAATTGTTTAGTATTTAAACTCGAATTATATTCACTTAACTGATCTCTTAAACTAGGCAACAACTCTGTCATTATGAATCTTTCATATCGGTTTATCACTGATAACAATTTTTGATTCTTCCTTAGCTTTCCTTTATGTATAGATGATAATTGAGATATATCTCGTACTAGTTGTTGTATTCTTTCCTTGGAAGTGGAACTTGGTTCTGGTATTGGAGGTAAGTCATATTTCTTTTCTAGCAAATAGTGTAATGGATCTGGATAAGAACTATATGGCTCTCCGATCTGCAGGTGTTTCCTTTCTTCGTTTTGTTCTTCTTCATCCTCTTCGTCATCTTCATCTCCCTCGTCTATATCATACATTTCATGATGATTGTTCTGTTCCTCGATTCGTGATTCTTGCTCTGTATTTTCATCATGATGCGGAAACTGTGGAACTGCTTGTAATAATTCTTCCGAGATTTCTAGTTTAGGATACGTCAAATATTTGTAGTCGATCATTTGGCTAATCTTGGTAATTAGTTGTTGATTATTCTGGATTTCATTGGATAGTTGATCGACAATATCCAACAATGGTTGAATGTTCTCAGTCTTTAGAAGGAAGTAGTAGTTCGATGGAGGAACTAAACCTGCTTGATTTGCGTCTGTCATTGTGTTTTCAGACTCCTTGTTTATTCAATGTGTTGTCTATTGCCCTATCAAGTAACACAACAGAAATTTTGATGTGCAAATAGAAAAGATGGCGCTACCATAGATACCGAAATGACTACACAAATTTCTTCTTATACCTACATTCTTATTTCTATCCCTTGTCGACCCATCTAGATGTTCTTCTCCTTGTTCCCCTTCTTCTACTACCTCCCCTTCCTCTCTCTTCCTCTCCTCCACCGTCCTGTCCTTCCTCTTCCATAGCTTTCCTTCCTCTTCCATAGCTTTCCTTCCTCCCCATAGCTCTCCTTCCCCTCTCCTTCTCCTTCCTCCCCCTTCTCTCCTCATCCTCCCCATCCTCTCCTTTCCTCTCCTTCTTCTACAATATATACTTAAATGACTATATATAAACTCTTACCTCCCTCCCCCTGTGATTAATTCTTTCCTTGTGGACTCATTTAGATGTCCTTCCCCTTCTTCGACTTCTTGTTGTTCTTCTGGTTGTTCTTCCACCGGTACATCCTCTGTTGTTTCCCTTTGTTTAATCTCATCTTCGAAGTTCACAGGTTCTGCATCCATAAATGATACTACATCCCTTAGTTCGTCCAATACAATTGATTTGATGCCTTCTTGAACCTTCAAGTAAATTACACTCATAAACATTTCTCCATCATGGATCCATAAATGCTCTATCACCATCATTGAATCCTCATGTATCCCTTCCCAAATTCTATCAGCAATGAAATCCATATCAAATTCTTCCCAAATTCTCTATGATCATAATTGAAACTTAAATCAAATTGTACCACCACAACCTTGGAAACGACATCAAATTGTTAATCCCACTATTGGTCCTAATTCCAACCTAGATCAAGTAAACCTTCTTCCATTGAAATCAGATAAGAAAACCTATCACACAAACTAATCATTGGTCAGGTGGCTAATTCATAATGACAGGATCAATTAAACTGATCCATGGAGTCCAGTCAAACTCTCTCTAAATTGAATTACCAACACTTTCTCATCTTTAAGTTTTATTCTTGAAATTGTTTTGTGTATTTGGTTTTGTGGTTTAGGATAATAATGGTTGAAACTCTGATTTCTAAAAGTGATGAATGAAATATACAGTTGACAACTAATGACTGCTATTCCTGCAATCACGATAGTGAACATGATCAGATGTTGATGATAAAGGAGTAGTAATATTGTATTGTTGATTGTCGTTGGAAGAAGTCTCAATTTTGTTTCTGTGGTTTGATTTCATTTCTTTGGCGGCTTTTGTCCCAAATTGGTCTCATTTCCCTCTAACAATTTCACACTAGGAATATTTCTTTTAACTTTCTAAAGCAAAAGGGTCTTTGATAGATTGGTGATATTAATAAAGTAGTTGATTGAATATATTATTGAAATGGTGGAGTATTCTTTGTGGAAAGTAAAACAGGAAAAGAAGAATAAAATTCTAATTTTTTTTTTTGCAATCTGGCGTCTAAAAATTGTGTTGCAAATATTCTTAGTATTTCTGGAACAACACAAAAAAAGATCTAGACCTGCCCATAGAGCCACGATAATTAACCATAATGGTAGTTAAGGTTTCGCAACGGTGATTGCCTATGATATTAAGATATAATTACGGTATATTATGTATTTATATGCTAAATAATATTACTAATAGTACAGACATATATAATGACCAATTTTAAAGCTTCTTTATTACTACCCACCAATTATCCTTTTCATATCCTTCTTCCACTATGGAACATGCTTTAGTTTTAAGTGCATTATCAACCAATTCACCCTTCTTGTACAAATGATAGAATCGATATTTGGTTTCGCCTGCTTCTTCTTGTTTCTGCTCCGGTTCAGTTTCTGTAACAACCTCAGCCTCTGGCAAAGATTCACTTCCGTCTTTATCACTTTGGTTCACCTGTTGATGTTTTCTTGCTCGCTTTTTCTTTTCTTTCTTTGGTTGAGGTTTCTTCAAAACCCAGGGAATCAAAATATCCTGTTCATCACCTTCTTTATATCCTCTACGTGAATTCTCTTGTTCTAATGCCCAACAATATATCAAACATTCCCCACCTGATTTTAATTTCGATAAAATTTCAACAATCGCTTGTATTCTTCTTTCTTCAGTAGCAAAATGATGAATAACAGCAATTGAAATTGCAAAATCAAAAGTGTTATTAGGATGTGGTAATGAAAGTCCATCGGCTACACCTAAATTATAAGTATTTTTGGAAATATCTTTCCCACATTCAACAAGACCTTCGGATCTATCAGTACCTATCATAAATAACTTTTCGTTAACATTCAAATATTTCCCATTCCCACAACCTACATCTAATCCAATGGCATAATCGGGGCGGGATTTTAAAAATTTTTCAACAATTGGCCAGGGTTTATATCTGGTTTGGGAAAAATGAGGAGCGATTTCATTATATACTGTATGAACAAAGTTTGCTTCTTGTGATTTGGGGTCTAAACCCTTTTCGATTGGAAGGGAAGGAGTAGCCATTTTGTGGAGGTGGATTGCCAACTATAGTTCCAAATAGATTTCCGATGAGAGTCGAGACTAATAATAAAATGATTCTGAATCTCAATTATTTTTTCTGAGGAAATTGGGGGAATAGATTGGGGGAGCAAAACAACATCCAAACAGACACCTCGATACAGAAAACTCTATAAGAAATGTTTTCATTACTATGGTGGTTGATTAAGACAGTGCTATATTTGATACTCTTCACATTAAGATTGATCAAGAGAATAATATATTTGATAATTATCATTCTAATTATAATTGGACCAATTCTATGGTATTCAATAACCCGAGCATATTCAGATTCATTTAAAACTTCATTCCCAATAATAATACCAGTTGGTATTCAATTTGGAAATGAGCAATTCAATTTCCCTGATTTGGTTGAAGCTACACAACTTCAAGTTACTCAAGAATTAAGATATTTAACCGATAAACATGTCAAAGTGAAATTGTATGATTATCTTCTGCCCGTGGCAGAGGTGAAAACTCCATATACTATTGAATTGGTATTATCTGATCAAACTCACATGGGAATGAATGAGGATGGGAAACGAGCATATGTGTTTTATACCCTAGATTCAATCTATTCCAATGATTTACCATTTTTAATTACACAAACGATTCTATATCATTTACTTAAGCCTCAGATTGAAATTATAAACAAATCAGATCCATTGACTGTTTTCCCAACAGTTCTAGATAAACATTTACTTGAGGAAGAAGGTTTTAGTGGATTTGCCATACAACTTATTCTTTGGTTTGAGGGATTGGCAAGGAGAGATCAACAATTAAATCAAAACAGAACGCGTGATTCATCTGTTGGAGTAGCAATCTCTAAAAAGTTGCAAGCTACTACAATAAGGGTTCGCTAAAGATATTTGTGTAATATATCATACGGCAGTACGGATTGATTTCATACTTCTCCTATCAGGGAGGATTGTCATAGATTTTTATAGTATACGTACGTCTTAAACCAATCATATTCTAACAAACGTAGAATTCACTTTGAAGAATAAATTTATAGAACCCTGTACTACATTCTGTGTGCCATACTTTACATACCGCTCTCGGGATTCAATCAGGATATCTAGACGACATACAAGCGTACAAGAAACCTCTTGAAAGGTCAATCAATCACATTTCCATGTTTTTTGTAAGAAGGCGGGTGCTACCAGTTGCGCTGTAAAATAAACAACAAAAAATATTTACAACTCTCTTCAAATCCTTCCCAGAAGCTTATTGGATTTATCCATTAGAACAACCAAAACTAAGCAGATCAATAATGACGGAGATGATAGAAATAGAATATGAATCAGATGCACTGTATGACACTGATGTCAGTCTAGATGAAGAAGACGAAGAATTAATCTGGAGAGTATTTTTCAGTGCATTAGATAAAACCAATAATGAAGAAAACCTCGATGAAGAAGAAGAAGATTCAGATGATGAGGAGAACTATGATGATAATTATGATAACGACCAAAACAACCAGGATGAGGATGAAGACGACGAAGATGATGACGAGGAGGATTTGACTGATCTTTCTGAGATTGATGATGAAGAATTAGTTGAAAAATATCGAAATCTAAAGAAAACCATGGTGGATAAGAACCTTACTGAAGAAGAAAAGAAACGATTATTAATTGCCAATTTCACTGAGGATCAAATGGAAAGATTTGAAGCGTATAGACGGATGACGGTGAATAAACCGGGTGTGAAGAAGATATGTAATGGAGTCCTTGGTCATTCTATTCCTCATAATATCGCCGTGGTTATTGCCGGGATATCCAAGCTGTTTTTGGGAGAAGTTATAACCAAAGCATTTGAGATCCAGGAACGGGAAAATAAAGCGAGGTTGATATTGGATATTGATGCCAAAAAGAAACAAAAACGAGAGATTGTTCATAGTTTACAACGAGGTCAGGACATTGAAGTTGATGAAAGAAGGTTGGTGTATGAGGGTGATAGGATAGCGCCACTTCAACCTCATCATATACGAGAAGCTTGGAGGATATATAAATTGGAAAATAGTAGTGTTTTTTCAAATCCGAATAAACGTCAAGGAGACGCTGATGGATGGTATTTTAGATAGACTATATATGACTATGTAATATTATGAACGTTGATGACTTCTTCTCATGACATTTCGTCTAGCTTTCCAAACTCCACCTACTTTACTCTTAGCTTCAAAACTCACATATGGCATTGTGAATATATCATCGCTATCATCATTCTTCCCTGCCTTGATCCTCTTTCGTTTCCTCTTCATTGATTTCACCTGTTGGGAAACCAACTCAGGATTCAATACTTCTATACTTGGCAACTCCCCCTCTCCTCTCACAAGCACCAATTTATACCCTGACTCAACATATTCTTTAATATTATCAAGAACGAGATCCAGTACATACACATTCATATATCTTTCTAATTTATTAATACTATGAAGAATAAGCAATCCAAGATATTTCACTTTATTAATATCATTAGTATGTAATATTTCAAGTAATGCCCCTGGATCGAGATATTTCGGATATGTATCATGTTTAGGCTCTGAATGAAGATCAATTTTGATAGATTGATATAATTCATCTTCGATTGCGTAGATGCCCAATATTGTCGATTCTATCAATGTCAACAAATCCTCATAATTGAAATCATACCCTTGTGTATGATTCAATACCGAAACCGCATTGATTCCACTAAACCCAGATCCATCACCAATCGTTTCATATGACACCCGTAGCGGAGACTGGTCTAATAAATGTTTCTCAAATTCGAACACCCCTTGTCGATAATGGAAATATGTCAATTTATTCAAGATCCTAATCTGGGCCGCGGAATATTTCGGACTCTGATACATCCCTTGCAAGACCTCCAATTCCCCAAACGACAACCCAGCACAAATATCCACATTATCACCATGATCGCGATCCACAAAATTACTCAACAAAATCAACATATCCGGTTTTATGAAGTCGGTTATTTCGATCAAGAGTTGTTTTCCATATCCCTTAATCCACCCCGGGGTATTAATTATCAATCTATTCCCGCGGGGTTTGTGTTCGGTGACATAGATGTGGAATAATTGTTTGATGATGGCGATGTAGTGGTCAGGTAAGTGGACAGGACTAGTATATCCGAAATAATGATCATGGCGGTCGGTGATAGTGGTGGTGAAGGGGAATGATGTGGCTAGATTTGGATGGGTGGACAGGAATTCGCAAAGGGATAGACTGTATGGATATGAGAATTCGGATTGGCCGGGGTCGAGATCGAGATAGGAGATTGGGGATGGATTGGATGATGGGTCGAGTTGGAAGGAGGTTAGGAGTGTTTTGGAAAATGTTGATTTTCCGGTGTTTTTGTTTCCGATGACCATGATGATTTTAGGCTCTTTGCTGTTGTCCGAGGTGAGTTCGGTTATTTTGTTAGACCATGATTTGTCAATTGCAAGTCCAACGATGCCGGACTTTTCCTTTAGTATTATCTCAAATGAATAATTCTCAAACAAACTCGGTGGTTCCAAACTCTCAAGATCATTCCCATCATCCCCAAGTCCCCCATTAAACACCAATCTCTTGAATGGAGAATAATATTTCCCTATATTTTCCAACCCCGTTCGATAATTCATCAACCTGATCACCGATTTATAATCACTACTAAACAAATGTTCATTCTCGGCAGTTTTCGTATCCCGTATCCCCACGGATCGATCCATGACCTGTGTACTCGAAATCATGGGCAATGATTGCGACTGTAATGCAATTATATCATATTTAGTTTCTGGACATGCTGTCATATAATGACATCTATTAAACATGATTGCACCTCTCTCGATAATTAATTTACATTGTCCTTGGATGATGATGTATTCGTTGACTTTTAATCCTATGATTATGGATTCTCCATCGTCGCTGAAGATCAAATTATCATCATCCGGAAGAAATCGGGATTGCGTAGGTAGTTTTGATGATCGGATTGGAGGTGGGGTGGGTATGATTTGTTGTCGGGATGGAATTTCTACAGTATTAGCTGTCGGTATCTCATTTTCATCGGGTTGTTCTTCTTCTTCATTCTCATCGGAGGAATTTTGTTGATATTGAAGCAATCCTTCATCTTCGTCCTCATTGTTGTTGTCGCTTCCTTCATGGAATATCGAACTCATTGTCGAATTATCCTTTAGAGCAGCATATGCACTCATCTATATCTATTTATCGAAGGGTGTTTAATCATATTAGAAGAGAAATGAAGAATCTGAAAAATTATTCTTTTTTTTTGCAGGTTATGAAGGAGATGTAAAATTTTACAGATTAATTTTTAAAAGGCTGCGAAAATAATTATTACAGTTTAAATAAGAACATTTATTGGTTATCATTATACATAATCGATATAATCTAAGCTTGTTGTTGAACTACATCATGATAAGCAGGCGGAGGTAAATCATGATGATCATGTTTTCCACCAGTCTGGGTTGGAGCACCACGTTGTTGTTGTTGTTGTTCTTCCTGTTGTGGAGGATTATGAACATGAACTGTTTGATGATGATGATGAACAGGTTCCTGTGGAGGTGCCTGTTGTACCACGACTCTTGGTCTAGTTGCGGTTTTCCAAAACATGAAAAACATGGCAAACCTCATTGGACTAAATCGCCTTCTGACTCTGACTGGTCTATTTCTTTGTGCTTGATTTCTGGTATTTGAATTACTGTTATTATTATTGTAGTTATAGTTATTATTACCATTCCTATTGTTGTAATTATTACTTGATGGATTTGAATTCAGATTATTATTATAGCTTGAATTGTTATTATTATTATATCTTGAATTTGAATTATTTGAATTGCTATTGTTATATCTTGAATTTGTACTATTTGAATTGGTAGCGGCGTATCTACTATTACTATTAGTAGAACTTGATTGATAATTTCTACTAGTCGAAGAGCCAGAAGCATATCTTGAATTAGATTGTCTTGAAGCATAACTTGAAGCTCCATATCTTGAGTATCCACTATATCCACCATATCCACCACCGTATCCACCACCATATCCTCCCATTCTTCTTCCGTACATATTGTAAGTTAATTTGAGTTAGTTAAGTTAGTTAAGTAAAAGTTTAAGTTGTCTGTTTATAATATAAACAAAGTTGTTTGATTGATGATGATAAGAAAAATGAAAAGAAATGAGGAATGGGGTCTTATGGGCCCCATCTTATATACTTATGGTTTTCGGTTAAACCCTCAGCCCTGGGGTAAAGGTTTCTCCGATGATGATGATGATGGAGATGAGAGTCATACATTTTTAATTACGTCACATGCATAAAGATGACTCTCTTCCATTGTGTATGTGGAAATATGCACACCAAAAAATAAGGGAAACAATCCCGGATATTTATTTTTTAAATTTGTGTGTCCAAGAAATTTAAATGAATGACAGATGACGTCGTTTTTCTTTCTGTCTGTCTAACTCCGGAGTCAGTCAGAAATAATTTCTTACACCAAAAAAATAAATGGCTGAGCTCCTTTAGTAATTAATCATTTGAAAAAGAATGATGAGTGTAGATTAAATGATACGAGAAACTACGTACTATTGTTTGTATCTTACGCGTCATGTATAAATTAGACTAAGGCTATTTGAAGCCTGGTCTTCTAATAATAGACATGTGTGGGAATACTTCCCAATACGGCTGTGTTCCCAGATTATAATTAAAATTTGTGTTAAAATGGTCGCAAATTTTTTTGCAATGAAAAGTTTGAAAATTGTGAAAAATTTTAATCTTTTAAGTTTAAAAAGTGTGTGTTAATTTGGACTATTAATTCGGCACTTCATAAAGTCGTCGTACAACTCCAAGCATCCCGCACATCATATATGAACATATGACCTAGGAAAATTAAACTTCAAACACAATGAGGGGATGGTGTAGTTGTCTGACTTGTTTTTGTATAATAGTCTGGGGTTATACTAACTACCCTGCAACACATACCGGAATCAATTCATTCCAATAATCAGTTCCGAAACCGTCAACAACAATGGGCTCAGATGTTTTATTACAATTGGCATCGATAAGAACGGGTGATTGTGGCTTATTCTTTGTATTGTTTGTCAATTCTGTTACAATTCGACAGCACTAAGCACTCTCATAGTTAAGGTTTTATTGGTTACAGATCCCACCTGAGACATTTGTGGAACAGTGTAGCTAAGAAAATTTATCAAAACATACACACCTACACACATGAGGAGTGGTTACTACATATGGAATTCACTCCAGAAAAAAGTGAACTTGTCCCCACAATGTTACTTCTTTTTTTCACTTTGAAAGGGCTCAAATACACAAACTATGTTGTATTCCACTTGTAGATATTATTCGTTACCGTGTGGGACATTCTTATTATGATATCTCGTATTGAACTGTAAGAATATATAATTATATAAATTGTCATATGATTAGATTTGAATTGAAAAAGTATAAAGTGTAAAACTGTATAGGAGAANTAAATTGTCATATGATTAGATTTGAATTGAAAAAGTATAAAGTGTAAAACTGTATAGGAGAAGAATACTCCGAAGATCCCACAAACATGTAATTTTTCAAATTATTTTTTAACCGCTAAGAATTTTTTGTGAAATTTATTTTTTCCGAAATTAATCCATAGTCACGGCATCTTACTTCTTCCCTTATAAAAGAATTTAATTATCCAAACCATCAGTTGATGAATAGTTCTTATTTTTTTTCTTTAATAAACTTTCAGTGTCAATTCCCTTTTAATTAGTTAGACTGGAACATCCCCCCACCCCCAGACAATTAGTCCCTCACTAAAGTTTTTCCACACACACACAGTCGTTGTACTTACTATATAAACTATTGATTTCCCCATCAACTACTTTCTCTTTTTGATAAATTTCATCATCTTCTTCTTTACTACAACTAGAAATAGTAAACACTCCCCAAACAAACAACATGTCCTTACCTGATAAATTAGAAACTGTCATTGCTGACATCGAACAACAATTCCTGATCAATGACGAATTCATCATTAAAGCCACTGACACCTTTGTCGAATCAATGGAAAAAGGTTTGGCCTCTCCTAAACCAACCAGAGAATATATGCCCATGATTCCAACTTATGTCACCAGTATCCCTAATGGTAAAGAAAAAGGAATCTTTTTAGCTGCTGATTTAGGTGGTACTAATTTTAGAGTATGTTCAATTGATTTAAAAGGTGATCATACTTTTGAATTAAAACAATCAAAATATAAAATCCCCGTTGATGTTATGAAAGCTACTGAAGCAGAAGAATTGTTTAGTTATTTAGCTAAGAAAGTTAAAGCTTTCTTGGATGAACATCATCAAGGTAATGCTGATGGAAGTCATTTGAAATTGGGTTTTACTTTCTCATTCCCAGTTGATCAAACTGCTTTAAATAGAGGTACTTTATTAAGATGGACCAAAGGGTTTTCAATTGAAGATGCGGTTGGAAAAGATGTTGTTGAATTGTTGCAAGCTAATTTAGTCATCTTGGGAGTTAAAGTTGATGTAGTTGCTTTAGCTAATGATACTGTTGGTACTTTATTATCAAGAGCTTATGTTAATGATCCTAAGGAATCTAATGCTAATACTATTATTGGTTGTATTTTTGGTACTGGTACCAATGGTGCTTATTATGAAACCTTGGAAAACATTCCTAAATTAACCCCAGATCAAATCCCTAAAGGTGCTAAAGGGATGGTTGTTAATACTGAATGGGGATCATTTGATAATACTTTAAAAGTATTACCAAGTACTAAATGGGATGAAATTGTTGATCAAGAAACTGCTAATCCAGGATATCATTTATTTGAAAAGAGAATTAGTGGTATGTTTATTGGAGAAATCTTAAGAGTTGCTTTATATGATTTATTTAAACAAGGATTAATTTTCCAAGATTTATATAAACAAAGAGGTGGTTCATTACCTCATAGAATCACTGAACCTTGGTTATTAGATGCTGAAATCTTATCATATATTGAAATTGATGATTCTACCGAATTAAAGATGTCAGGATTAGTATTACAAAATCATTTAAGATTACCAACTACTCATCATGAAAGAATTATTATTCAAAGATTAACCAAGGTAATTTCTCGTAGAGCTGCTTATCTTTCTGCTATTCCTTTGGCTGGTATTACTAGAAAGGTTAAGGATCAATATAAGGATGATGATAAGGATTTTGAATTTGGTTGTGATGGGTCCGTGGTTGAATTTTATCCAAATTTTAAACAAACTATCTTGGAAGCAGTTGCTGTTATTGATCCATTAAAGGGAACTAATAAGAAGATTCATTTGAAGATTGCTAAAGATGGTTCTGGTGTTGGTGCTGCCTTATGTGCAAGTACCGTTTAGAGTCGGGTGTTGACATTGACGATGGAAATGAAAATGACATTTTTATATATTTTAGTGATTTTATATTAAAGTTTAATAAGACAATTTTTGTTACGTATGCCCCGGGGGAATACTCCCCAACCTTATAAACTCTTTTATGCCGTGTAGTAATTGCTATTTACGAAATGTCATATTTCCATAATTTATGCCCCATTAATTACTTATATTCTTCCATGTCAAATAATAATAAACTTTATATTGTTCCATCGGTAGAACATTCATTTTCCATTTAAAAAGAAATTGACATGAGGCTCATCGTAAAAATATTGTGTTATCCCCCACACTAACAAAAATATTTTTTAATGCTTGTTTTTTCTGATTGAGTTTTCCCGAACCATGTTTAGTTCTTCCGAAAATTAGACAGACACTTTATTTTTATTTTTATTTTATTTTTATTTCGGGGGATCAACTCCTAAGGCTAAGCTTCCCTTACAGGGGAATATAAATAGATTGAAAAATCTCCCATTAAGATTCCTCTCTTCTTTCTCTATCACCTCACTTATCAAATTTAAGTAATTCTCCTTATCAGTCATGTCCTTCACATCATTTATCAAACCAGAATCTGATCCAAATATTGTTGTCCCAACCAAACCATTCAACTTATCCCCCAGTATAGTTGAAAGATTTTCATTATCTGGTAAAGTCACCGTAATCACTGGTGGTTCCGGTGCCATTGGTAGTGCTATTGCCGAAGGTTTTGCTCAAGCTGGTGGTGATGTTGTTATTTTAGATTATCTCAATGATCAAGGCTTATGCAAGAGATTACTGTCCCAATATAACATAAAATCCAAATTCTATCAACTTGACATAACCAATGCTGATCAAGTCAAACAAGTCATCGGATTGATTGAAGAAGAATTCGGTACTATTGATGTATTTGTCGCTAATGCTGGTATTGCATGGTATACTGGATCAATCTTGAATGAAGATTCAACCGTAGAGAATTGGAAACGGGTTTATGATGTTAATGTTCATGGTGTTTTCTATTGCGCCAAATATGCCGGAGAAATCTTTAAGAAGAAGGGAAAAGGGTCATTTATTATTACTGCTTCAATTTCAGCTCATATTAATAATGTCCCCAATTATCAAACTTGTTATAATTCAGCCAAGGCGGCTGTCATGCATATGGCCAAGGGGTTAGCGGTTGAATTTGCTGGATTTGCTAGGGTTAATTCTGTTTCTCCAGGATATACTAATACCTTGTTGTCACAACCTATTCCAAGAGAACAAAGAGCTAAATGGTGGGGATTGACTCCAATGGGTAGAGAATGTGAAACTGATGAATTGGTTGGGGCATATCTTTATTTGGCTAGTGATGCTTCCAGTTTTACTACTGGTTCTGATATTAGAGTTGATGGTGGTTATTGTAGTGTTTAGTTCTGTTATTGTTTAGATTATTTTTGCACCCATATTTGAATATATGTTTAATACCTATTTGTTTAACTAACTAATCTCTTTGAAACGTAGAGAATTCTTCAAGCTTCTCTGTGTAGTCTGAATGTTCACAATGTCCAAACTGCTTATCCCAAACTTTTGTATTTAAGCCCCATGATTTTGCCTCCATTCCCCCTTTCTTACTTTCTTATTCTCTATCAAATCTTCGAATGCCATATTTCCGCACCCCACTGTAAATTTTTCACTTGTCACTAGCACCAAACAAAAAAATGGACAATTAACCAAGAACTCATAGCCAGCCAACCCTCCAACAAGTCAACTCAATTGCAACACACACACAATGAAGACACCCACACTCTTCTTCTTCATCCTCCACCTCCTCGTCTGGATCCATCCAACATCCTCGATAATGCCCAACGTCCGTTCCATCCCCAAATCCCATCCACCACCACCCAATCCGCAAAAATCCTTACCCAATCTCTTGGATATATCCTCCCTTTCCCTGATTCCGAAATCATTATGGACCCCCCAAGGGGCGATATATTTCGATACCGGGAGATTATTGATTGACAACACAGGCCTGGGGTCGATTTGGTCCCAACTGAGATTGGATAAACCAGAATGGACACTTGAGGTTGTATTTCGGAGTACGGGGACTCATGAAGACATTGCATTTGCTGATGAGAATCAATTTGGGATCTGGATCGTGAGTGTGGATCTGAAAGATGATGGGGAAAGATATGATGGATTTCGGATCTTGGTTAACAATCATGAAAAACCCGGTTTGAAGATTTTTAATAATGATGGAACGGCAAATGGTGGACGGGAGTTGAAGGATTCGATTGGGGAATGTAGGTTCCAGTATTTGAGTTCTCAAGTTCCATATACTATAAGAATATCATATCTGGAGAAGAGGAAATGGTTTAAGGTCCAAGTGAATAATAATTTATGTTTTAAGACTGATCAGATTCATATTCCCAATGCGATGAAATATGGGATTAGTGGCGATGTTAACCTGAAATCGAATGAGAAATTTGAAGTATTGGGAATAAAAGTCTGGGATGAATTGATTGTTGATGCAATTGATGATCATGGATTGATTGGGGCCGATGGGGATGTAAGAATCACAGAAGTGATTCAACAACATGCCCATGCTTCAAAACCAACTGCTAGCCCTGGGATTGTGAGAGAATCATTAATGGAACGAGCAAGGAGACAGAGGGAACAAGAACAACAGAATCTCTTACAAAAACAACAAGAGCTTTATCAACAACAGCAAGACCGTCAACAAAGATTACAAAACATCCAGTCACAACCACCACCCAATCTCGACACCACCCAACTCGAATCAAAAATCCAATCCCTCGAACAACTCATAACGGCCCTCTCGTCCACCATTTCCACCCAGGAGAAATTATTAAAAGCCACCACCGAATCATTCCTCTCCACCCAAAATGACCAATCGAAACAAATTTCAAATATTGCCAATTCATTAAAAACCCTCGAAGAAACCTTCACCAAACAATCGTCACAACTCTTATCCGCCATCACCGCCCTAAATGAAAAAGTCATCGGCGAGGTTCGACAACAACATTATGTCATGGGGCAACTTACGCAAAAAGTCGATTTATTAATGAATAATCATCAAGAAATCGCTCAACAATATAACAGAAATCAGAAGGAAGAAAGAGAGAGAATGAGGGCTCCAATGGTGGTACAGAAGGGGTGGATGGATACGTTGACGAAATGGTTACTCATCCCATTGGTGGTGGTTATGTTGTGTCTTTTGGTGGTTGTATATCGTCTCAGACATGATATCAAACATTCAAAACTTCTATAGAGATTACTTAGTTATTATATCAAAAATTATTATTATTATTAGTGGTATAGAAAACGATATCAAAAACATAAAAACGTACTTATTTAAATTATAATAGTCTTTGTTGCTTATTCTCCCTTCTCAGGCAGAGCTTCCCGAGATTGTGATTCAAACTTCTCAGCCAAATCCTTCACCGAAGTCCTCCTTCCTAAACTCGGAGCAAATTTCGGTGGTGGAATAGGTGGATTACCTTCCGTGTCAATTTCGGGATTGGAATTATTATTATAATATAATACATCCTTCTTCAATGGTCGAGATGAAACTGGTGGTGATGCTGGTGTGCCATTATTCTTATCCAAATAACTATTCAATTTCTTCTTGGTGGGTGATAATGATCTTCTCAACAATCCAGGAGTGGTTACATCTCCACTCGAAGACCCAGTTGAAGGTTGTGGGGATGTCGAAGATGATGGTTCATCCTTAGGTGGGGTGGGTTTCTTAGTTGTGGAAGTTGTGGTGCCTGATCGCTTGACTGCACTTTGTAATCTTGCTTCTAGTCTCGATTTCGATTTTGCGGCAAGTGTTGATGGTTTGGCATGGGTGTGGGCATGGGAGGATAATGACCCAGCGGGTGAGACTAATTTACTTGAACTCTCACGACTTAATGAGTTTGATTTATTGCCGCCTGGTTGTTGTTGTCTCATGGATGATTTTCTTCTTAATTCATCAAAGATTGAATCCTTGTTATTGAATAAATCATTAATGAAATTGATTTGATGTTTGTCATGGTTTGTTTCCGGAATGTCTGATTTCGGACGTAATATCAAATGACCAAATTCTTTACATAAAGAAGCTTGGAAATCTTGAGCTAATTTAGGTTCTTTCGAGCCAATGATTTCAATTAATCTCTTGAGATGAGTTAGGATTGCATCTAATGTTGCGAGATTATATTTTGGTAATTCCGCCAAGACATTTTGAATTCCATTTATTCTTGAATTTGTTTTTGATTCATCAATAATTGGATAATTTTGATATAATAATTTTATAACATCATAATTATTATTATAAGGTATTATTGAATCAGGTAATTCCATAAAATATAATTTTAATACATTTGTAACTACTTGAGGAGAATGTTGTTTTAAAATTTCTGCTATTGCATTTGAATCATTAATATCATTTAATTGAAAACGTAATTTATGAATTTGAGTTAAATGAATAGGTTCAGTCCAAAGATTAATTCTTGCTTCATCATTTTCTAACTCGGGATATACGGAATCTAAATGACTTAAAATACATTGAATAATCAAGGGGACAACTCGTTTATCTAATCTTGATTTTATATTTAAATCAACTCCAAATGTTTGATTAATATTTGAATCATAATAATTATCATATAAAGTAACTTGGGGATTAAATTTCCCGGTAGAAAAGTTTTCAATGAAAAACTTTAAATCACTAGTTGGATGAATAGTTTCTTCTAATAATAATAATTCATCAATGAAATTTTTCATTTTGGATAAACTATTAACAAATGTTGATAAGAAATCAAATGTAACTTTTTTCAATGCTTTTAATCTATCTAATTCACATTTTTGCATAAAAGTTAAATGATCCATAATAATTTCTTCAAATTCACATCTTAATTTATCTAATTCTATAACATTATTCAAATATTGTTTATCTAATTGATTCACCTCGGTCATTAATTTGGAAAATTGGGATTTATCACTATAATCAATAGAATTGATACCAATTGCTTCTTTAACGTCTTCGAAATAATCTTTGACTAAACTAGAGTCTGCAGTAGCACTAGATCCCAATGGTACTGCAGTTGTGGAGGCTTCAGGAGTTGTAGCTGCAACCGCTAAAGCCGGATTTGGCATACTAGTTATTTCAAATACAATTGGTTTCCATTGATAATAAAATTGTGAAGAATTAATGAAATTTTTCCCCATTGAACCAATTAATCTAAGGAATCCATTATTAATTAATTCTTGACCAAATGCTTCTGCTTTATCTAAATTTTTATTAAATTGTGGCATATTATCAATTATCCATTGAGTAATTGAACTACCAGTTGAAACATTATGATAAGTCCCTAAAATGGCAACTTTATGAGAAAATAATGGAACATTGGTTAAAATATCAATAAGTAATGATTTAATGGCTTTAAAATCATAAGTTATATTACCAAAATAATATAATTGTTCAAATTGTTCTTGATGTTCTTCAATTTGTTGTTGTTGTTGGATTTTCTCTTGGAAAGATAAATCATTTAATTGATCTTTTAATTCTTCTTCCGTGAAATGAGATTTAAATTCTTCCAACATTCTACATTTATTAAAATATCTTTTTTGTAATTTATCAACATATAATTTTTTGGATTTATATAATTTAAATTTATCATTTATAATTGATTCACTATATTCAATTCTTTGTTGATGATCTTTACACCATTTACTAAAAGGATCCAATACATTTAATTTAATAATGGACCCAATACTTAAATGATAAGAACCTTGATTCATGAAATTTTCATTTATCTTTTCAAATGCATTTTTAATTGATGAAACATAATCTTGATTAATTTTACGTTTAGCAAAGGTGGTTTTTTCAATTGATTCTAAATGATTACCATAAATTAATTCCAGTTCCATTCTTTTTTGAAATAATTGAATGAATTCTTCATTTTCATTAATACCTTGATGTAATTGTTCAAATAATAATTTAAATCCCAGATTATAATCTTGAGTCCAGAAATTATCGGCAAATGACATGGCAGTAGCAACAGTAGCAACAGTTGATTTGATTCAGTTGATTTATATTAATTAATTGGTTGATTCAGTTGATTGATTGATTGATTGATTCTATTTGATGAATAATGCTAAGATAGATTGAATAGCAAGTTAAAAGGAATAAGGAATAAGGAATGAATTTACTTGGATAATGTTGGTGGTGTTGTCAAAAAATCTCAAATCGATTAATTTTTTTTTACAACCGAAAGAAAAAATTAATTTATGGTGAGAAACAAATTACACAACATAGCCAACATTAGATTACCAGTATAAATTAAAATCATACAATACTTCTAAGGAGACAATTAAATATTGGGAGATTACATCATATACATTATATATATATACATATTGTAGTGAATGTATCTTTGAAGTATTGGGTTAGGGTGTATGATGATCCAATGGTTACCTCTGTAGGCTACGCGTCTTATGTGTTTAATAAGAAATTCAAATCTACCAGTTTTGTTTCAATTGCAAATGTTTTAATTAAGATTACACAAAATGTTAAACTGAAACTTACACACTTATTCTATCTATACTACTCTTATTATTGCTACAAACACCGTACAGCTTAGGAACGATAGAGAGAGAATCCTCTATTTTTTTATATTAAAGTAATATTGGGGGTCACTTCATCGTACATTAACTTACTTAGCCCAGGGTACGTAAATAATTTAGAGCATGAGACAACAAGAAATTTTTCAATCCAAAAATACATCCATGACACAGCCTTCTCTGTACAGTTTATATACAAGATTATCTATTACATCATTTGCCTACTCATAGAAGATTTGCTTGTTTGTGTCTATATACAATGAAGATACCCGAGTAAAGTCTAGAACATTTTCCAAATTTAAACTTTTTGCTGCAAAAAAAATAAACACCTACAATTCTCAACTATGACGTAATTAAACATCCACACCACAATCTATTCTATACACACCCTACTATCTACAAACCAACAAACTAAAATCCAATAGGTTTTTCAGACCCTTTTGGCAACAATGCCAAAAACTTATATATCCCCCCCATCTCCCCCTCATCAGTCAATCTCTTATATGCTCCATATATCTTATCCTCCACTTCCTCATTTCCTTGGTTTTTTTTCAATAATTGATCAATCCGATATCCAATTCCTATATTATGTAACCAATCCCCCTGTTTCACCGGTCCATACACTTGTGCTAAGCCCTGGGATATGGTGGAAAGATTATCGAAGTCGACATCGATGGATAGGTCGACTTGACCGGGTAGGATGAATGGCAGGACGAATTTGTGTTTATGGATCCCTCGGAGGGAATTTTCCGGGATTTGATTTATGAGTCCATAGTCGATTATAAGGACTGCTCCATTAGTGTTGTTTAAGAGTTGGATCATTTTCATGATGTATAGTTCTGCGTCGGGGCAGATTTCGATTCGGGATCCGATGGGGAGGGAACGATAGCGAGAGGAAATGGTTGGGATTATGGAGGAGGGGGTTTCTTTTGGGGAAGTGGTGAGATGGAATTCTGTTTCTAATAAGGGGTTATTGGGAGATGGGGTTGTGCCTTCGAGTTTGGGTTGGGTGTTGGTTACACTTGATGAATGTTCAACTACGAGTTCTCGCCATCCTTGTTCTTTACGAATGAAGGATTTTATAGGTAATGCATCGAAGAATTCATGAGCGATTATATAATTTGCATATTCGTTGGTATGTTTGATATCTTTTTCAGTATCTAACCATTTGATCCCATTTCCCCATTTTGTAACTGAGACATTATATCCTTCTTCTGTCGTTCCAAACTGATTCTCCTCCCCACATAATAATTTCCACTGTTCTCTTCTTAACACATTCGATGCCTCAATCATCAATATCTCACTCTCAATATCTTTTTGTACCCTCTTTACCAATCGATTAAACGTCACCAAAATATCATGCATCAATGTCCCCCTCCCCGGTCCAAATTCAATAAATCGAATCTTGTTGGGACATTTCTGAGTCTGCCAAATACTGAAATACCATACCCCAATCATCTCCCCGAAAACACTCGAAATCTCCGGCGAAGTAATGAAATCTCCATGTTGAGAATCCAATGGGTCACGAGTGGTATAATATCCGAATTCAGGGTGGGTTAGACATTGGCGCATATATGCCGATAATGAAATTGGACCGGTTAGTTTTATGGTTTGGATAAAGAAATCAGTCAAATTTTCAACTTTGGTTTTGATTGGAACATCAGTTGAAGGTGCTGGGAATTGAGGCATTTTTCCAATATTTTCTCGGATATTGTAATCTCCCTTGATTTGGAGTTCTAGTTTTTTGATTTGGTCTTGGATTATTTTGGAGGCGTTTTCATATTCTTGTTTGGTGAATTGGTTGTAATAGAGTCCATTTTCACCTACTATTGGTGGAGAGTTTGAAGGATGATCTGGATCATCGTCATTGGTTTTCTTTTGTTGATAGTAGTTGGAAGTGGATGTGAATTGTCGGGTCCATGTTCGTGGATGAGATAGTATTGAGTATCTCAATGAGAACAACTGCCTGGTTCTGATCATATTGAGTTTATCTTGATTTGGGTACCTCCATCTAAAAGGGTATTGGGGGTCTTCCAGAATATGAAAAAATTCTTTTCTCATTTTACAGATTTTTCATTCCTGCATATAACGTTGCAACATTGTTTAACTATGAATCAATTGGTAACTAATTAATGTCATTGAAATACTCACTTATTCATATTCTCGGTTGAAAACTTCATGGGAGCAGTTAGTAGGATCTTATATATAGATTATCGGTCTCATTATCAAATATTTTGATTCATTACTTATTCGAACAACTAGAAGTGACTGAAGTCCTACGGAGGAGCTATGCCTAGGTCTTCTTTATCTAAGCCAATCCAAAGAATATTCCATACCTTCCGAAGTGACTAATAATAGATTTACAATATAAGTCTCTTCTATTCCCATTACCTATCCCGGTGTGTCCGTGTAAACACAAATTGATTGTGAACGCGTCACAAAAACTTGGTGCAAAGTCTTGATTATTGAGTAATTAATTAATTAAAAATCCCCGCCTAATCCGCCTCTGACTGACAGATCATGTCGTCGTATAAAAGTCAAAGAAAAAACGCGACATTTTATAAAAAATATGTCGCACGGCTAGTCACCCAATTATGAACACTTGTCAATTAGATACACACATGTTCATCGTAGTAAGAGAGAATAGCTATAATGATAGACTATATCCCTTATGATCTATTAATAGTAAATGAAAGGGGGTATAATAATAAGTAAGACAAGATGATAAGTAATAGATAATCATCATATATTTATATAATTGTATAATAATAATAATCATGGATATGCGGTGGCTTAGAGATAGATACTCCAGTCGTATAAAACTATTATAAGACATAACCAATGAGTATATATATATATGTATACAAGATGATTCAATAAGGGTCATGTGAGAATACTATAAGGAATATATACTTATATACCCTGTAATTATCTGCAAATTAAAGATAAAGATAAATTATTAATAAACTATAAATCATAAAAAAGCCCTTCATTCTCCCCTTTCGTTTCTTGTACATTAAATTAACTAAGCATCATTATTATTCATGAAGGTAGAAGTTTTATAAATAGAAACATTTAAACTATAACGCCTTTTGTTGTTAGTGTGTTTATTAGTGAGCAATTGATTACTATATCAATACTACTCTTTCTACTACTTATTTATTTCTATTTGCTCAATTCATAGAACTTCTAATTAGTGACATCACTTCAGCAAATAAAACAAAAAGTTTTTAATAAATTTATAAATTAAAAAATTGTTTTAATTAAAAGAAAAAATTGATTTTGCTTTTTTTTTTATTTTCATTTAAAAGTTTTTTTTTTTGTAAAAACCTTCAAAGTCAATCAGTCCATCCATTCACTTTCTATTCATCTATCCACCAACTATATACCTACTATTATTACTACGTACATACCAACTACAAATACACTACTCACTACTATACAATACATTACACAGCCACACACTACACACACTACATACTGATTAAATGGGTTCATCTACTTCTAAACAATCATCATCATCAAATCTTAAGATTCCCCCTCCATTACAACGAACTGATACTTCAAATTCAACTAAATCAACAAGATCAATAAGACTGAAACTATCCCTATCAAGTATTAATGATAACAACAACAACAACAACCATGACAACAACAACAGCAATACTGGTACACCTAGAATATTATCTAGAAAGAATTCAACTTCATCATACCATACCACCACCTCAACTACTGATGACATTAATGGTCCACCAATAATAAATAATAACAACAACAACAATGATCTACCGAATGGAACTAATGGACAAACAACAATATCTCACAATAACAGTTATTCCAATTTTCAAACTTCTTTTAATAATAAATTACCACCATCAATGATTCAAATCCCACCAAAAGAACCAATTTTATTAAGAAGAAATACAAATGATACTATAAATACTTCAATAAGTGTAGAATCTCCATTATTATCATCTTCAGTTAACAACATCAATAATAATGGAAATAATAATAATATCTCCCGAACTTCCACGAATCATTCAATACCGTCACTTTCCGGTACTTCCCCATTGGCAATATCATCATCCCCCATGGTATCATCAACTACAAACACCCCCAATACAACAACAGTATCTACTCCAACTCAAGAATATGATCAGAAATCTATCCATAGTAGAACATCCCTGATGGGAGATTTAGCAGAATTATCAAAAACTTCATCAATATCAAGAAATATAATTAATAAAAGTACAACCAATACTTCAATATCAAATAATGCATATACTATCGATATAGAAGATTTAATTCAACGATTATTAGATGCGGGATATAGTGGGAAACGTACGAAAAATGTATGTCTTAAAAATACCGAAATTCAATTAATTTGTGCCACCGCAAGAGAAATCTTCCTTTCTCAACCTAGTTTATTAGAATTATCCCCGCCGGTGAAAGTCGTCGGTGATGTTCATGGTCAATATGGAGACTTGATTCGAATCTTCACCAAATGTGGATTCCCGCCGCAGACTAATTATTTATTCCTTGGTGATTATGTTGATAGAGGTAAACAATCCT